GACTATCGGATAGGTTATGTAGGCAATATTTTATTCGCTTAGTAAATTATTATTCATGATTAAGAAGGATAGGGCTTAGTTATTTTTGTCTTATTTGTAATAATGTACCAGCTGTTCTCTGAGCTGTTATTCTTACTTTTCATGAGGAAAATATCCAGGATCCACAATAATGGTACTGAATAAAAGTGGTGGCGTTTGTCTATAAGAATACTTTGTTTAATTACTTCCACTCTTTATTTCACCTGTACGTTCATAGTACTATTCATAGTATCTTGTACACTTATGTCTTCATCATCCATATGAAAGTGTGGTTGCTGTTACTAGCTTGTCCCAGCTTTCTCCCTCATCCACCAACACTAAAAAATTATTACACAACTTAAATTACTTTAATATCCATAGTAAAATCCTCACTGATTGTAATGTGTAAACCGTTTCTTAAGGTATATGCTCAACATTTCAAAGTAATAAAAAATTATGAATTTTCAAATATTTCTAATTAATATTGTTTTCTTGTATATTTTTGTGCCTACTTTTTTTCACCGATATAATTTAACTTGTAAAAAAAAGCAAACAATTGGCAAAATATAAAAAATTCTATAATTCTAGTTTTTATTATGGTTTTCGCATTATTTTGCAATATTTTATAATTTTGTATATTTACTTGAAAATTGTATTTACGTGACTATGCATTCAGTAACAGAATACGCGATAGCCACCCAGGAGCTTAGCCAGTCTGACGATTTGCTCCGCTGTGCTAATATTTCGGTGTTCATGCATTGACTGTGAAAAAAATGAATTTCTAATTTTGTCCCGCTATGCAAATGATATAAGCGAAACTTCAATATAATTATTCATTTCTTTAGAAATTGATTGTTGTCACAGTGAAGAAATAATAAAATATTAACATCGCGGGACTTAAGCCTGGTTTTCACCACTCGCAGATAGACGCCGATGCTCGGCGATGCTGACTTGGCAGCAATCGGCGAGTATCGCAGAAAGGCGGTTTTCATCATCGCAGTTTGTCGGTTCCTTGGCGCGGCAAATCCAAATTGAGGCGCCAATCGCCAAAGTGCATACAAAATGGCGGACGCTCTTGACGATATGCTTGTAATACAGGCCAATTTATTACTGGTCATAACACTTTTGCGAAGAAAAAAACAACTTTTACAACGGAAACCATACAAGAAGAAGCGTTTTTGGGTGCGGCAAATATTCGAACGGCGCAAAACACTCGGGCAGTACAACACTCTCGTACAAGAGCTCAGATTTCACGATCGCGAATATTTCTTCAGGTATTAAACTGGTGTAATTTACTAAATTTAGGTGAGCAGAGTCCAAAGAGGTAATTGAGTGTGAGTGAAAAGGTGAAGTGCAGTGCTAAATTGTGCATGAACTGAATTAGGTTTTATCTTCAACACATGTTTTTCCTTCAGATTCCTGAGAATGAGCCCTGATCGATTTGAAAATTTACTTCAGCTTATTGCACCCCACATAACAAAGAGCTGTAGGGGTCGTGAACCGATCTCAGCCTCTGAAAGACTAACGATAACGCTTCGTTACCTGGCAAGCGGAGAGTCTCAACAGTCTTTGTCCTTTAACTTTCGAGTTGGAAGGACCACTGTCAATAACATTATTAAAGAAACATGTGAAGCGATTTGGTGTGCTTTAAATGACATATATCTCAAAGCCCCTCAAAACCAACAGGATTGGATGAAAATTGGTGAAGGATTTTTCAAAGAATGGGATTTTCCAAATTGCCTTGGGGCCCTTGATGGTAAGCACATCGCCATTGAATGCCCAGGTTATAGTGGATCGGAGTACTTCAATTATAAAGGTTTTTTCAGCATTGTTCTGATGGCCATGTGCGATGCAAAGTATTGTTTCACACTAGTGGACGTTGGGAATTATGGAAAAGATAATGACGCCCAAATATTCAACAACTCTGAAATGGGACGAGCTTTCATAAATAATGAAATAGACATCCCACCTGCCAAATCAACACATGGCCATGTTCTTCCACATGTAATAATTGCAGATGAAATATTTGGTTTGAAAAAATGGCTAATGAAACCATTTCCTGGAAAAGGTTTAACTGAAACACAGGCAATCTTTAACTACAGGCTCAGCAGAGCTAGAAGGACAATAGAGAATGCTTTTGGCATTTTATCAGCAAGATGGCGCATTTTCCTCAAACCCATTAAAGCTAATCCTACCTTGGTAGACAACATAGTAAAAGCTTGTCTTTGTCTTCATAACTACCTAAGACTTACAGACAATGCTCGGTATATTCCGACTGGGTTTGTAGATTCAGAGGATAGTTCCGGTAAGATCATACAAGGTGATTGGCGGTCATTGGTGGTTAATGAAGGAGCATTACTCCCAACAGCAACAGGCCGTGCATTTAACAGATCCTCTGCAGGTGCAAAACAGACTCAAGATTTATTTAAAAAGTACTTTAACAGCCAAGAAGGGTCATTGAGTTGGCAGCAAGCTTATGTTAATAGTTTTTGACAATTATAAACAGATAATTTACTAATATAATTTTCAAAAGGATGTCCCACAAAACCCCACAAAGCTATTAAAGTCACTTGTTGTTAAAATTTGAATGACTTGTTTGAAAATTTTTGCCTGTGGAGATTAAAACAACTTATAAAATGCAAAATACAAAACATTTTAAATTTGCTAGAGAAGAGGGGCATGTTGTGGGTTATCATGTTTGAGTTAAAAAATTAAATGTTGCTATTCATATTTGTGAAGTGTAAATGTTTGGTAATAAAATTCATTTGTGGATACAAAAAATGTTTACTGTTATCATGCATAAGAATGTCAAACACTTATACACTTGAGGGTCCCAACAGGGTCTAGCTATTATATTGTTATGGGATATTACAATAGTTTTGGTCACCATATATAGTTTATATCTTTTATAAATATATTAGTATACTATGTTTAAGACAAACAACATGAATATAAAGGTCACAACCAAATGATTTTTAATTTTCATCAGCAAAAATTGTAACAAAATGCATAAGTGCAATAATAAATTGACAATATACATGCCAACAAATAATGTTAATTTAAATACATGAAAAAACAAGACCAATGTCAAAGTTAGTTGAAGATGAAAACTTTCTTTACATTATTTTAACCCAACTGTTCATCCAAGTCCAAATAAATTTCAAGAGCTTGAACTTGAAGCATTCAAGTTTGCACCAGACCAATACATGGTTTGGGTGTCTAGTCCTTGAGGGGGAAATTGCATATAATTTCCCAGTTGAGGTTGTTGGGGTGTACTGCAACATCCAAGCTCAGCATCAAGGAACACCTTTTCAATGGAACTTCTCACTATTGCTTTCTGCCTTCGATCAAGGTTCCTTAGGCGATTGGCTAAACTCAATAGATAATACTCATCTTCATCCATCTTCTTTTCTTTTGCAGACCTTTTGTGCAAAGTAATTGTCTCACTAAGATTAGTCATTGCTTTATTCAGCTGGGCATCTGTTTTCTCAAGCTGTCTCTTTCTGCTTTCTTTTTTCATCCATGGTTTTACTGGCTTGTCATTGGATGATGCTTCAGCAACTGACTGATCCATTGTCTTATGATCAGGATTCAATATATTCAGGTAATCTTCATCTTCCTCATCTTTCTCTGATGACGGTGTAGGATGATCAGTGCTTTCATCATTTGAATCCTCAGAAAAAGTGTCGTCAATTGTCACAGGTGTAACAGCTCTGAAGTTTCCTGAACTTGCTCTGTTTACGATATAGTTACTCAGCCATCGCAAATGCTCATATTTTGGATCTAATGGTATTATATCACCACTGCCACATCCTGATCTTCCTTTTCTAGATTTCAAATACTTTCCAAATTGTGTTCGTATGGTTTCATACCTGCGCTTGACCTGATCTATTGGTTGACCAACTTTTTCTGCGATTGCTTTCCAGCAATTGGACTTTTTATTTCTATCTTTAAATTCTTTCAAACGTCGATTATAAACTGTAGGAAACTTTTGTACAAGTTCCATAAACTTGACATCGTCGTCAAAAACATTTTCTGAAGGTTCCGCCATTTTGGACAAGAAGGCGGGGCAAATTGGAACACTAGGTTCGAAATTAGGATGATTAGCATTTTACGATTGTCGCCGAGGTTCGCAGATGCGGTTTTCATGGTTTTATCAGTCGCAGCCGATCTGCGACAAACGCCGATCGTCGTAACAAAACAATTTTTTTTGTTTTGCTACGATCGTCGGGGACTGTCGCAGATTGTCGCAGATGTATTACGATGAGCGGTTTTCACCAATTACGATGCTCGGCATCTGTCGTAATTTTGATATCGGCGTGCATCGCCGACTATCTGCGAGTGATGAAAACCAGGCTTAAATCGACAGGCTGGCTACGACGAGACAGCTTGACGACACGCCCTCGAAGTTACCTAGGCGAGTATCAAGCCTATAATTTACTAATGAATTTGACGCACGGGTTATTTTTCCAAGTTGACTTTGCCTGACTTGAGTCGTCGAGATGCCGCGATAGTCATATATTATTATGTTAATCGCTGAGGTGCTACCGCGTGTATGAATATTAGTAAAATATAAGTGAATGAATTATTTTCAGGTACGATTTGGCTTCGTTTGCGCTTTTAAAGCAATACAGGTCACTACACGATACCGTTTGCCTAGTAATGACATGTTGGGACAAAGCGATTTATATTTACACCTGTATTGCTTTATTTCTTCCCACGAGCTGTCAGAAAGGAGCAGGGTGAATGGCCGAACTTATATTTATACTCATGCATGGCTGTGACAAAAATGAATTACTATCCATTTCATGCTAAGTGGCATTTGTCTTGGTATGTATTTCTTGGAAAGTCTTTATTAAATATTTCGGCACAACAAACGTTTGACTTTGCATAGACTAAAATTAAACATGATACAATTTAAAAGTTAATAATGATAATTGCACTGCCGGAGTGGAGTGCAATAGACCTTTCTTATAATGACGTCAAACGAGGAAAGTCTGATGTTACACGAAATTTGATTGGCTCCACAAAACTATCGAGCCAATCAAACTTCGTGTAACAGCATACTTTCCGCGTTTGCCGTCATTATGAAAAAGGTCTATTTGGTGTGAAATCAAACGCGTGAAGTCGACAACACGAAGTGCAATCTCCACTTTATTATATTAATTTTGAAATCATACAAGAAATTAAACATATTCAAAATGATTTTGTGGCTGAAAGACCGTAAACGGTGTAAAGTGCGAGTAATTTTCATCTATTTTTGTTAAGAAATTTTGCGGGGCATTTGAAAATTCAGAATAATAAAATTTTGTACCATTTCCCCCTGTAATTTGATTGGATAGTTATACTGAAATACTAAATCTAATTGGTTATTGTGGCGCAGAACTTCAATCCTATTGGCTTATAAATGATGTGATTAATACATGCTCAAAAATAGTGCGCTATTTTTAACCAATCAGATTGCAAGAAACCTAGGAGTATGAGCCATTAAGTATAGCCAGGAATCTATATAATCATAATTGCTCAGGTATAATTATGCATTCACCGGGTAGTTTCTTTCTTCTCCTAAGGCTGTTTTTATATAATAAAGTGTGTGATTAAGTGAATAACTCGGATCTTAAAACAAACTCATCACACGCATGAAGCCAGTTACAGTAACAAGTTTTAGTTGCTACTGTGTTGACATGGAATCTGGTTCAAAAGTGAGTCGTGTTTCGAAGATGCATTTTACTTCGTGCATGTTCCAAACACCAAAAACCATCGTTTGTTTTAGTACCTTGCCGTCCCCAAAAATTTTGCTATTCAAGATTCTTATACAGATTCTTACATAAGATGCGTTCTAAACGACATTTGATATATTGTATTATACCTCCTTATAGATGTCAGATATCATATAAGGATTGGTAACCTATTAAAATAAGACTGACTTGCCTGCCTCTAATAAGGCAATATTAACCACAAGGCTTAGCACAAGTCCTCTTGATCATAGAAATGATAATAACTTTTTCGTTTGGTTGAAACTGCTATAACCGAGTGAACTGGATTTAAGGCGACGTCGTCGTTTTCATAACGTATTCAAATTTAGCCAGCAAAGCCGTTCGGTCGTCGTTTTCAAATTCTTCCACTCTGCAGAGCATTTTTATAGATTCTTTCCCTTTCTCTATGCGAAAACGCCGGATGCGCGTGGAATATTCTTACCTTTTTCAAATTCTTCCGGCATCGTGTGGACGGGAATTTAAAACGTACAGGGGCTGGTTGTATCAAGCCCGTTTAGCTTAAACGGTGGTTAAGTTCAAAATAGAAAGCAAGTCTATCGTTTTATTCAAGAAGCAAACTAAATGTTTTTAACCTTAATACAAAGATACTGTTTATAACTACAGTGCACGATATTCAAGTTGACTCATTCAAGAGGGATGTAAGGGTGTTATTTAATTTTGACTTATCCGCCGTTTAAGCTAAACAGGCTTGATACAACCGGCCCCAGTACGTCATCGTATACATGTTTCCGGTTACATTTGCGATTTTATGTGCGATTTTCCTGTTCATAAATGTGAACGAGAACAATTCTGGTCTAAGAGCAGTTGTAGATTTCAGGTGAACAGTTTATCGCTCTCTTTATCGAGAAACATTACGTTATCAAGGTACCACATGCAGTTACGACAAAGATCTGGTCACCCTGCATGACTCAATCATGAGGCCAATAAGCCCTCCCAGAATCACCTAATAATACAGCCATCCATTATTACTGCAAGCAAAAATACTTTTGTCACATACCCCATCAAAACATCCACTCGAGCAAGCCAAAGCATCTGCCTCTACTCCAAGTGCTTCAGCCTAAAATAACAGACAGCCGCCTACGCCAGTACCCACCGCTCGATGTTTTCCGTGGAAAACGCGTTATCCGCTAAATATATGCAGTCTACCAACGTCACTGTTACGTCAAACTTCAAAAATTTGGCATTAGCATTTGATATTTTTATTCGTATAAACGAAAACTTTAACAAATTAGCCAATCGTGACGTGTCAATAGGATTATAGATTGTCATCAACAATGCATGCCGCTAACTGAAGAATATACTAAGAGCCAGAGGTTTAGGTTTTAAATATGCCGTGTGACTTCATATATAATAATTTGTCCCGGTGGCTAGGCAACTTACTTGACTGGTGTCACCGAAACTGTTTCGAAAAAAAAAAGTTTTTTATCTCTATTCTCTTGTATCACAATATATTCAATTTGGTTAATGATGATAATAAAGTATCGGCCTATTTGTCTTATTGTCAAATTTTAATGCCTTTTTTGTATTAGCAAAAATTGTTATTATTAACCTTTTTTAATTAACATATTTAAAAAGGTTGATCCATCTATTATGAAATTCATCTATTATAAAATTATTTTATGCAATCATTTGTTTGAAGCAAGATAACAAGGCAAGGCATATTAAAAAACGTTGTGTCTTAATCATCATGCTACTTACTCGAATTTGAAGCCAATGGCCAAACTAGTACGCTAAACCTTTGGCTCAGGCAAATATTATACATACATAGATGTGAGCCATGGCGTTTTAGGGGGAAAATATCCAGTCACAACCAGAAACGTGGATCCATATAACCTGGCCCTATAGCGTACTTTTGCCGTTTGTCAAATTCTATTTGTGGCTGTATTCGAAATTGTGTTGACGAGTATTAGCGATATGACCTATTATCCACTATGTTATTTTCCGGCTACATAATTATATATACGTATATCAGAGCTTTATATTATTTCGACTGATTGGTCCAGCTAGTGCATGAACTTTAAAACAAGCATACGCTATCTCATATAGCACTTCAGGCGATAAGATTTGCTTGAGTGCAGGTAAAAGGAAATGCAAATTAGGTATAATGAGTGTTTTATAGTGCAACTCTCGACCATAAAACTCTTATAACGAGTCAGTGCTTCTTGTTGGCACGAACGTCAATTTAAGCGGCCTCATTTCGCTGAAATTTCCAAACTTTGCTATTCGGTGAACAAGCCTGGTTTAATATGGCCAGAAGTATCTTTTGTCTTATAATCATGTTATTCTGCTCATCGTTAAAAACAACGTCAGCGAGAGGTAGTGTACTGAACGACACTTGCTTTGAGGATTGCGTGAAGTTACTTCGTGAAACTGCCGAGGTAAGTCTTCATGTTGTTGAATATTTTTAAATGTGAGTGATACACACACATTACCTCTGGCTGATACCACTGTGAACATTGCATGACTGAACGCAATTTTGATAAGACTGCGACTTGTACTTCCTTGATTTATTGTTGTTCATCTCGTTGTATAAACGACGATTGTGAATTGTGTTGTTATATGCAATGTGTATACAACAAGGACAGCCCGAATCGGAAAAACAATATAGCTGGCTTGTCACCGTGTGTCGGATAGATAATGTACGTACAACATGTGATAATTCGAACCGTGATAAAATATGTTGATACGAACTATATTTGTAGGCCACATGCAGCGATCCAATAAAAAGGTTGATGTATATAGCTTATAATTGGGTGCATGGCATAAAGAGATACTGGTTTATGTCATTAATTATTTTAGTTTGAGCCACCCACCAAAATCCCTAACTATAGTATCGATGTATAACGGCGTAAATATCTTCGGCTTTTGAATGTGCGTGAAATATATGTGACATGGTGATACTGAAATTGTTTTGTCAGTTTTTCATTTCAATAATTTCTGTATTTATACTGTATATTTTTGTACTCCGCAGGTTTTGGGTTGAACTATAGATATATAGAACCATAACAAAATTTAAGGGTGACTTCTGTAATTATTCCTGAGGCTGAGTCTTAATTAGCTACATCATTTGTAATTTTAAGACCTTGTACCGTTCTCGTGATCCCATTCTAACAAAAAAGATTATTTTTGTTTGTTAAAATATTCTGGCATATGAGTCGTATATACTACGACGATAAAACAATTCCATGCAGTGTAAATATTTGTTTCAAAAGTTGCGCGCTGCGATTAATTATAAGATATTCTGACTGGTCTATACAGCCTGAAAAGTATCCAACTAGAAACCATTTATTATACTCTAACAATTAATTTTGATTGTGGTTTTACTGGTTTAGTGTCGACAACGAAGTGAAATATACGATTTTTATGACCTACCCAGGGCTTGGACTTATAGTAAAGTAGGCATGTTTGTACCGTCTTAAAACCAATCATCAAGATTTATCTTATGTTGTAACAACGGAAGTGTAATCATTGCAAAGTGGAACTATATTACCATGTATATATATCATATGATTGTATTCTGCCCACGTCCAGTTCGAATAGTCACATACGAAAGTGCAATCGCGTATTAGGCTATGTTTGTTCTTTTTCAAAGCACTTGCAAATAAAACTTGACGATATCAAAATAAATCGACCGATGATAGTCAGCATAATTATTATAGCAAAAAGCTGGCTTCAATTAATATCGTATTAACAATCGCAATCTCATTTTATTTTAAAGAGCAGTTTTTATTTTCCAAATTCGTCGTTATTAGTCGTTAAATGGCTATTATCCATATATCTAACTATAGCAAAAGCTAAAATCATTAAAATGCAGTATACTACTTTGCATAAAAAAATATTGATTAGTTTGTCGTCTGATTCCATTAAATTGTTACTATGACAGAAAGCTTTAACAAAAAAAATTCACATGATCGGTCCACTATATAACCATATGACAATCATTTTGTGGCCGCATCACAAACTGCCAAGATTTCTAAGGTTTAAGATGATTCTCGAGAAGAGTCTTTAAATCTAAAAAAGATCTTTGTATATGAAGCATTCATACTCAGAACTCCGTCTCAAAGCTGTTCTTTGTGAAGAGGCTTGATAACTACATTCCACCGCCTGGTTGAATGTGAGTCTTTCTATAAAGGAATGAAAGAATAAATAACGTCTTTATCAGTTTAATATTTCACAACTGTTTACTATTTTTTTTACAAGATTTAAGTCAATGCGTTATGCAGAAAAGTGATATCGAAATATAGAAGCTCTGTGCTTGATTTGTTCACGAAACTATTTAGTCGCAATTTTTTCCCCAAAATTGCCTGTTGTTTTGCGAGTTACCATGGTGCTTGGAAACATTCGCGCGCGAAACATGGGAAGGTTTCCAAGATGTGTATGCCGTATATATATATATAGTGATAGTGCATGCATGTGGCTGAAGCATGTCGTTTGCGTCAGATGGCACTTTCATTATCCCCCTTAATTGTGTCGCCCTTCCTTATCTTAAAACATCCTGAAAAATACATTTCCTAATATAGAATCTGCAAATAATTGCATCCCCACTTGTCCATAGCCAGACGTTTTATACGACAATGATTAATATAGGTAACTTGCTACTTTAGACTGAATTTTTGCTAACAATTGCATAAGGTGATTCGTTTCTTTATTGGAAAGCGGTAAACTTGATACCGTAGGTGATGATTCTAAATCTATACATGCATCGATTGGTTTGTTTAAACTATCGTACGTCGTAATATGCGTTTAATGGTATTTTTCGGCACTTCTTGAAAAATAGCATGCAAGTAAGAACATGCAAATTGCTTTAATTGGTGAATTAGCCTTTCTCATGATGACGAGGCTGTCTTTAATTTAGGCTTAATTTATTGTTCAAATAGTCTATAGATTCTAAAAAATATGCTTCTTACATTGCTATTATTGTGTAAACGCGTTTCAGAAAATTGAAAGTACCCCAAAAACGGCGGATATTCGTCATCGTGAGAAAGGCTAATTTCTGATGACCGCGAAATTTTTGGCAACGCAGGCGACCTTGAACGCCTTCCTTTCATTCTCCGCGTTACAGCAACTACTCTTTTCTCATCTTAATATCCTGTCTACGTATCGAAATTTAATCGTAAAGGCAATAATGATGTATAGCGGAAAGTTCGTGGACATATCTTTGGCTATAATATATATTTACGGATAAGTCAGTGATTTTTTATCATATCTCGTATATAGCTATGTGTTTGTTTAGAATAGATATAATTATAAAGATATATAGAAAAATGAAAACTATAACACAAAGACCCTTCCTCTGGAAGTTAGCTCGCAGACGACTCTCATAACATAGCACTTCAGTTTATAAGTACCTTGGGCGCTTTCCTTTATACGGAAAAACGGCCAGACCGGTCCTGGGGCCAGTTGTATCAAGCCCGTTTAGCTTAAACGGTGGATAAGTCAAAATTAAATACCACTCTTACATCTCTCTCGAATGAGTCAACTTGAATATTATGCACTAAATATGTAGTTGTAGACAGTATCTTTGTATTAAGCTTAAAAACATTTAGTTTGCTTGTTGAATAAAACGAAAGACTTGCTTTCTATTTTGAACTTATCCATCGTTTAAGCTAAACGGGCTTGATACAACCAGCCCCTGTTGTATTTTAGAGTGTTTCAAGAACTCTGCATTTAAGCATAGCGTCATTTAGATCTGCCTAGCACAGGAAATCCAGTTTGGCCGCTATATTCTTAACGAAATACTCTTTTTCAATTTAAAATACGACCGGTCTGACCATTTTGGCCGCTTAATGGAACCCCTCCCCTATAGTTTTTCATTTCGTCTATATTTTGTTTCATTTTTCAATTCTAGAAACGCACCCAGTCATGCATTTAGCATAGCAATATTTACAAAATTTCGATGGATGAAATTGTAAATGTATAGACTTTTCCCGAATTTGCTTGAATGCACACAGAAAAATAGCTTCGAAACGAGGCGGGCAATAATCTATTGTTTGTGGGATGGCATCATTACTCGGAAACAAATTCGGGAAGTTTCTATTAGTTGTCAAATTTCCATTGAAGCATTGATATCCTGGGATGATTTCACATCTTAGCTTAGCCGATATAACTGACCTTGTCAAAGTTGATAGAAGCATTTGACCGCAGTCGCAAACTTTGAAAGCCGGAAAAGGATCGACAACTCTTGTTCCATTGTATACAATATAGCTTCGGTTGTGAATAAACCGGAACATATACATTGCACAACACAATCAATTATAAACAACACAAAGCATTTTTGTATATATAAGAAAAATAATATATGATAGATTTTCTAGCAATGACGTCAACGCGGAAAGCCTGTGACTGTCTGTCGTCCGATTATTTCCATCGTTTTGCGGAGCCAATCGAATTAACCTCGTGTGATATCAGATCTTCCGCGTTTGAAAAGGGTCTACTGCCAAAGAATACTGGGCAATGTTTGTTTTCAGTTAACCCTAGTTTTTTCCATTATTTTGCCCTGAATTTCAATATAACAATCGGTGTTTGGTTACAATGCACCTCGTTGGTTATTATGCTAACAAGGACGAACTTCCACGTGTTCTTGAAATAATAGAACTATATACTTACCGTATAAAAACCGTCGGTGGTAATAATTTTCCAAGCAAATGCGAAGCTAGACTGGCGACTATAACTACTATTTCTTATTTTCGATTTACTTAATTAAAACTTAAAGGGAAACTATTTCAGGGTTTTGCACTTGACAAAAAGTCCTGAAGAAGGCAATTCTTCATTGCATGGCAATGGTTCGTCACCTTTCTTCCTAACCTGCCAGATTTCTTGGAAAAAACGTTTGTAAATTTGTACAGCCTAAAGCATTATGCATATGATATGCATTTGATTGAGATAATTTTAAGGCACATTGTGTTTTACACATCAAGATTATATGAGGGAGAGGGTATTGTATCTGTTGAGTCGAATACCGGCACAATCACCACACGATTAAATTGATCCCCTACACGGATCATTCACCGTGGAAGTTGTGAATTGGAGTTTCTTGACGTATTCCATTTTGGTACAAGCCGATTTTACCCTGTCATGTCTGTCACGTTGAACAGAAGAGGCAATTATCATCAGAATAAGATAATATCATAATTATAAAAAAACAAATGAAAAATTGAAGGAAACTTATTGATATAATCTTGGTTTAGGTACGCGACGATAAACTATGCCCGAAGAAGATAGAAACGTTCTATGAAGAAAAGAAGACTTGCCTTCTAAATTGCAACAATATCTCCTCCATCGTAACAAATGACACAGGTCAGTATTCTAAACGGAGCGTTCTATAGGACGTTATTTACCGTTGCGCGTACCGAAAACACCAGATAATATTCCAAAAACCCGTGAGTCATAAGACATCTTAAAAGTGTAGCAAGCTTATTCAGTTTTTAAATGCGTATGCGCATAATATGTAATCATATGGCTATCCTTCATGATTTTTGATAAAGTATTCTGCATGATTATCTATGCTTTAATCTCACGTGTTTTCTGCTATTTGTCTTTGTACGGGGTCGCTCGTATGTAATACTCTATTAGAAAAACTTCATAGTATGCCATCAGGAGTTTTTACATTTATGATACAAGCATATATATACAATGTAAACTTGCAATAAAAATTAAAAGAAATAATGATTGATCTTCCATGACCATGTAGAATAAAGTCCTAATTATCGGATGGTTCAATGGACTCGTCTCTACCCATGTGTAGTTATATGACTAAAATTCTAAATCGTTGTTCAGACTATTCTAGAGATACAGACTTCGTTCAAGCTCCCAGTTCACCACTGCTGTATCTCTCTGATTATAATTCTATAACGTTAAAGTGGAACACGTCGCGGAAGGTGATAAACGAGGTCGCGTTTTACATATTGCAAATTCATCCTGACTTCGAATCACTGAAAGATCCTTTAGAGTTACCCCCTTCCATTCCAAGATATGCCATGGTACGTACGCGATTCATAATTTCAGCTAATTTCTATATAATCGACATCAATAAGGGTCTGATATTGGCTTTAGTGTAAAACTATTTGTTTAGTATTTTCCATTCTTTCCCCTGGTTCAAGAACTTCCGGGGATCGTGTTTCCTCATTATAATATCACGATCCTTATTAGAGATTTAATGCCTTGCGTTATACGCCAACTGATAAACGGCAGGTGAAGAAGAAGTTTAGGCTGAAAGGCAACAAAAAGGAGATAGACTCGATTTTTCATAACTATATACCGGCACAATCAATGTTTTTCTTTTCAAATAAGAAAGAAGATATAAAACGTAAACCTGAACGAAATCCTCCAAGAAAGTTGGGCCTCGCCGCTTGCCGTTTCTCGGAAACGAGAAGCTAGAGCTCGTATATATTTTATACGCCCAGTGTCCGAGCCTTACAACTTAGCCATTGGTTTTGATTAATGTTATACGAGTCACCGTATCAGTTGGTTTTACCATGACATATGAGCGCCAAAATTATGGCCTATAGCTATCACAGTTAAAACGCAAAATAATGAATTAACTTTTAAATTTTTCCTTTCGAATTTGAAAAAGATCAGATGAATAAAAGCCCTCAACCGGCTGTATGATAAACAGCATATATAAACTTGGGTTTTCTCTCGCAATATTGCCCCTGACATTGTTTGAAAGACAACTGCATATATGGGCTATACACACTGATATGCATATAGATCACATAAAAATAAAGTTTTTGCTAGGAGAATCATATTCCGGTCGCGTAGGTGTACTTTGAAAACTCTCCATTTAAAATTTTAGGTTAAAGTAACAAGACACACGAATTCGCAAAGATTTACTGTCGAGAATCTGGTCAATGGATTCAATTACAAATTTCGTGTTGCTGAAGTTGGTTTAAATGGAACGAGCAGTGAATATAGCGAATGGAGTTCATGGTATTCAACAAGCAGTAAGAATATAAATACATAAATTAGCGATTATTTTTGTAGGCCAGAGACTTTGCATCTCTTATTATAAAGATAGTTTTTCCTGTAGTTTTGCCCGTTAATAATTTACTGCCGTCATTTATTAGGGGAGTGCAACAGGACGAGTAAAATTGTGGACGGTCTATATGGGTCGTACGAAGTGATTTTACCATGTTCCCTCAGTAGAATCACTCTTAATGTCGCAATAAAAGCTGTTGGAAAGAACCCGGTGGTGTTGGACGCAATGTTGAATTGGAAAAACCCTCCAGGTAATAAGGAAGGCGTCATAAAAATCATGACCCCGCTCTGAACCCGCGGTTGATCGCTGCATTGAACAATTTTGAGGCTGCCTATGCATATTGTTCGCACTTGTCAAAAAATCATTTAAAAATATTGTTGAAACTGAATCAGGTGTAATAATATTGTTTAATATCGGTATAAGTGTGAACAATATGTGCATGACAATTGACAAAACTGATAGACTAAGTCTGCATGTTAATATCGATATTTCAAACGTATATAGGTCACATCCAGGGCCGTTGCTTGAAGCTTAATTGGGAAGGTGCATTTCACATAGTTCGTCTCATGCCCGACTGATCTCTCTTGTTTGCTATTGTTTCTATGGTTGTAGAAATATGAATATATGAAAATACACCCCCCAATCAAGCGTCGGCCCTGGTCATATCAAGGTTTTGAAGGGATTTTACTTTCGTTGCATGCTCTATGTGATCTTTTTACGAACTCACTGATAAAAAATTCCACGAACTTAAGTAGAAATCATAGTTTCGTGAATTGTATTTAATAGGAAAGACAAGAACGCAAAAAATTTTTTATTTGTTTTATGATTTGTGCAAATAATTTTTGATCGATATTTCGACTTGGTGAAATTTAAACTACCTCTGGTGTTTGAACACAAAAACAACATGGAAATATTTATTTAATATATGAACTAGAATTAAATGGTCATCCATTTCTATTCCAGGATTCACTGAATTTGGACAAATCGTAAAAGTGACTGTTGAACTTCTTCAGCACGAAGACAAGACAATTGATGCAATGTGTGCGCACTATCACGACAGCGATTTTAAAAAAAATGTTTTTCCCATGGAAGTTAGTATTCCGTTTGCAAAAACGTTGGCCGCAGATAGATAGATAGATAGATACTCGAAGTCTAATTAGAATTGCATATGATTACATTTGCATGGGATTTCAATCATATTACACAACATATGCAATTCTAATTAGATTTCGGGTATCTATCTATATATCTATCTGCGGCCAACGTTTTTGCAAACGGGTGTATATATATATATATATATATATATATATATATTATATATATTATATATATATATATATATATATATATATATATATATGTACAATTGAAGATAAAAAAGTTAAAAAGTTTCACGCCTTTAAAGAGCGATCATCAGACTAAACATTCCTTATATTTACAAAGTATTTATACCTAAAAAACATATAAATATATATATATATATATATATATATATATATATATTATATATATATATATTTCACTATATTTATATATAATATATATATATATATATATATATATATATTTATATATATATATATAATACAATAATATATATATATATATATATAATACAATTTTTCTAATAACCTAATGTTCCCAGTGGCGTAGCCAGCACGATAATTGGGGGGGGGCACATATTCATATATTCGTGATACACAGGATTAATTTCTTTTCAAATCAATTGTCTTTACAGTCTGTTAATATGAATATATGAATATGCGCCCCCCCCCCCAATTATCGTTGCTGGCTACGCCACTGAATGTTCCCCAAAAATTCTTGAGAATTTCTCAGTTTTCTAATAATCTAATGTTCTCCTTCACATTCTTGAGAATTTCTCATTCAGAAACAAGACGTTCCTTTACTATTTTAGACACTGAATTGTTATACCACTCGCTGCCAGGCGGCACCTTGTTTTTCTTTTAAAGTGTATCGGGCCTTATTCCTTTAGCTTATTAGCTTTAGATATTAACATGAATATAATCACGCAATCACACACTTTGACTATAGTTTTCTTGATAATTACTTTCAGAATACTACTTCATTACTTTTGCCAAGTGAAAGCGAGAGTGCAAGATTGGGCGATTGGAGAAAGCCTACACTTCATTTTGGATGTAGCTACATTGTAAAGGTATAACTAATTGAAAGCACACTTTGAAGCAACATACCATGTTATCCATTAGCTACTTTAGTGAATAACCTCATATATGAAATATTGAAATCTATCTTGTATCCATCTAATCTATCTTGTTTATTTTTCTTGTTATAGTTCAAAACAGAACACTTTAAGAGTCCGAACAGTTTTGAAACAACGACCACGTTTAGAATTCCAGGTATATATAGGCTCTATAATTTATATATAGATTTTACACCGATTATCCATAATCCTACATTTGATACTTATTTGCAACGTCTTCATCAGCAACTTGTGTTAAACAATACATTGCTAGATAAACAGTTGACCAACCTTCGTTTTCGCTAATGCAACCAGGTAATTTTATTCTTCTCTATTTTATAGAGTGTTTGCAAGGTGTCAGATCTTGCCCTGGTATGTGGTTTTTTGCGAATATTTTTCTTTCCTTGACTATATTATTTTGTTAAGACGGCTTTCATGGACATTCTTTATTCCAGTACAAATTAAAATTAAAATTGAACAATATAAACAGTGCATGAACCAGCGCATTTAACATATCCTGCAGTATCAACAAGTTCTGTTTGATAACAATATATGCCTCTATACATCCTTGTATGGATATAGTTGGTCAGCTTCTGCTGATAGGCAGCAGAGTGGTAGCCTGATGCCTTCGAAAATACCCGTGCATTCATGGGCCTTTTTCCGATTGTGCCATTTTCAAGGGCAATTTAGTTTAGGACAGAAACCAAAAAAAATTGGCAAGCTTTCTTTACAAACAAAAATTGGCGATGTCACAAAATTCTCAAATTGATCGCTATAATTGGTACGTCACGCGTTGCGCGCTTGAAAGGCAAAAGGAGAAAGGCTCATTAAACCTGTTAAATTTTTCGGAGTATATTATTTTGGAACGACTATATAGTACGTACGTGTTGGAAACTTTTATTTATTTCAATCCAGTGGCGAATACAAGAGGTATTAATTCCGGTGCTGTTGCTGAAAAATCGTTCTCCAATGGTAATGGCAACTCGTCGTACGCAGCAAATATCTCTTGGAACGCGGAAGGATGGTTAAAAACACACAAAATAGAATATTTCCACGTAACTGTTGAAAAATGGCCGCGCAATTCCAGAGGATATCATCATGATGTGGATGTTCAAGCGAAAGATGGAGTAAGTAGCTATTTTCAGTACAATCGAGAATATGTCAACATTGTTATGGCATAAATACGTTACAAATTTTGAAAAGATATGTTATGTCGCAAACTTTATCTTGTTAGCCAAATATCTAGAACCAAGAATGTAGATTCTTATTTATATGTTTTGCTTACTGCTTCCTTCTGTGCCAAAGGTGATGTAATCCGCTAAATTTCCATAGGTTGTCTTCTACCATACTACGTCTTATAATATGTCCGAAGGAAACTACAAAGCTGTGGTTAGTATCCAACTATACTGTTGATTTATTGCGCTTACACTATAATATTTTCAGTATAACTCATCTGGCAGATTACGCTTGCATGCTTTACATGCAATTACCATATAGCAGCCGAATGGGATATCCGTACAGGTTGTGGGCGTCAGACGAATTTATTTTACAAAACCAAATTATGCACCGAACGATTATATGTTCGTACAGTTTTAGCTGCATTATGTGGCATTTGTTCTATATTGCATACATGCAAGCAAGTTTCCCAGGCACACTTTCTGCATGCCGCTTCCTAACCGCTTTTTTTCACAAAAGAATATTAAAATATGATATTTTAAAGCAGGAATCAAAGATATAGAATATAATACATATACCCCCAAATACTCTATAATACCCTTTTTTGTTCATAATATGCGAAATTTTAAAAAAAATTCATCGTGGCTTGTTTTTTCTGCTCGATGATACGAATTTCAGATCTGCTTGATTCCATGCTGACTGAATATTACTGACCATTTAACCGGCGCCTTAAATTGGGATTAGTGTACGATATAAAATAGCATAGCTCATGCATGGAAGTGTGTAATTAATGTTCTGCTTTACAAAATCTGCTGACTCACCAGGTTAAAGCCTATCATGGAATGAACTGCATTCACGATATTATTGAAACAAGAATATTCCAAAGTAAGTGTTGTAATTAAGTCAGTTTTGCCTCGACATTTTCTATATTTCCTATACCCTGTGATATATTGATCCTTTTATATACGCCTTTATACAAAAATTCTGCACTGACGCACAATATAGTCACCAGCCAGATCGATATAAGCCTATATTCTATCTTCACTTAGTCGCTGCGATTTTAGGGAATCATTTTTTTAATTGTTCCATTTGCTATTGACATAGTTCAAAAACCATGCAGCCAAGGGTGTACAGAAAATGCTACTTGCATGCCACGTGGTGTTCTTGATGGGAGTGCAAAGTGTACATGTATAGAGGGATATACAGGCAATGGAACAGTATGCACAGGTATACACAGCATAGAGATATTTTCATAATTATATAGAGAAGTAAATTCTACATACGACGACCATAGCAATTGACACATTGCAAATTAACACAAGACACTGAAGAGATGTTGATTGGTACGCTTCTCCAAGCAATTATTGTCGATGGGCTGGGAAAACCGATACATTTTTTTTTGTAAAGCAATGACATCTCTTGAAAGTATGGCATCGCAAGGCAAGAAAGAGGAGGTCAATGTCACCGCAATTGTTGTTCCTGTGGCATTTGTACTTGCCTTGATTGCGTCAATATTCGCGCTAATATTTTGGAATATCAGGAGAAAAAACAAGTTGTTGCTAAATGTGATCGAAGCCCACGCGGCGTCGGCAATTTCACCATCTCCGTCAAACACGAATCTCTATCAGCATTGTCCGCCACGGTATGTTGTCGTGCAAAATGAGACATTATTTCTTTTTACGATCGTTAGCCTAGTATGTATAAACGCGCGTTTAGACTGGGTGTTTTCACTGGATATCTTAGTCATTCCGTGAAAATAGTGCGTGTTTGTGTATGATTTCATAGATTTATTTTGATTCCTCAAAATCATGTCATCAGCAACCGATGGCTTAGTAACCGATGGCGTGGACGTCCTCCTAGTTACGTGACTTATGTCACTGAAAAGCGGAAGTGGATCATATTCTTACCAAATGAGACAAGTAGCATGCTTTAACTTTCCAGTGACATCCAAAATAACATTCAAAACATTTTGCTTTGGCGATTCTAAATCGTGTATAAGCGCCTGCTACAAATTAAATATAATAGAATAAATAAGCCAAGTGCAAAACACAAGTCAGACAAATAAACAGAAGATTTTTCCAAGTTACCATCTAATCGTTCTTTTATACTTTAGTTTCAACTTCGGGGAAATATCATCCAAAGAAAACGAAGTTGAAATGGACGAAAAAGAGGTGAATGTAATTTATGTTCCCCAAGAGATCCAAGATGCGATAAACCACGGTCTAACAGACGGATATGAATTCAATGCCGAGCAGATTAAGTTCGAAGAATGTCTTGGTAAAGGCGCATTCGGATATGTGCATCGTGCCCGAGCTCTGGGAATAACAGCGGAACCTGAGTGGACACTGGTCGCTGTGAAGACGTTAAGCGGTAAGGAATGCATCGCCGTGTTTTAGTACTGTTTTAAGTAATTAATCTTATAATGTACACGTAAAGTACACTTATTGTTTGTAGGAGTTTTGAGTGTTCAGACAATTTAAGGGTGCTATAAGAGAGAATTGAATTTACAGTAAAGGACTGAAGATGGTTACAAACGAGGATATTTTTAGAATGGCGTAGGATGAAGCTTTCGCAATGCAGTATTTACAACAGCCGTGCAAATCCCTGCTTCCTCATTTTTTTGTTGTTGATCTGGGGCCGGTTGTACGAAAGTCGGATAGTGCTATTCATGCATGAGAGTTTTTAAGTCGCTCTAACATTGCCCGTGTTTTGGTACAATTTGAATTGAACCTTCCTATTCTTGACGTTTGTCATGTTTCTCTGTATTCATTTTTGGGCCAATATCTACGATAATATTGAAACGCGTTCATTTGTTGGAAAAACCCGTGGTAGACGCCCTCTTCCCATACACCCCGAATAGCTTTTTTTGTTCGCGCTGTTCGACGTTGAGCTATTCGGTTTCCAATTTTGTTTCAGAGCCCGTCACAGAAAAATCTATAGAAGATTTTATAGCTGAGATAGAGCTGATGAAGAAACTCGGTGAACATGAAAATACTATTCAAATGCTCGGGTGCTGTACTTTGACATTACCAATTGGTCTAATAATGGAATATGCTCCGCATGGGAACCTACTGACCTATTTAAGAACAGTTAAAACCAAGGTGTGTATATATGGGCATTATGATATTTCTTTCTTCAGGTGTGTGTTTCGATAAAACATATCCACGCAGACTCATAAACTCGCCTTTAAACGTTCCTGTATGCATTGTGGGGGGGGGGGTTGACTTGATAATCTTTGCCTGCGCCCAGTGACTATACTTCACAGACGGATGAATTTTGACCATTCAGAATGCAGGAAAAGCAACAGTCACCTCGAGATTTATACTAAAAGTAAAGAGATATACATCTATTTCCGTAATTTGGTTGTATAGAAAATTAAGTTAAGTTAATAAAGTTTGCAATAAAAAACACTGGACAAAAATGTTGCATGTAGCTACGTGCTTTGAGTTTCGAATAATAATGATAGTTTATTTTCCTTGTTCAAGAGAAATTATTCCATGTATATACTACTCTGTTGCATAGTTCGACAGGCGTTCGTCTCGGGAGGTATACAGCTTTAAGAGGATATAATTTTCAACCTCGAGTTTGACCTTAAAGTAATAGCTATGCATGTCAAGATCGTATAATTCATGCATATGGTTATAAAAAAGTAAACTTGTAAAATTATCAAATATTCTAGAATAGTGGTATCGAACAAGAATCCTGTTGTGACGAGAAGCTGCCTTTAGGAGAAAATATGGTCGCAGGTATTACGGTTTGCAACTTACCACTAAATTAAAATGAATTCCGTCTCTAACATTTTATCTTACTTGCGACGTCCTATAAAAAATTTTGGAACAGAAATCATTAATAATATTGTGATTTTGATTGTATGCAAACGTTGCTATGCATAGTCGCTATTTTTTTCCAAATTCTTAAGGATCTGGCATTAATTCTAATGAAATTCATCGACATTAAATTTTCGACCATTTCAGAAAAGGAAAGTGACAAGATTAATACAGAAAGTGCACTAGAGATGGATATATGCCTCGAATCATTTGCTCTTCAAATTGCTAATGGAATGGTAAAATTTTAAATTAATAATACAATTACTCAAATGGTGCAAGTTCTATATATTATAAGACCATCAAGCCATTTTTTTTAAAAAAACCCTGCATGTATTAGAATTCCATGGCCGCGTATTCTGTTAGGGCGTTGCGCTTAGTTTTGAGAAAGAGTTTGATTCAGGTGGATGTAGTACAAAAAAGGCACAAACAGCAAAATTCAATGATGCAACATAAAAACGTGATTCTATATACTGTATAAACCACTTTTCATGAAAATTTCCTTTGCATAATAGCCTAAGAGCTGTTCATATATGAGCCCGCGGTTACCGGGATTTACAAAACGCGTAAAACGGACTTTGAGGTATTAATGAATAAATCATCCTAACAATATAGCATGTGGCTGTTTTGTTTCAAAAAGACTTATTTCAATACCTCAAAGTCCATTTTACGTCGTTTCGTTAAATCTCGGTAACCGGGCTTAGGTATATTTGGAAACGAATATTATAACATCGTGATTTGTTGTCTTATTGCATAATAAAGACATATGTGGCCGGACGTGGAATTGTGCATCGTGATCTTGCCGCAAGAAATATTCTCATTGGCAGAGATCATAAACTAAAGATATCCGATTTTGGTTTGTCAAAAGAAGGTGTATATGTAAAATCAACTAGTGGAAAGATTCCTTTGCGATGGTTGTCGATTGAAGCCATCCGCGAAAGGCTTTATTCTAGCGCCAGTGATGTGTAAGTCGTATTCCTCGTTCTATATATTGACATCAAGCTATAATAATTTACGGTATAGTGATATAATAATAAGAAAGTAAAATATTAATTAATTATACATATTTTTACGTTTTCGTGCATCCTTTAGTTGGTCGTATGGAATTGTACTCTGGGAAATTTGCACATTAGGTACGTTTAATACGAGATAATAAGTATAAATTAGTATATACGGCTATATCTTCGCTAAACCAGGTGCGAACAAAGAAGAACATTGACGGATGCGGTATGTGTAGTCAATATAGCTTTACATTTAGTGCCATGACAATATATGTTATTTTGCGTAGGCGATTTTCCATACCCGTCACTGTCAGATAGAGAATTACTAAAGTACTTGGTGGGTGGGGAGAGAATGGAAAAACCAAGTAACTGCACAGATGAAATGTAAGTGCGAAATAATGTATAATTATATAATACATTTTCGCTCAGCGTCACTTGTATTCTTTACTGCAGAAATTTAAAAATCACAAAGGAAAATTTTGTCAGAGCGAATTGTATTTATCTCTTTGCGAATAATTTAGCATAACGATCGTTTTGCTTCATTTTTCATTATTTCATACCATCGTCCTGTCCCTTTTACACAAGGTACTCCATAATGTTAGAATGTTGGCAGGCAGATCCTGAAGATAGACCAACATTTTCTTATTTACGTGACACACTTTGGAAGATGAATAAAGGCGAGACTCCTTACGTTAATGTTGATCCAATCGCTGCGGACCAAGGAGATAACATTGAAAGTAAAAAGGCGATTGTGACATGATAAGTTTTATATTTATGTATACAGAGTTTTATATAATTATACAAAGTGACCTGATAAGTTTTATATATACAGATATGTGCACATATGAAATTTATACTGAAATGTTTCATAGAAACTATGAAAGACTATAATTATATAGCTATGCTGCATACAGCCAGGGCATAGCAATGACATAGGAGGGGTCGGGATAGCAAAGAACTGCCAAAGAGTGCTACTAAGATATCCTATGTCATTTTCAAGAAAATTTCTTCAGATTGTCGAAATAGCTAGGCGGTTTATATACATGGCATGATGATGATCCCCAGTGGCGTAGCCAGCCTGACAATTTTTTCCCGCTATGTAAATTATAATTATTCATCCATCGTAATTATCGCTACTCTGGTTTTAATAAATGAAAGTAATCACCACACAAAGATTAGCTTCAGTAAAAGTAATCACCACACAAAGATTAAAGTGGAAGCCAAGTCCGTATGTAAACAAATGGTTTGTTTACATTTTGAACTTCACTATTTTTTAAAATACGATGTGCTGTCTGAATATCTAACACTATTTAGGTTCGCTGCGCTTGTAAATTAATATGAGCTAGAGTTTATGTTAAGAAAAAATAAGAAACATGCGAAATTTGGGGAATTTTCTCATCAGAGGGCCCACACTTGTTATGAGCAGAACCTATGCGCAGAACGGACTTAACTTCCACTTTAATGGGTCGTGAAAGTTAATCTTTGTGTGGTGATTCATTTTATTTATTAAAACCAGAGTAGCGATAATTACGATGGATTATACAGTATAAATGTTTACCATACTCATTTTTATGCATGCATATGATGCAGTATAATTTGCTTGTTCGCAAAAATGATATTTATTAACAATATTTACAATTTACAAATATGAATAACATTATTTAAATGCGCATCTCAAGGACCATGACCTTCGACATGTCCACTTTCTCTAGCAACACAAAGTTGCATTAAATCCCCACTGGCTGAAATTCGTGAACACGGCATTCAAATTTTAACAATGAGTGATTTCAATAGTTTTCGTTTTTTTTGGGACACCCTGTATATTGAAAGGAGTACATGACCTATCACATGATCCTATCTTGGTAGTGGGGATCCCAACAATATTAGCTGTTTTTTCGTTTCATGAAAACTTATTCAAATAGACCTTTTCAGCTTGCATGCAAATTAACCCATTCCCAATCAGATGGTCTGATATGGTTACGTTTTATTCGGGCTATTCCATGATCGCAACACCTGAAATGGGTTAATTTGCAAGCAAGCTGAAATGGTCTATACCTGAAGATCATCTCACGGTGTCATAGTCGTAATTTGCATGTAATTTGTTAGAATTGGGTTTCATATGTTGGATTTTGCATAACAACGAATTACATCTACGCAACATGTGATTCACGATGAATTACGACGAATTAGCTATAAAGGGTGTCCCAAGGTACCCTCTATTGAAATCATTCTTTTGTTGCTGAAAGTAATTTTTGTTTGGGAAACACTGTGGTGCGTTTATATGAGAGTATGGACGGGATGTTTGCCGGGATGGAACGTTCTTCATAAAGTGTTTTGTTATTTTGAATAAATTAATACATCACCGACTGTCGGTGAAATAGAGAACCACGCTTTACAAAGGGTATTGTTCTAGACCTAGTAGAACAATACCTCTTGACATGCATGTGCTTTAATATGTGTGTATTTGTAAAATTTATGCATGGAATTGATCACAACTTTAACAAGGCATTCGCTGTTGAATAAAAGTTTTTCATTATTTTGCAATGAATGCCCGAGGTGTTATAACGAAGCCAGGTCGGAAAACATCAAAACTTGCTGACGAGAATACAACAAATTACAAATGAATGTACACCAAGTTACTCCCATGGCCATGTCTTACAATTATAAATCAAAAGGTCAGAGCGAGAGAGAGTTATATCGCGCGGCTCTAGTACAAGGGGATATGAAAACAATTTAATATACTTTAATCGCAGATTGAATAAATTCGATTACTGCAGCGTTTGAAAGCAAACTTGAAAGCCTTTTGCTGTAGCCGGTCAAAATTGTTGATGACCCCGAAGATACAGCCTGCGAAGGAATACAAATCTGATTACAACGTCGTGGCTTGCGGCTCCGATAATGAGATATGTCTCAAGCAAGAAAACGTGTGGCATTGAGCTGACTAAAACAATCACACAGTCGTTTTTGAGGTAGGCACGAAGTCAACCGATAATTAGGGTCCTTTTTTACTTTCATTGTAAGGGGTTGTTCACACGAGCCCGAGATTTTGAGGTTTGAAATAAGCCAAACAAACTTTTCAAACCAAACAAGCACATGTTACTGTTATAATGACTTTGTTATGAATGTTGGTTATAATGACTACACAGCTACCAGGATCACGTTATTTATGTAATGATTCAATACCCAATGAGTCATTTTACGTCTTGTTTGATCTCGGCTCAGTCGGATCATCTGAACGACGTCCAGTAGGGGGATTGGGGGCACACATACAATACAATTCATTGCATGGGATCGTTCATTTATGTCAGTTGAAATTATGAAGCCGGGCCTTCTGATTAAAAAAAGTTTATTGGATAGATTATACAAAAAGTACAAATGACGATATACAAAATAAAAAAAGTATATGCGACAGCTATGTGACAGCTATATGTTAATTAGTTCGACGATTACTAAAGAAAATAGTGTCCCGAAAAATACTTGCGAAGCTTTAAAGAGTTTTAACAAATTCACAATGAAGTTATAAAACTAGTTATCCGAAATCAATGACTGCCCTATCGGTCGTAATCATTGAATTAATTCTTGACCTCATCACTTTATAGTTTGCGTCATAAGTGCAGTTAGCCTTTTAAAAATACATTCCTAAATTCCTTGCTGTTGGAAGGGTGGAAGAAAGCAGTCATGGTATGTGAAGTGGAAATAAAATAGTAAAAACTCCATCTTTTTAATTTAAGTTTGAGAAACAGCACGAAACAAACTACGATTCCTGCGCGTGGAATACGGCAGGCAGCTCATTGATTTCAGTCTAAATGTTGCAAAAATAAAATGATTTTATGACAAAACGCTGTAAATTTGAGCTTAAAGCCCTAAGGCTGGGTTCAACTCAGAACAATTATCGTGAGGAGAAATTTGGCAGGACTTGTTAATTAACGTAAACACAAAAACAAACCTGCCTGCCTGCCCAATTCAGTCTGGAAGTATAATTATCCTGAGTGGAAATCAGCTTTCAAGGGTGTAGGGTCTCCTAGGTTCTTACATCGAGAATAGCATGCCCATACCAACATTCCAGTTATGATAATAATCACTTCGTCAAAAGCAGCACTTGGTGGATGATTATACAATTCTCTTCGTAGACTCGTTCAAAATAGGTTGCATATCAAGTTTTGTTACTAGATATTATCTTTCTGCGGTAGTTTTTCACTAGGATCGACGCATTCTAATGTTGGCGTACATTATAACTTTTTGGCCTGTCAATTGTATCTTAACCATTATTCCAAATTATAATCACGCGTCCGAGCTTTGACTTCAAATCCGTGACAAATAATCGTTTTTCACGCAATTTTTGAGCCAAAGGAAAAACGACTGTGACTGATGTGGAGAAATTACCAAATGTGAAAACTTTTAAGAAAATCCATTTACTGCTATGGACAAAATGATGTCAGCGTCGGTAATTTTGTTAATTTTGTACATGGTCAGGCTTGATCATATCATGTCGATGGTGGTTGAATCTTGAGTTCTTTGCTAACAAAATATAATAGTATTCCTATAATCTGTCAAAAATTAACATTCGCATGTCTAGTTTTATTTCCCGCTCTATACATAGCTACATCGCTATTTGAATTCATTCTACGCTTATTAACGTGCATGAATATGTTTTTGCTCTTCACTTACGTTTTCATATCACAGAATGCATTCGTTCAACTTGATTTTCCTTTTGTTGAATGACATAAATTTAGCGCCGGGGGTATATGGAATTTCTCCAATTGTTTTGTTTAATTTCAATTTTCCGACTGGCGTTTGTATAATGTTAGAACGAAGAATGCTTTCAGTAGGTGAGGAGTTTCCATTTGGTGATACCATGCATGTGGAGTTGTAGATCAACGACGTATGTTCACTATCAACTATTCAATAATTCTCTATTGGTCATTCGTTAGTCAGCTTAATTTTTGCAAAGCTATAGTGATACAGATGTGGATTGTTCCTTTTGGGACCCAAGTTGAATCTCTCTTTTCCCCATATTTCTGCGTAACGTTGTTCTTGCTTTTACGACATAGTCGGAGAATGTTGGCTATAAAGTCAAGTTCTACTTTTCCCGATTAAATTAAAGTTAGGGCTAAGTGCCCTAATTACGAATGCTATTAATAACGTACAAGCATGCAGTATTAGATTTAAAGGGATATGGCGATAAAAATTATTTCTGTTTTGTTGAAAAAAAATTACAATTTTTGTAGAGCCTCTTTACAAATTTTGTTTATCTTCCTTACTTCGCAAGATATTGGGGATCAAAAACATCGGCAATCGAGATATATCCGCCATCTTGTTTTATAATGAGATCTAATAACGTGACGTCAAAAGCAGGGTTGACGCTTAAAAATAACAATTACATGTTCACGGTTTAGTTTACAACTCTTACAATTCAAACGTTATAATTTGAGGTACGTGCGATTGTAATACCATGAAACTATCACTTTGCCGGATCGTTAATTTGAAGTTACAAAACGAATTCTCATCCAGCTTGTGACGTAACGCATATCAGAGCAAGAATATGCATATCCAAAATGGCGGATGGAAGATTATTTCATTCGAAAATATCTCGAGAACCAAATCAAGTTAACCAAAATCCGTAAACGAATTTTCTAAACAATCATGACGTTCTTTTAAAATAGACAAAGATAATTTTTTTTGCCGAATCCCTTTAAAAGTTTATTCTTTGTCACTTTTCTTCATTTCATTATCAACAGAGTTCGTGTTTATCAACAAATTTGCTTTACGATAGGAAGCATTTTAAATCGTCTATTTTCTATCTTAAGGTCTATTTACACAGCCCAATTTTGTCGAATCCAGTTCACTTTTTATGCAAAGAATGTAGTCTATTATTAAAAAAGCAGGACTACACTGGATTTAGTTGATCTCCTGCACCACTTACATTCTATCAGTATGCCAACATACGATAAAACATCCATCTGAAGTAAATTGGACCCGACAAGTAATTAAATTATATTTGAAAATAAATTCGTGGTGTGAACAGACCTTTAGATAATGTGAAACATATGTGATCTATTTAATCCTTTGAACATCATTGATTTTTGTCAAGAAAGTTTGTTTGTTATTAATCAAAGCGTATGTATCATCTTTTAAAGTTTCAAGTTTCATATTTTAAAGAAATGAAGGCTTTGAAAAAAAAACGCTACAATTGCCACTAAAGAGGTTCAAGGATGGCACAAAAGTTTAATTTAATTTTGCAAAAAGACAGAAAATCGTCAAACTGCCGGTTCCCCCAAATTCCAAAACAACATCGTAACTCAAAGTGATTTTGATACTAATAAACTACCGCCATGCATTGCGATCTTGGGGAAGGTAAAAAGTTAAAGGTGACGTTTACTGGAATATAGCATGCGTTGATATCAAAGTGCCTTAATTTTTTTATTAAAAATCGGATATGTATATGTATAGATGTAAAATCTTAAAAGTTCCCATGCACCTGCAAGAACTTTGCCCTACCCTACCCCAACATTAAACCCCAATCCTAACTCCGAACTTTTTCAGCTTCACTGGTAGGCATGAAGCTCGTACGTACCCTGTCATACCTAATAGCGAGTTTGAGCAAGGTAACGAAGTTCAAGATTTGACTTTAATATATCTTACCTTGAAAACTTCGTTCGGACAAAAACGAACCACAGAAAATTTTCGTCCGAAACCAGGAGAACAGGACGAAGACGTTAAGCCTTCACCGCTGACCTTAAGTGGAGTATGCGCAAAATGATGCGCAGACTTTAAAAAAATGTGACGTTTTTCTTCGTCTTCATACTTCGTTGCCTCGCTCAAGCTCCATAATATGCATGCACGGGCATCAAAGAACTCATAACCTATACCAACCTTTGTTGTGTATGATGTACTTGCATGTGATTGATTCACTGCAAGCTAAAATTCACGCACGCTTCTTGCTTGTCCAGCCCAACATCCAAGTTTGGGAAGACTTCTACTCAAAAATAACAACAATGAAAAACATTCCAGAATAAGTAGAGTGCGTCATTTGTTAGTACATAGTGTACGTTCATGTGAATCCAAACTCTGATATGGCAATTTTTCTGAATATAACTAAGCTGAAATGCATGCGTGTTCTGAACATCCTTCTAGACTTTCTACAAGTTTTCTTCCTTCCATCTTTCTCTAGGTAAAGTTGGGCACGGGTACTATTTCTATATTGTACTGTATTGTACTGTTTCTATACAGGTACTGTTTCATTGTTTCTGTATTTTCCTTTAGCAAATGGAAACTTTATTTTCAATTGATTATTACGAAATACAAACTTGATAAACCTCGCTTTACAGGTAGCTTATCAATGACTACAAGAATTGACTCTATATTATTATGTATATACTGAATAAAATGTACTATATGTCATTATTTTCCGGTTATAAAAAGATTATAGTGTCATAAGTGTTGGGTTGTCCCACTCCTTGTTTCGTTTACAAAATATATAATACGATGATCTTATGCACATATTTACAATTTTTTTTTATATATATTTGCTATGCTGGGCGTCAAATTTTAGGCTTCTGAGCATTTCATCGAAGCATTTAGCTGATCTACTAAAAACGCCTAGTGCACTCAAGGATAAGTTGAAAAAGCAACTTCATATAATATTATGGTTGATGAATAATGAATTCGAAGGTTATGCGAAACAGCAATTTGAATTATATAAGGAAATCACTATTGGAATTTTTTTATTTTTTGTATATTGGTATTACATTGTTACTGTATTATTAAAACTTGGATATAGTTTATCTTGGATATGGTTTAGCTTAGTCCAGACGTCAGCTAGGAAGTCGGAACTTGCATCTTTCGAGATTGAACTTTTACTTTTTCCATTTCATCCTTTCGAAATCTTACGTCTTCTCCGTAAATGGTAAATGGAGCCCATGTCGAAACAGATTGGTAGATTTTCTCGGTAAGTTTCTCCGTTGATGTTCTGGAAGCCTCACCTACCGTTGTTTTTTTATAATTTTGGAAAAAGTTCATTGTTTTTCTCAAAGCTTCACATACCAACGTTTCCTTGAAAATTTCGTCATAGAACATTCTCATAAATTCTTGAGAAGCCATATCATTAATAGGCCATAGTGTAGCCAAAACCGAACGAGCCCCGGCTGCCAGAAACGTTCGAGTTATACCAATCACACCTTCAGAAGAAACTTTACCTTGTCCACTGTAACAACAGCATAAAACTACCAAGCGAGCTTTCAAAGGGATATTCATAATATCTTGCTGCGTAAGAAGAAACGACTCTTCGGTGCGATCTGATTGGTCCAGCAAAGGGTTGGTTGGTTGAAAGTAGTATTTCACCCCGATTTTCTTCGCCATGGGCAGCAATATGGACGATACTAGCCCCACCTAAAAGTTTCATTACTTCCTTTTTCGTCGCGCTTCTTCCAGACAATGGCTTTGTCTCGAAACGCTTAGAAAGGTACTGAACTTCTTTGTCTGCTCCGCTTAGATCTTGAAAAAAATACTCTTTTCCATGTAGAGAAACTCTTCCAACGGTTGGATTGCCAACAAACAAGGCATAACCGAGATCTGGATGATCAGATCGTTCAATACTTGACCTAAGAGTGTGTAACGAAGGAGTGATTTGAATGCTGTAAGAACGCGACAATGGACAGTTCTTTTCATCAACTAGTGAACAGAAAGGAACAAAAAATAGTTCTTTGTCAGGCACAATGATTAGCTTGTTTCCATTTATGATATCCATGGCTGGCTCAACCAAGAGCTGGTACAATCGTCTCAAAGTTTCAGTGTCGTCAAAAGCAGGATCAGAATGGTCAACATTTTTTCCAGGCGCGCGTGCCTCGCTTGTTTCCAAAGAAGTGGCTATTGCTCTACTAGATTTTTCGGCGTCTGAATCGTAGTTAAAAAACGAAAAACCTCGTTTAAGAGTAACACCTCGCCGTTTTAAAAATGGAATTATCAGTTCTGAAAAAGTTTCTAACCGCAAATCGGATATTATAACCCTACAACTTACATTATTACTTAAAACCCAAGTGTAGAGAAATTGATTTGCGTCGAACGCGAAGAATAAAATTGAAGTGTTGTTACTTTCTACTTGGCAAAAGTTAAATAGTTGTTCCGTTTCCAGTCGTTCCTCACTACAATCAATTCTTTCCCATATTCTATTTGCATGAAGGAACTTGACTACGGGTTTGTGCTTTTCAATCCAACAATGAAGCTCTTTGGCTTTTCCTATGTCGACGACTAGTAATGCGGATTCAGTGCGCCAAAGGGCAATAAAAGAACTCATCAAACGTAAATGTAATTTGAAATATTCTATAGCGAAAAGTAGCTTGTTGTCATCAGGAACGGAATTTAAAAACATTTCATCAAAAAAGCGTATTGACTTGATCATGTGTAAAGTTGCCTTTTCATGCTGTCTCAACCCTTGGTAGGCAAGGCCCAAATGAGCATTTTTATTCATTTTACCTAAGTCAGTGCCAAGGGAAGTGTTAATTTCTAATCCTTTTTCCAAAAAGGCAATGGCTAATTCAAAATACCCTTGATCAAGTAAGGTCAAGCCAAAATTACCAAACGTACTCGCTATCCAGTTTTTATTACCAAGTTCCATAGAATAATCTAAGCTAATTTGGAAAAGTTAATGGCTTTTCGTATTCTCTTAATCCTGGTAAGCGCCGCAAATTGCATAATAAATGCTGTTACTGACTGATTCCTGATTTTTGTGTTAATTTTCAAAGCTTTTTCAAAAAATTCAATCGCTTTTTTATGTTTTTTTATATTCAGGTAGACGAGGCCCAAATGTCCATTTGCATTTGCTCTTCCCAAATGATCAGTAATTTCATAATTTTCCAGGGCAGTTAGAAAACAGTAGCGCTCTTTCATAGTCTGCTAAAAACTGATAGACAATGCCCAAGTTTTGATGAGCGTTTGCTATTCCTAATCGATCGTCTACCGCTTTGTAATTTTCTAACGATTTCTTGTGATGCTCGATAGCATTGTCGTATTTTCCTAAATCATTGTAAACATTGGCCAAATTGGTGTTCCCGACAGCCATATTTTCCTGATCCCTAATCTCTTCGTGGTATTTTAAACCTTTTTTATGGCATTCAATAGCCTCTTCAAACTTTCCTACACGTCGATATGCAACGCCTAAATTATAATTAATTGCAGCAGCTATTTCCGAATCATCCGGATGATTCTTTTTTTTTAAACTTTCGAAAGCTTTTTGGCTGCATTTAATGACTTCTTGGTACTCTTCCCTAAACACATATATATTCATTAATTTGGAATATATCCTTGCTTGTGCTGAATGGTCATTAATTGCCCGGTGAGCCTCCAAACTTAAATATAAATAGCTAATGGCATTTTTGTACTCTTTCAAACATATATACGCGTCCCCTATCTTGTCACTCTCCTGCGCAATAAGATATGAATCCTTAACTTTTTTGCTATATTTCAAAGACTTTTCATAACAACTAACAGAATTTCTATATTCTTTCAACTGAAAATAAGCATCACCCAAAACTGAATTAACCTGTGCTATCGCTGAAGTTTTATCTTCTGGAAGAATTAAAAGGCAATTTGTATAATACTCAATTGCCTTCTCGTAGATTCCGAAGACTTTAAGGAAGAAATCGCCTCTTGTCTTATAGGCTAATGCTACCTCTTTTAAATCATGATTTTCAGAAAAGTTTCTTATTTCGTCATCCATTGCCTTTACTAAGTTTTCCGCCGTATCATGTTCACTAAAACGAAAACGCATGATAAATTAGTTTCTGCGTAAAACGATCTCTAAATTTCAACCATATACTTCCTACTTCAGGCCAAATTCACTATTTAAAAATTAGTCGCCAAAGGCCCAGATAATATAGGCTTGTAATCACCGATCCTGAGGATCGACTAATTGTTCCACAGGGTGTCCCAATAAACCCGAAAACTATTGAAATCACCCATAGCAATGTAATTGTTAGAGTTTGAATGCCTAAGCACTCTGTTGGGACCCACAAGTGTGTAAATGTTTGCCATAAGCATTTTTATGCATGCATATGATGCAGTAAAATTTGCTCGTACGCGAAAATGATATTTATTAACAATATTTAAATGTGCATCTCAATCAACATGACCTTCGACATGTCCTCTTTCTCTAGCAACACAAAGCATTTAGCATTTCACTGAGTTGCATTAAATCCCCACGGGCGAAAACTCGTGCACACGGCATTCAAATTCTAACATTGAGTGGTTTCAATAGTTTTCGTTTTTTTTTTTCATTTCAACATTGAGGGTGAATCGAGGGACGCAGTATAGCTGTGATGCAAGGCCAAACATATAATAACATCACACATAATTAGTTAAAATCTGGTAGCAAAACATTACCTGGTGACCGAGTTGGGATCGCCAGCTTTAATTTGTATATTCAACGAAGTCGGGGTTGAATTTTTTGAATTTTTTGAACCCATTTCTACAAAAAATTGATTGTATTTATCTACATACACACAAATAGCAAAAGCTAAGATATATATCTAGATATATATTTAGACAAGACGCCTGCTCAAGGCGTTACTCCGCCTGCAGGTGAGCAAACACTACAGGTGACAAAAGGTTACAAAATGAGGTGCTTTTTGTACTGTTGCCTGTCAAACTGTTGTCTGTCATACTTTTGGGATTTTTTGTTATACATTTTGTATTCATTAATATGAAATCATTCATAAATGCATCTTTATTCATTGAAGTAACTTTATTTAATGATGTAACTTCATTCAGTTGCTTAACTTTGTTTACTGATGTAACTTCATTAATTAATATAACTTTATTCATTGTAACTTCATTGTTGGCATTCAAAGGTAAGTTGGCATTTAAAGTTAAGTTGGCATTCAAATGTGACTTGGTATTCAAATGTGACTTGGTATTCTAATGTGACTTGGTATTCAAATGTGCATTCATGGAATTCACACTCAGGGAAATTAATTTTATTGCAACTTCCTGCGAATGAGCACCAAAGCCTGTGAATTAGAACAAAAATAAAGTTTTATAAGTTTGGCAAATCAATCCTGATGTATGATGTACTGATGTACATAATTCATCCGTGTAACCCAGGGCTTCTCGGTCAAAATGTTTTGGGTTACCTGTAGAAATGCCAACTTCTGTCGCCCAAAACTACGACGAAAAGGAAAAAAGACCATGGCATTTTAAGACTCCGCTGCGCATACGCAGGCGGAGTAATAATATACATCCTTCCCCATGCAGAAGACGAGTTTGGGTCACGTATACCTGTGTAGGAGTTTCATGCAAAATACCTCGGATATCTAATCAGAAGTCGTCTGAAGTTAATCATTTTTTAACTTGGCCTTAACTTGGCTTAATCAGCGTAATGGGCGCCCTAACCGCGTAATGAAAAACAGCGTATATGAATAGCGTAAAACTCGCGCATGTAGACACTTGCATTTTAGCTTAACTTAGTAAAAATGTCATGTTTGGCTTCGAAATATTGTAAAGTACCGAAAATATAGCCTTGCGAAGTTGGCAAGAGGGTACACACTTCCGTCAAAAGTATAAATCACTGATACAAAAATTACTATTTGCATGGCTATATTTTGGGTACTACCTAACAGTTTGCAGCCAAACTTGGCAATTACACTAATTTCAGTATGCTATTTTTAGCTGTGGGGATTGATTTCCTTCTTTGTTACATAGATCATAAGTTGCTCCATTGAAATGCTAATTGCTGCGAGCGAAGCGAGCAGCCCTATATTCTTGACGGGCATCTCGATTTCAGCGATTTTTGTTTGTCAGGATGATTTTTTGAGCACACGTACCATAGACACATAGAACGGCGGTTTCATCCTATGCAAATGCGTGATACTTCATATTCGCACTTACGTAACTTATGTGCGATCTCAACTCGGGGAGAATTCTCTTCTTCAGCATAACCGCGATAAAATATTGCATACGTTCATCATAATATAAACAAGTTTAAGTTTTTTGACACGCAATATTGCCATTACTATTCTGAAGACTACCCAAGGAAAAGGTACTACGTGTATTTACTCGCAGCAGTTTCACTTACAATTTGTAATTCTAGTATGTTAGTATTTCAATTGGCGATTTTGATGCCATTACGCTCTTTTTCATTAAGTGGTTGCGGTAGCTTTTATGCGTTACATTACGCCAAAATAAATTACTCAGTACAGCACTAATTTGAGTTGAAAGTCCGATATTAACGATTTTATTGGTTATGAATTCCCACATAATATTTAATAAGCAATTTTTGAATGAGGTTGAACATGATATGAAAAATTATCAAGCCGAAGTTTGTCATTATCAACTGAAGCCGAAGAACGAACATGTATTCCTCAAAGTTGCCGAACCAATATGAAGGAGAAATGTAGACCTCGGATAACAGAATTAAATGTGTGGTCAACAATGGTCGGATGACTAGTTAGAAGCTTATGCCAAGGAGATTGATTGCATTTACCTCTCATTTCATGTTGCTTTCATTTTAGTTAAAAAACGATCATTAGATAATCTTTTAAAATAAAGTAATCTTGCATTCACAAAATCCACTATGTCAGCACTAAAATTACAAAGCTAGCCTTTTTAGAGACACCTTGTGGTGAAACTAATTAAGTTATTTAAGCTGCTCAGCTTGACGTCATATAATTCCAGTAATCAAACTGTGCACTACGTTTTTAGTATTTATAATATTTACATAAAAGATATGTGCATGTATGTCAAAGTTTCAGACGATGACTCTTGGTCGTATCGTCGAGAAGCATTTTTTTCATTTTTAAGCACCGTAGTTCAAAACAAAGGTTTATAGAAGATTAATAGGGCATAATAGGTTTAAGAGATTAAAAGCAAAAAAATAGCTTTAAAATGATTCAAATGCAGATGACACTAGCGTAAAACATAGATCGAGTACAACATATTGGATTTTGTTCCACGCGCTATGAGTGAATAAAAGTTCAAAAAAGTTCACCGCACAATAGAACCTCCTGCTTAAGCACGCCGCCGCTTATGACATTTGGCTAAGCAGAAAGCTCTAGTGTGCGCCAGGCTTTATAGAGGTAAGCCATGTAGCATTAGCTATTTATTGCGTGGGAGGTATAAAATTTAGATTTCTATTCCTTGCAACCGAAAGTCCTTTATGAAATCAACTATTCTAACCTATACCAATATATTTACACTAAATTCTTACAAATCGCAAGATTTATTCTTAACTTTTCAACTCTAATTGCAAAGAGAAAGATAAACTATACAACGTGAAATTGACGTAATAATTAACAGACCGAATATGCGGTCAGATCGGTTTTGTTGTTACGCGCATCTTCGGAAGGCTGTTTTTATAGATAAACCTATGCAAACGAGATAAATGGTATTTACTTTTCAATTCATGTTCGTTTAATCGTTTTCATTTGCGTTTAAAAATGTCTATTTATAAATAATCTAATGAATCAAAGCAGCACCGCATTCATGCACAGATTTCACCGTCTAACTTCTATGACAAATTTGCTATTGCATGATGCATATATAATTAAAAATGTTCATAATTAACGCTTTTACCGAAAATACGCTTCTTATACTGTATATTAGCTAATTCAAATATATACGTCATACACAAACGTCAATTTTGTTTAAAATAAAACAATAGCAAAAATTATATTAATGCAAACACTTCTTTTTAAATACTTTTCCTTTTAATGCATTACAATTCGCCATGTTAATTACGCTGATCTTGAAAACTTTGAAATTTAAAGAGAGTTTGAACATCACATCAATGACGCACAATATATGTCGACAAACCCTACATAGGGATTAATTCAAATGAAAGCGGAAAGATATCGCTTTTCCTCGATGTTTCTACAGACATAAACTGTCATCGCAAATGATGAATTGAATAACAAAGAAGCTTCTACGATTAAAATGCCAAGATATTTTTGTGTGCCAATCATTGCCTTCAACAAAGAAAATTTCCTTTAAAGATCGAACATAAGCTATAGGTATATCTAATGGTTGGAAAAACTTACAGATCATGCAATGCAACTGTGTTGACAAGTCTTATAAAAACAACGCTGAACGGCTGAATAGTTCTTTAAAAGCACTCAGTTCTTTGAACATACAGTGTTCATCACAATACATCTACGCTGTTCAAAATACCACACTGACAAAAAATTGAAAGGTAGCTTTTTCGAGACACTCCGTGGTGAAACTAATTGCGTCAGGTGCACGCATGCATGAAATATCGCCTTCACTCAAAGGAATTTTGTTTCACGAAAAAAATATAAAGTTTAAAGGCATGCAGCTAGCCAATATCACTATCAATCGATGCAAAATATATCAAACTTCATTAAATTGTGATTCGGACTGATTTAAATTCAATGCATATGCAACCACACCTTTAACGAATTATTGTTAAAAAAGAGAATTTTCTTGTCAAAAGCATAGATATCTATTTTATGACTGGGACAATCGAAACATCAGTCAAGCCTCGGATTAGTGAGGGATGCGGAGTAAGCCAAAATAAATTACTGCAGCTCTAACTTCAAATCATACTGTGTACACAAAATGTACACTTTGAATGCCGAAAGAGTGCAACTAAATTAGTTACACACTTCCGTCTAAAGTATACAAAATCTGCTAATACGCATGGCTATATTATATATATATATATATATATATATATATATATATATATATATATATATATATATATATATATATATTTTATATATATCAAGCTGAACTTAGCATAGTGCCTTAAAAGCACTCAGTTTCTTAAACAATTAACAAGTTTCTTAATAATTATAACATACTGAATATGTGTTCAGACCGGTTTTGTTGTTATACGTGCATGCATCTTCGGAATGCGGTTTTTATAGATAAACCTATCATTTTATGCAAACGAGATGAATGGTATTTACTTTTCAATTCATGTTCGTCTAATCGTTTTCATTTGCGTTTAAAAATGTCTATTTTATAAATAATCTAATGAATCAAAGCGGCACCGCATTTATGCACAGATTTCACCGTTTGGCTTCTATGACAAATTTGCTATTGCATGATGCAATTATAACTAAAAATTTTCATAATCATAGCGACTCAACGCCTTTACGGAAAATACGCTTCTTATATTAGCTAATTCATATATACGTCATACACGAACGTTAATTTTGTTCAAAATAAAACAATAGCAAAAATTATATTTATACAAACACTTCGTTTTAAATACTTTTGCTTTTAATGCTTGTCTGTTCTTTTACAATTCGCCATGTTAATTACGCTGATCTTGGAAACTTTGAAATTTAAAGAGAGTTTGAACATCACATCAATGACGCACAATATATGTCGACAAACCCTACATAGGGATTAATTCAAATGAAAGCGGAAAGATATCGCTTTTCCTCGATGTTTCTACAGACATAAACTGTCATCGCAAATGATGAATTGAATAACAAAGAAGCTTCTACGATTAAAATGCCAAGATATTTTTGTGTGCCAATCATTGCCTTCAACAAAGAAAATTTCCTTTAAAGATCGAACATAAGCTATAGGTATATCTAATGGTTGGAAAAACTTACAGATCATGCAATGCAACTGTGTTGACAAGTCTTATAAAAACCACGCTGAACGGCTGAATAGTTCTTTAAAAGCACTCAGTTCTTTGAACATACAGTGTTCATCACAATACATCTACGCTGTTCAAAATACCACACTGACAAAAAATTGAAAGGTAGCTTTTTCGAGACACTCCGTGGTGAAACTAATTGCGTCAGGTGCACGCATGCATGAAATATCGCCTTCACTCAAAGGAATTTTGTTTCACGAAAAAAATATAAAGTTTAAAGGCATGCAGCTAGCCAATATCACTATCAATCGATGCAAAATATATCAAACTTCATTAAATTGTGATTCGGACTGATTTAAATTCAATGCATATGCAACCACACCTTTAACGAATTATTGTTAAAAAAAGAGAATTTTCTTGTCAAAAGCATAGATATCTATTTTATGACTGGGACAATCGAAACATCAGTCAAGCCTCGGATTAGTGAGGGATGCGGAGTAAGCCAAAATAAATTACTGCAGCTCTAACTTCAAATCATACTGTGTACACAAAATGTACACTTTGAATGCCGAAAGAGTGCAACTAAATTAGTTACACACTTCCGTCTAAAGTATACAAAATCTGCTAATACGCATGGCTATATTATATATATATATATATATATATATATATATCAAGCTGAACTTAGCATAGTGCCTTAAAAGCACTCAGTTTCTTAAACAATTAACAAGTTTCTTAATAATTATAACATACTGAATATGTGTTCAGACCGGTTTTGTTGTTATACGTGCATGCATCTTCGGAATGCGGTTTTTATAGATAAACCTATCATTTTATGCAAACGAGATGAATGGTATTTACTTTTCAATTCATGTTCGTCTAATCGTTTTCATTTGCGTTTAAAAATGTCTATTTTATAAATAATCTAATGAATCAAAGCGGCACCGCATTTATGCACAGATTTCACCGTTTGGCTTCTATGACAAATTTGCTATTGCATGATGCAATTATAACTAAAAATTTTCATAATCATAGCGACTCAACGCCTTTACGGAAAATACGCTTCTTATATTAGCTAATTCATATATACGTCATACACGAACGTTAATTTTGTTCAAAATAAAACAATAGCAAAAATTATATTTATACAAACACTTCGTTTTATTTACTTTTGCTTTTAATGCTTGTCTGTTCTTTTACAATTCGCCATGTTAATTACGCTGATCTTGGAAACTTTGAAATTTAAAGAGTGTTGAACATCACATCAATGACGTACAATATATGCCGACAAACACTATAGGAAAGATATCGCTTTTCCTTGTTGCCTTAATTAATTCTACAGACATAAACTGTCATAGCAACCGATGAATTGAATAACAAAGAAGCTTCTACGATTAGAATGCCACGATATTTTTGTGTTCCAATCATTGTCTTCAACAAGAAAATTTCCTTGTAAAGAACATAAGCTATAGGTATCTAATTTACTTACAGATCGATGTAACTGTGTTGATACGTCTCATCAAAACCAAGCTGAACTTAGCATAGTGCCTTAAAAGCACTCAGTGTCTTGTAATATAGGAAACATGATACACGTAATATGCACAATAAACAATGCACAATGGGTTATTGAAAAGGGATATCATGCATGTAGCGATATAGCACAGTATGATTAAGCAGAAAACAGTTAGTTGATACAGGAGCACGGGAAGAGCACATCTCAAGCACCGAAGCACGAATAAAGAGTTATAAATATATGTGCGAGTTCTGTGAGTATTTGTAAAGAGCTGTCTCCCCGAACGACCCGACGATCCCGGACGTTATAGAAGAGCCTAAACGAAGCCACACAAAAAGGGTCGTTTTACGGTCTTAAACAATTAACAAGTTTCTTAATAATTATAACAGACTGAATATGCGGTCAGACCGGTTATGTTGTTATACGTGCATCTTCGGAATGCGGTTTTTATAGATAAACCTATATGCAAACAAGATGAATGGTATTTACTTTTCAATTCATGTTCGTTTAATCGTTTTCATGCACTTGCGCCTTTAAAAATGTCTATTTATAAATAACCTAATGAATCAAAGCAGCACCGCATTCATGCACAGATTTCACAGTCTAGCTTCTATGACAAATTTGCTATTGCATGATGCAATTATAACTAAACTTTGAAATTTAAAGAGTGTTGAACATCGCATCAATGACATACAATATATCTGTATGTCGACAAACCCTACATAGGGATCAGATGAAAACGGAACGATATCGCTTCTCCTGGTTGCTTTCTACAGACATGAACTGTCATCGCAACCGATGAATTAAATAACAAAGAAGCTTCTACGATTAAAATGCCAAGATATTTTTGTGTGCCAATCATTGCCTTCAACAAAGAAAATTTCCTTTAAAGATCGAACATAAGCTATAGGTATCTAATGGTTGGAAAAACTTACAGATCAATGCAACTGTGTTGACAAGTCTTATAAAAACCACGCTGAACGGCTGAATAGTTCTTTAAAAGCACTCAGTTCTTTGAACATACAGTGTTCATCATAATACATCTACGCTGTTCAAAATACCACAATGACAAAAAATTGAAAGGTAGCTTTTTCGAGACACCCTGTGGTGAAACTAATTGCGTCAGGTGCACGCATGCATGAAATATCGCTTTCACTCAAAGGATATTCTGTTTCACGAAAAAATAATAAAGTTTAAAGGCAGCTAGTAATAATAAGATCTTTATTTAAACTGATAAACCGGTCAGTCAATCATACATTGACTGGTATCAATCGGTGACCAGTATTTACAAATATATATATGTATAAAATTTACAAAAACAGCATTGAAATAAAATGAAATAAGGTCAGTTTATAAGCTGCAAACGTGTGTGGTAGCGTCCATATCTAAAAAGTATTCAAATAATTTACGTTTAAACTGCACAATTGTCTTTTGATCCCGTATGTCCTTTGGCAGTGAATTCCAATCTCTAGCAGCTGAGAATTTAAATGATGTTTGACCGCATTTTGTTTTAACTTGAGGTAAATCTACTAAAGTTGAGTCCCTAAGAGATCGACAATGTCGTTCTGATCGCTTTACTAAATAGCCTATTAACTGCTTAGGGCAGTTTACATTGTTAATAATCTTATATACATATTGTAACCTAATAAAACGACGTCTACTATAAAGTGTTAATAAAACTAATTTAGCTCGCATCTCCTGTGTGCATGTCTTACGACTTTTCTGCAATATTATACGCATAGCCTGATTTTGTAGGCGTTCTAAACGTTCAGCATTCCCCTTTCCACATTCACCCCATACCACGCATCCGTAGTCTAGTAGAGGTAACACAGTTTGCTTATAAATTCTAAGCAAAATATTACAGCTAAGGAAAGATGAAATTCTATTAAGCAGTTTCAATTTTGGATACACCCTAGATAGTATATAGGTTACATGTTTATTCCATGTGAGACAATTATCCACATAAACTCCTAGATCTTTGAAGTATTCTACCTGTTTCATTGGATTTCCATCAAGGATAACTTCCAATTCTCTCGTGTTCCTTACAGTATACCTAGATCCAATGAGCATTACCTCACACTTCTTTTGATTGCTGATTAAACCGTTTTGTTTCCACCATGTCGCAATGTTAGCAAGGTCTTGGTTTACCTGTTGTTCCGCCACATCAATATCTTTTGCACTCGCATGGATCTTAGTGTCGTCAGCGTATAACGCTGTCTCGCTGTCTTCACAGACATCACTAATGTCGTTTATATGAATGTTAAACAAAGTGGGTCCAAGGACCGAACCTTGCGGGACTCCGTGCGTGATTAAACGGCTTTCGGATTCTACACCACCACATGAGACGAATTGAGTTCTCCCTTGTAAATAACTTTTAAACCATTCAAGTTCGTTGTTATTTACTCCTTGTTTCGAAAGTTTACTGATCAAAATATTATGATCTATGATATCGAACGCTTTTTTTAAGTCTAAAAAAGCACATACAACTTTCTTTCCCTGATCTATAGAAAATTTCCAGGAGTCAACAGTAATAATAAGTGCGACCGTGGTGGACGAGTGCTTAGCATATGCATATTGATGGTCATTAATAAGGCCCGTTTCTAATGCAAATTCCTGAAGATCGGCATTAGCAAACGATTCTTGCACCTTTGATATGCAAGGAAGCACAGATATTGGTCTTTGATTATTACGTTCAAATTTGGGACCACCTTTGTACAAAGGTGTCACTCTTGCCATTTTCCACAACGACGGATAATGACCGTGCCTATAGCTAGGATGCATTAAATATGTTGGCTACAACATTACTAATATAAGGCGCAGCATTTTTCAAGATTTTAGGTGAAATGTTATCTGCGCCAGTAGCCTTTGATGTATCTGTTGTTCGTAAAGCATTGAAGACATCGTCTTCACTTAGGGCACGAAAATTAAAACAGTTACTGGAAGCAGCACGCACGTTTTCCTGTTGCAGGTCTACTAGGTTTCCTTCTGATTGCCGGTCGGTTAGTAGCGTGGAAGCAATTGTTGTAAAATATTCATTTAGTGAGTTCGCAATATCACGCTTATCGCTCAATTCTTTACCATTTACCACTAATCTACCAATTTCAGCGCTGCTTTTTCGGGAGGGCAAAACTAGACGTAATATGTCCCAAAATACTTTAGGTTTACAGCGGTTTTCTTCAAGTTTATTTCTAAAGCAACTTTTCCTGGCTTTTCTGTTCATTTTAGTGACATTGTTACGAAGACGTCTGTATTCACTCCAATCTTGAGGCAGGCCAGATTTTTTAGCCTTTTTGTGCACTTGATCGCGAGTTCTCATAAGTGTAGGAACAGTATTATCAAGCCATGGATGAGTCTTTTTTCGCATACGTTTTCGCTTGAGAGGGAAATGTAGATCAATCAAAGATTTTATCAACGATTCCCACACGGTGCACATATCATCTACATCATGAAACGAATCAACCAGGCTCCATGGAGCTTGCTTCAAATCAGCTATAAAGTCATTTACTTTATTATCATTCCAAGGGCGCGTTGTTATAATGCGATGTTTATTTGCACAAGTCACTGGACATTGCATAACACCATAAATAGGATAATGATCGCTTAGTGCTATATTGATTACTCCTGCCTCATTAAACAGACTGGGAGTTGAGGTGATTAACACATCAATTAAAGTACTTGTAGTGGGCGTTACGCGAGATGGTTGTTTTATCAATTGTTCAAGTTCATTTACCATAGTAAATTCTAGCAGTCTCTCTGTTTGTCTTAAGGTTGAATTAAGACAATCACAATTAAGATCACCAACAATTATAACTTCAAACTTATTTCTAGTCGCGTATCTCATCACATCATCAAGATAGTCAAAAAAACTCCAGAGATTCATCAGGAGCTCGGTATGCACATCCAATTAAATATTTACTGTTTTTTAGTTGTGCTTGAATCCACGTAACTTCAAAATCCTCCTCCAAATCCTCTCTTCTGGTGTGTTTCATACGACTGGATATATACAGTGCAACACCCCCCCCCTACGTTTGTTTCTCCGATCCAAACGCTGCACGGAAAAACCCGGTATTTCGATTTCGGTATCTGATATAGAACTATCTAGCCATGTTTCTGTAATACCAATAAATATTGGGTATATGTCTTGAAACGTTAGCCTCAGTTCATCAATATGAGCCATAAGACTCCTACAATTAAAATGCGCCAGCCAGTGATCGTGCTTAGACCAACGATAAATATTTTCCGATGTTTCACCATGTCCATGTGATGCTTGGATTTCCCTAAGGTCGGTAGATGTTTGACATTGTTTTCTGGGTCCAGGATTGACTAAATTTACTCCACTTCTCTTTAACATTACTATCGCTGGATTGAACGAAGATGATGATCGCACAATATAGTTAATCCTTCGTTTTAAAAAACGTTTCCTGATGTAAATATCGTTCTCCCAAAAGGTTATTGAACTAACATAAATATGCCCATTTGTAATACTCATTTCTGCACTAACTGAGAGATTTTTATCCCATTTTCCCGTCCAACTTGACTCTGAAACGTTTATATTTAACGAAGTGTCCAAAATATAGCGGTACGAAAGAAACCAAAGGAGCAATGTTAATTTGGTTACAGAGCTCATAATAGAGCTACCAGCCGCCATGATTGTCAGTTATGATTCCACCATAAACCTATTTGTGGAGACCCTATAATGTATCATGGAACTACTTTCTTTTATTAACATTAAGAGCAACGTTTTTTTTTCTTCACAGCTGCTATTCCATTTAAAGAGTAATTGTATTTTAGTTAATGTAACTATATTTTAGTTAATGTAACTATATTTAATTCTGGCTCATGATTCATTGTTTGCGTGAAGAATTGATGAAAACTATAAGCAGTGCCTCATTTGTGCCAGACATGCAGCTTTAAGTATAAGTTCGTTTAGAAATTAAACATAGAGACAGAGCTCTAGGCGGTTAATCTTCTATAGCAGGTCTAGTAAAGCTTACCTGTTTCTTACCATAGTGAAGAAAAGAAGAGTACTTTAACACACATGGATGCAGAGTATCATATAGAAGAACACGAATTACAAAAAACAAGTATCATTTACATTAGAAAGAGACAACAATTTATTGTTGATCATGCGGACAGTATATCCTCTTTAAGACTTTAAGGTTTTCTTGTTTTGACACACTTCATGTAATTCGTCTCATGAAGGCGTCGCTGCGCCGTTCGACGTGATATTTTGGGTAGATGGGCGCTCTTTGGGCGACTGCGAGGTAAGCTGTGCTTTGACATATCTGAGAGATCACGTTGTCTCACAGCTTTTTTGACCAAAACAACTTTCGTGGTCGTCCAAATTGCAGGTATTTTCCCTCCACTTTCCCTTTTTCAAACGTGAACACAGCTTCTTTCACCACACTTTTTTAAAGTTTTCCACAAAGGTTTTGTGCAGAATGTGTCCAAAGGACTCAAACTATTCATATAAACTAAAGATTTCCTTAACGAATAACGATAAGTGAGCATGTGCTTGAACCTTTTCGATGCACCCTTCATGTATGTATATATATTAGTTTATAAATGTTTGCATGGTTCCACTGCATGCAGTAGCTATTTTAGTTTATCAATAATGAAAATAAAGTTAATGAGGAACCTTCCATATCAAGGCGTGTCTTCGGTTTTGGCAAAAAACGTCAGGCAGACAACGCAGAAATTGGTGTGTAAGACGTTTCAACAATTCAACCCGAAAATCTAATCGCTGGTTCGCAATTGTGCATTTCTGTACCGCTACCAAACAGAAAGCTTTACAATATCTTATTATATCTTATATCTTATCTTATTACAATATGCAATCTTTTGACAACTCATCATGCACATCTGACCGCTTCAAATCTTTTGTGCAAGACATATTTTCTTGAGTATTTATAAATATTTTTTCTCACCAAGTTTGAAGTCTAGAGAATATTGTCAGTATCGAGAATTGCGTCTATATACCAATTTCGCGCTAGTCTGTCAGACATGCGTCAAACCGGCGCTCCAATGCATTAGTAGATCCAATATGGCACCGCACGCAAACATCATTTGACCTGCTCAATCCAACCAATTAGACTCCTTTTCCATTTGGCGCGAAGAAACAATGGAACTTATTGGAACTTATAAACCTGCCTATATTGCCTCAGTACAGTTAATCAGGCTAGAGATCTCATAACATGCATAAGACTAACGTTATTCAACTTAACATAACTTCGTGCTCTGATGGGTGACATCGCTCATAGTAAAAACAGTTTATAACAATTATCTGTGATATGATTGTCATAATAATAATGATCATATTGTGATAATTGATAACCGTCTAAAATCGTTTCAACTGTTTGATGACATTGATGTTTAGGTGTATCTCTCATTTTGCTAGATTTACTTTAGTATATATTTAATCGTCTTATTAAACATGTTTGAAATGAATGAAATTACAGATTTGGTGCTAAAAGTTATTATAAAAGGAGAACCTCGAAATTAAGAATAGTAGAATACTATGGTTTAATTGAGATTAATTGAGATAGCCCGAACAACAGGATATAGTGGATTGAAAGGAAAGCGCCCATTTTGGCCGCTGAAAGGAAAGCGCCCATTTGTTAAAATTCGCGGGTACGACTTGTGATTCATGATGAATTATGACGAATTAGCGCCCTATATTGAAATCATTCTTTTTCTGACAGTCAGGTGCGTTTATACTGAAGGGCAGTTCATATGAGAGCCTCAGAGCCGGGACGGGATGCTTGCCGCGCTTTTGCCGGGATGGGACGTTTTATTTTCATGGAGTGCATGCATGTTTTGTTATTTTGAAAATTTTTCTTTCACTGCTTGGCCACAAACAATACATCCCAGGCTATCGGTGACATATGAGAGCCAGGCATAACGAAGGGCTTGTTTTAGGCCCAGTAGAACAACAGCTCTTGACATATGCTTGAATATGTATGTGCGTAGTTGCAAAATTTATGGAAATTACCCCGGCACAACTTGGGACTGGGAGAGTTCTATTATCCGGCTCTAATGCAACTTATACAAGGGGATACAAAAAACAATGTAATATATACTTTAATCGCAGATTGTTTCGATTTGATTAAAACTTAAAAGCCTCTTGCTGTAGCCGGTCAAAATTGTTGATGTTCTTGAAGAAAGCGCCTGCGAAGGAATACAAATCTGATTGCAACATGACTTGCGGCTCCGATGATGAAATATATCTCAAGCCAGAAAACGTGTAGCATTCAGCTGGCTAACAAGAAAAACACATCAGAAACTGACCATGCAGTAACGATAAAGACACCTAAAATTGATGTTCTGCTTTTGGTAGTCATACTTTTGAGGTAGGCATGCACGAAGTTAACCGATTATATTTCTTAGCGTGTACATGCGTATGAAAAACGCGAAAGTGGAAAGCGGAAGCCCTAAGGATAAGCATCGTTCAGGAGGTTTATAAAGGTTGTTTAATGACAATCATATGGGTTTTTGTTACATTTCTTTTTTACCCACTTATTCAGGTAACAATCTTTGCTCGGATGTTCAAAATCTGTGATAGTTTCGTGCCATCTTGGTGGCTCGTTGTACCGACTGTTTAGCTTTGAACAGAGGGTGCTCCAAGCGAATGAGCCCAAAAAGCGATAGTCGTAATCAATCTTGTAAGTTTCGCGCCACTTGTGCAGCTCTCTATAAGCTGTTTCGTTTTTATCAAGCATTTTCAAATATTCGGCCAACTCTCGTGGCGATTTGAAGTCATCTACATGGATGATTGAGTTCGAAGGTACACGAACGTGCTCAATATAGTCCTCTTTATAAGCACCCATGACAACTGGGACAGCATCGTTTCCAAATCCTTGCATCCACATTTTAAAACTAACGTAGTCGCGGCAGTTCGAGTTTTCAAATGCTAGAAAAAACTTATAATCTTTAATTTTATCACAGGCCTTTTTAGTGTAGTGACCAGAGCATTTTAAGTTTTCATTACCGCATTTGCCAAAAACGTCGACCTCCATGTATTTTCGTAGCTCCTCTACATACTGGCCTCTTCCATTTTTCACAAAGTGACAGTTACTAATTAACGCGGCCGCAAGTTTGGTTTTATTTCGCACAATGCCGTCTATATCTGTTTCTTTTTTCTCAATTTCGCTTTTATTCACCTTCCAACCATGCAACATTGGGACATCTGCATCCGTACGATACGTCATTGTCCAGTTGAACGCAAACTTACGCCTAAAATCGCTCATCTTGTAATTAACGGCATCTATAATGGCATGGAACGGCGATTCTATGTTGAAGTACACCCATCGTTGCCAAGGTGATCGTGTTTGTGGCAGAAATTGGAGGTCTTTGCCCAATCTCCTAACGTCAACAACGACAACATCACTGGATCCCAGAAGTGACCTATTTCTAGTTACGAGACAGTTGTCGAAAAATGCGTTAACCGGTTGACCGTTTAATTCGCTGAAGAAAGCGGGGCACCAATCAAGAATTATAAAATTTCTCCTCGATCGATTTGGGGCGAGACGTTTTTCTGAGCTGTCCTTGGAGCGGAAATATTTTTTAAAACTATAATTCCCATGTGGATTAAAGCGGGCATTAAGGCAGCACAATGTGATAACAAATAGAGCAAAAAGCCCAATCTTGCAGGCTAACGATTTCTGCCGAACAAACTTCTTCGGCTGCCGAACAAACATCTTTGGGTTTTTTTTTCTATAATGGAATAATAAAACTTTTTTAACTTTTATTTATTACGGAAATATTTATATATATACAGGGTGAGTAAAAAAAAACTGACACCTTTGAAATTCAAATTAGCTGCGAACTTATGGCTGGAATATGACATTCCCATGTACAATTAACAAAAACGATTTGATAAAACTGTTCTTTTGTATTTACAGAGCTTAGAATGCATTTTAACTCCCAAAGGGAACAAACTTTATGTTTTAGGTTAATTAATATGTTATGCTTCGTATACCTATGAAATATTTTAGGCAACTTCTGTCACATTACAGCCGCTATGCAACTAATTTGAATTTCAAAGGTGTCAGTTTTTTTTTACTCACCCTGTACATCACTCAATTATCAAATAATCAAGAAAGTCGCTACTATTAGTACAGAAACAAAACCTGGGTGACACGAAATACCAACTCGTTATTTTATGTAACAATGGGCAGCGATTTTACGAGAATGCACTCAACCGCAGTAACCACAACGTCAAATTGCATTACACAGCCAACACCCCCAGACGCAAAACTCCAAACCGGATCCTCAAGGAGTTCGCTTGTATCCTCGCTGAACCTATTACCACCATTTTTAATAAATCACTTTCTTCCAGTGTTGTTCCAAGAATTTGGAAAGAAGCTAATGTTGTTCCAATTCCAAAGACTAATCAACCTAAGAACGAAAGCGAAACTAGACCTATATCCCTAACCAGTTACCCCAGGGCTATCTAAAGTGTTAAAAGACTTTGTTGTTGGATGGATGCTAGACGATTTACGAGGAAAGATCGATACAAGCCAATTTGGATGTCTAAAGGGACTATCGACCACCTTCTGCCTCTTAGATGTGCTTCATACTTGGTTATTCCACCTCGACTCTCAGAATAAACATATCCGTATTTGCTTTTTAGACTTTTCAAAAGCCTTCGACCGAATTGGTTATAACATCCTAATTAACAAATTGATAGATTTGGATGGATAATATATAAACTTCCTGACGGATCGAAGGCAACGAGTGAAAATTAGTGGTTCAATCTCCGACAGGCTCCCCGTGTCATCTGGGGTCCCTCAAGGGACTAAACTGGGCCCAATCTTATTCCTTGTCATGATAAATGATTTGAAGACAAATACGCCCGATACAAGAATGTGGAAGTTCGTCGATGATAGCACGTTTTCAGAACATCTTACCGGAAATACTGAATCAAAATCCTAATTATCTCTTAATGCTTTCGAATTATGGTGTTCTAACAATCGGATGACTTTAAACTCAAAAAAATGTAAGGAACTTCGAATTTGTTACCTTAAAAGATCCGTTGAGCTCCAACCCTTAATAATAGCAGGCCACCTATTGAAAATAGTCGAATCCCACAAGGTATTAGGCCTCATTATCCAAAACAAATTGAAATGCGACGCACATATTCGATATTATTGCGAAAGCATCAAAACGCCTGCATATAATTAGAATACTACGACGCAGTGGCATCTTACAAGCTGACTTTGTTAAAATATATATTGCCCTGATTCGGTCAATTCTGGAATACAGTTGCGAAGTTTGGAATAACTCACTAACCAAATATCAATCAGATGAATTGGAAAGGGTTCAAAAAAGAACGCGTTACGCATTATATTTCCTCGCCATTCTTATGACCAAGTATTGGAAATGGCGGGTTGTGAAAGATTAGATATTAGACGTGACGCAATCTGCATAAACACATTGCAGAAAATCATGAAAAATTCACCCTTAAAAGAACACGTGCCGAATACTAGAGAGATTTCCCACAATCATAACATTCGAAATTTAAATCATCTTTCATTATTCAAATGTAGGACAGAACGTTTTAAAAATAGCTTCTTCCCAAGTACAGTATATAGCGAAGTTTAATAAACAAAACTTTTAGGATATTCATAAATGTAAACATTATTATATATATTGTAAATACCTAAATTTTATAATGTAAATAGTACTTGTAAACACTTCATAATTCAATTTTAATTGCGAAGAAGTGTAATTTTAATAATATAATATAAATAATAAAATATAAAAATTCTGGAAGTAAAATTTGAGGTCTGTGGGCGGCAGAGTAGTCAAAATGTATTATCGTTAAGTAATCTACAAGAATATAATAATAGTTTAAAATTTATTTGATTTTGGAAAATGAAAAATCGCGCCGCGTTGTCGCATCGCGTCCGTTCTGGGTGGGCCTTTATACTTTGTATATAAGCACAAACAGAAAAAGAAAAAGACCCAGCCAAATCACACAGTATCCCTATCTACGCCCCATCATAACAAAATCCATAATCCGTAAAAAATAACAAGGCAAATCCATAATCCGATACCACACAGCTGCTAAATCCGTAATCCGTAATATTTTCAGGATCCGAAAATCCGGCAAAGTATCGCGGTTAATCCGAAATCCGAGCAAGTTCCCTACGCGCTGGTGGCAAGTTTAACAATTTTTTTAGCAGGTCATTTTGAGAGGAAGTTTAAACCAGGGGACTTAGACTGTTTCAGAACAATCTTTTAACATGTAGTTTACACAGTTTATAGTATACAATTCCATATTCGAAATATACATGAAAAGTCTGTAAAGAAATTAAAGCACTAATGGGCTAAATTTTTTTTGCAGCCTAAAAACTGTTTACCAAATCTCAGCAACTTTTTGAACACGCGTAACGTGAATGATTAGTATGTAGGGCCATTCTTATATGAGCGAAATAAGCCGTGGCTTAATTGAATAAGTCGCCGAACTGTGCATAGAGCCTAACAAACGCCCCATTTGTTCGAACTTCGAAGCGCCGGCTTAAATTAGCCGAGGCTTCCCAGCTCGTCCAAAATAAGTCGCGAAGTTCTCGTATAACGGTTTCGTGGCTAAATCTTATACATTAAACATTGCCATTGTTGTCCAGCATCAACCTTCGTGCTGCCCCTTCCAATTTGCAATGCAAATACTGTCTTGGCGGCAGGAATTTGCGACAGCGAATATGAGTCGTTTATACGAGTTTTTGCGACCAATTTCGTAATTATAACAATATACCGTATAAACGGACTTTGGCCGCGCGGCGGCTTGCTCGTTTAAATGGCCTAATGTATATAATGTTTGCATTCTTTTGACACACCGTGCTGTATTTGCACTTTCATGCAGTAGAAAGTTTATTTCCAAATGTTTATATATAATTAGTTTCTGCTTACCATACAGCTGTGACCCTTTTGTGCTTGCGTTTTCTTTCGCTGCTCTTGCTATGTCGATTGTTTTGTTTTCTTCTGTTGTTGAGTTCGTTGCCGTGGCTGATTAGGAACGCTTAGGAATTTTTTTTCATTCACCTGTATGGTCTTTCGGCCCTATTTAGGTTATACGTATATGACCCATTTTAGTCGCGTCGAATACAACTCAAAAGTGTTAAGCCTTCAGGGCCTCTTTACATTATCATTATTATCATTATTAAGTCATTAAAAAAATAGTTACATCAGACGTGTAACTTTACAAAACTGATTAAGCTTTAAATTATTTTTCAACTATTTACAATATTAGACATCTTGCTACGACTACAAAAGTTAAAATTTATGACTAAAAGTTCAGAATCATTGATTTACTAGCTAAAATAGTCAAAAAGACATCTATTTAGAGCCGTCCGTTTAAACCGTTCTGTCCTCATATTTCGCAATATAAATTCATGTTCTCGCTCTCGTAATATTCGTTGCTTCTTGGCTGGAAGTAATCCATATAAGGTATGACCCAGGTTGTTCCTTATCTTATGGAATAGGCATTTGTCTCTTTCTTCAATTACACATTATATCTTGATAATTTTTGTGGTGTATCCAAATTTGTAGGCCCTTTTAAAGAATCTATCAATTCTGTCAACATGTTTCATCCCAAGAACAGAGCCCCATACTTCAATTACAAATAGAAAAAAAGACATAATCAGGGAATCAAATAATTTTGCAATTTCCTCCAAGGGGTATCCATAATATCGACATATTCTTAAGATGTACACGCGGCTACTAGCTTTGGCTAACAAATCCACAACGTGCATATTCCAACAGCATGGATCATCTTGACATAAAACACCGAGCAATTTCAGCCACGTTTTTCGCTACAGACCTGCAATCGGGGGTGGAGGTGGTTTTGTTGTTTTGCCACTCACAATCATTTCCCACGTTTTTGAAAGATTTAGGGACATCCTGTTTACTCTTGACCAGTCTTCAATACTTTCGACTTCAGCAGCTGCTGAGTCACAATTTGATTTGACTGGGGCACTAACCGTTAGGTCATCTGCGAATAGTGAACATGCACAATTCAACGAGAACGAACGAGTAGCCTCATTAACCGAGCGACTCAGTTGTCTGCACTTGTTTAAACTCGCGTGGCTACTGAGACCTTAAATATGAATTTTCGACAAGCACTTAGACGAATGTGATAATTTTATTCCGTTCCAAGCTGATTAGCATAAACAATTCACCAACAAGGAAGAAATAAAACCTCAAACCCAGACGATTTTAAGCAATGCACTCTTGAGAGTTGTGTATAGCCCTTTGCTTGTTATGTAATAATGCTTTTAAAATATTCTGCAAACAGCTTGACTTTGCTACGGACAATAACTCCTCGTCAAGTTGTAAGGTTAGGAAACAAAGAAAGGAGGTTAGGAAACAAAGAAAGGAGCATAATTTTAAGGCCGCAAGGGCTACCAATTTGTTGAAACTCTCAATTTAACAAGGTGGATGATTGCAACAAAGGGTTTATCTCATCGTTAAATTAATATTACGTAGTTTTCTTCCGATATTCCAATACTTGCTCTAATCGCAGGTAAGTATACAGAAAATAAAACATTGAATAAAACTGTCAACAAGTCATCAAGTGCATTTCTGTATATTTCGAATCAAGATTGATTCATCTTCAGCAGAATGGTTTACGTCACAGAGGAGATATGGATCAATCTCTCCACTGTGTTACGTTTACAAGATTTGCGTATAACTATAAAGCGCGTACAATTCACAACACGCGTGAGCGTAGCACGCATAAACAATTAAAACGAATTTTAACGTACAACGAATTCAAATGTTAACCGCTTTTCTTCTGCATGTTCAGCAATATTTGCCATTAGTCAAATAACTGCAGTTCTCTACCAGCCTTTAGCCCATTATTTAATATTGATTTGCGTCTTTTGATGTGCAGTGCTTCTTTATAAAGTAACAAGTTCCAGTTGTTTGAGTGGTGGATGATTTTAGTATTGGTCAGAACAAGTTCTGTCAGTTCATTGTTAGATTTAGAGTTTAAATCAGTGGCGATATAACAGGAGTGTAGGAATTACTTTAATTTTTCGGAATAACTTTAATTCTATATGTGCTAAAACTATCAGCTGATAAAGGATTATTAATTTTACTTCAAGCTATCCTGAATTGCTAGCTTGCGATGCTTGTGCTTGTAATTGCGCAAAACTACGAATTCGTACAAAACGTAGGAGCACTGTTTTTACTAACGGATGTGACTCGCCGAATACTTGAACCATGATTTTGAGAGATTTTTCATAGCATCCGCACGCAGCTTGCAAATCAGCTAGACCTTCGTAAGCTTGACCGAGATTGTACAAGTTGATCGCGACTTCCCGATTACAAGATTCTGCATCGCCAAATTTCTGCAGGGCATCCTTGATGTACGCTACGGCACTTTCGTATTCACCCATCTGATAGTAAACGTTGCCGATATTACCAAGGGTAACAGCGATACTTTGATGGGTTGCATTTGGACCATATAATGCGTATTTCATGCGCAGCGATTCTGAGAAATAATCGATCGCTTGCTGTAATCTACCAAGTTGAATGCAAAGATTCCCAAGGTTGGTTAAAGTCTTTGCAGTTTCTAAATGCGCTCTATCCTTGCCGTAAAGTTGTTTTTTCATAGCTAGAGCTTCTTCTAGGTACGACAATGCCTTCTCGGATTGCTTTAGATTTCGGTACACTGTTCCTAAATTGTGAAGTGTTGCAGCAAGATCAACAGATACACTGTTCTTATTCATTCTTTTCATAATTTCCAACGCCTTTTCCAGCATCTCAGCGGCTTTTCCAAATTCTTCTGTGGCGATGTACTCGCTTCCTAAGTTACACAGGTTTGCGCTCATAGGATAATCGGGAACTTTTCCAACTCCAAATTTCTCTTCGTCAAGACGAATGACTTCTTTATAAAACTTGATCGCTTCCAGTGGACGTCCTAAACGACTATAGCCTCCAGCAACCTCGTTGTATGCCTCAGCGACATCCACGTTGATCTCCTTGCGCATCACTAGACCACGTTGAAAGTATGATAGTGCGTTTTCGCTATCACCAAGACTTACGCAGCAATGTCCTGTATCAATAAAGGACTTTGCTAATGGGGCTTGTTTCAGGCCAGATTTACCTTCGTATAATGACCTAGAGAAGCAATGGTAGAAATTGAAGTGCATTGAAGATATGGTAAAAACTTTAATTGCACATTGGAAGTTGCTAGAACTAATGCTAATCTCCTCTAGATTTTCTTCCCCATTGATGAAAGAGGTTGTCTATGCATGATAAGTGATTGTGGAGATTTAGCACGAGGACGTTAACGTCTAAGAGGACGTAAAAATGGCGAATAACTGGCGTGATGCGTCTACATATGGACACACCACGCCATCATTCGCCATTTTACGTCCTCTTTGACGTCCACGTCCTTGTGCAAAATCTCCCTATTATCGAATGTGCATTAAAATACACTAAAGCTCCAGTTTAGCGCCACCAAATTCCGGTTCCATGAAGGCCCTCATTGCCAAAATAAATGTAAATGTCGTACTTTCATTATTACCTCCTCATTTCCAATCCTCTACGACAAAATTCATACGCCTCTTTATACTGCCCCAGGTTTCGGTGAACATTTCCCAAGTTGTTCAAGCAGCTTGCAAAATCTTCGTGAGGTTTGCCATCAACGCAAATTTTTATCCAAAGTTTGTGGGCTTCTTCCAAGTAATCCGCAGCCTTGTCAAAATGACCCAACTCTGTGTGAACGAAGCCAAGATTGTTCAAAAGAGCGCAAAGATCCCTGTGCGCGAAGTTATCTTTGTTGATTAATCGTTGAATTTGCAGAGCTTCGTCGTATGCTTCCAATGCACCCATGTAATTCTTTTTATCGAGCAACGCTGATCCAAGACCACTAAGCGTAGTTGCTATGTGTGGGTGCGAGATTTGTTTCCCGTAGAGCAATTTCTGCATTCCCAGCGCTTCTGTGAAATATTTAATAGCTTGGTCATGATCAGAAAGACCTGAGTAACAACATCCGAGGTTATAGAGAAGGCTGGCAATTTCTGGATGCACTTCATTTCTACCATACAACCGCTGACAAATAGATAACGATTGTTCGTAAAGAGCCGTTGCGTGCTTGTAATCATCCGAGTCATGATGCGCGCTTGCCAGGTTGGTAAGAGACGCTGCCAAATATGGATGGATCACACCGGTCCCGAACAGCGTCGTTATTATTTCGAATAGTTCGTTATATGTATCCAGGGCTTTATCGATGTCACCGTGTTCAGCATACGCTGACAGCAAATTGTTCAGAATAACACAATAGCGTGATGGTACCCGTGTTTTATCTATCTCTTGGAAAACCTTCAGAGCTTTCTCGTAAAAATAGATAGCTTGCTCGAGATCTTTCATTCTCTGATAAGCGCGGGCAATGCCACTGAAAGAGATTTCAATACCAGGTGAGTTCTCTCCAAAAACTGCTGTCTTTATGGATAAATCTTGTTGGTAGCATGACAAGGATTTCTCGTATTCTCCAAGTGAGTCATAGGCATTTCCCCGGTCACTATACGACTTGGCAAACTCCATGTTGGCCGTGAAGCCCTTGTACTTCACTTCCAGGATTTGAGCTGCCTTATCCAGGTATTCCACAGCTTTTGCAACTTCACCCAACTCTAAACAGACGTTTCCAAGAACGGAAAGTGTTTCAAAGAGGCCTGGAGTTTCCACGATGTCTTCCTTTCCCAGATCATCCTCTAATTGGGACACAATACCCTCCAGACACGATTGTGCTTCCTCGAACTCCATAAGGCGAATATGAATAGTTGCCTTCGTTTCGGGGCTATATATAATTTGCAAGATACGTGAAGTTAATAGATTGCCAGCCACGTGAAAAAATTATTGGAGTGAATGACTCTAATGACAAAAGACACTATTAACTAAATAAGACACTATGTAACAAAATGGAAAGAAACAATAAAACTTCGCGTGAGTTGAAATAAAAAAAAATCAAGAGCTATTCCTTGAATCTATTTGGTGGTCTAAGTTGGCAAAGTAAGTTGTCTAATTTATTCCCTTACCCATCGGGTCTTTCGCTTAGTGGAGCAAGACTAAATGGAAGTATTGTTGTATTGGGTTTAAGAAAATCGAAAGAAACAATAAAATTTTGCGAAAGTGAAAATTAATAAGTCAAGAGCTGTTCCTTGAATCTATTTGACAGGCTAAATTTTCCCGCCAAAATTTTCATGTTTAATTAATGATCGTGACAGTTAATTTGTGAATTGTGAAAGACTGCATGTACATCGAACTACTTAAATAACTTCATGATAATATATTACTAAATAAACTAAAATGACTTCATGATAATATATTCATATAGATGAAAAAATAAATCATGAGTCCCACATTTTCGTAATTGGCAGTTTGGTGCCAAAGAGTAATACCACACTTACCTGGAATCATAAAGATTGTGGCCAGAAAATATGTTCCTTTCATTAGGCGATTTCTTGAGCAAGAACTCTTCAATAGCTTTTTGAAGAGGCAAAACGGTCATAAAGAAGCGAAAGATGACATCTGGATTATGAATATGAATAGCTTTCTCAACTCTGTTTCGATGGCCAGGGGCTGCCTTTTCCGCGACCGATTTTGCCGTGTCCAAATCAACCATGCCCGAGGGTAATCCTGTTATTCGTTCCCTCTGTTCATCTTTCTCAAGGTAAGATCGAAGACGTAATTCTGATGCGACTGCTGATACAAAACCTAAATGATGAGCTTCTGATTCTGTGATTAGCTGCTTTCTCTGCATTTCATCCACAACATCCCAAGTATTGTGTGCGTCTAGATTGTAATAAAAGGTCAGGCTGTTCAGAACCAGACTAGGAAACCTATAGAGCTCCTTCTTAACATTAAACACTTTGCCGGCTTCATGCCAGTCTACATGGACGCTAAATTTCTGGAACGTATCGCTCAAGGACTCGAAACCTCTTTTAGAGCCATTTGTCCACATATCGTGATCTGATGGTGCTTGTAACATTTCTTTAACTTCACTGTCGTACATTTCCTTGAGTTCTTCGTCGCCCATGATCAACATCGGGGTAGCCAAGACGTCGGCCAAGTGATAGCCTTCCTTGATAGCTACCTGATTGCATTGTACTGCGGCCATCTCTTTGGGCGTTTTAATCAGCTCAAGTGCTTCCTTTGTTTGCGTTTTCTTTCGACCAAAAGGACACTTACTAGCCCAGGGCAAATCTCCATCGAACGAAAATCCTTTCGGACCGTCATCAAAAAACCACACGCGCTTTGGATCGCCAGAGTAGAAATCGTTCAACGAGGTGATACACATAGAAGGTAAAATCGTCTCGCCCAAGTTGATAACTTTCAGATGAAAATAGCGCGTAATGTTGCGGAAATACACCAGATTGGACTCAATTTTTGCATAATCTCCCGGTAGAATTGCGAACTCCAAATCAGAATAAGGAGTCATTTCGTTTCGAGCCAAAGACCCAAGTCCAATCACAGCGAATCGACAGGGTGCGTCGCCCAAAACTGATATGCATTCTTCAATCAACATTTTAATAAAGTTCACCATTCTGTCTGATATCTTTCGGAAAAGAGTTGATATTAACTTTGTTCGTTTTTCTTCTAGTTCCGTGCGTTTTTCTGGGTTTAGCGGCATTAACCCTGGGTCGCACTCAATGTCAACTTGACGAATTATTTCTTTGCACTCATCACGGATATTCTCTAGCAAAATTTTGTGTTTTATGTCATTGTCATAATTAGGAAAGTCTATTGGTGAGTAATCATCGAGAACAGAACACAAAAAATGTCTCTCTGATTCCTTAATACATGAAATTAAGTGGGTCCGAAGTTTCGTCTCAGTATTCTGGAGCCTTGATAGCGCAGAGTTGTATAACGCTGTTGCTTTTGCGAAACTTTCTCCGCATTTGTTCATTTTACCATACTCTAAGTAGATGTTGCCAAGGTTCTCAAAGCACATTCTCATTTCCTTCTCGTTTTCGCCCTGATATACCAACTTAAGTGCTGCTGCATAGTGTAACTCGGCCGTTGCCAGATCACCTTTGGAAAGGGCGATGCTTCCTTTAGAGAGTTGCTCATCGAAGGCAGAACTGTAAAAAGAGTAAATAATAAACAGATAAATGAAAATAAAATAGGATTATAGCCTGTTTTGCGATATGGGAGTAAACTGAATACACAATCACTTGACAAATTAGATTCAAGGTTAAAATTAGGACAGACTTCCGTTTGCTTATATTTAGGCTTGGGCATATAATATGCAATCTCAATACAAACAGCCTGAATGGGAACGGGCCCTTTTGCCTGCAAATTACCTCACCCCCCTCTTGCAGTCGACGACGCTACTTGGTTTGTACATCGGCAGTAAAAGACGTCGCGCGAATGCATTTACTTTGACCATAACAACAAGCATGAAAAGAGTCAAAAGACCGTTAAATAAATTTAGCCATATGCGACAATTCCGGCCTAGGTTCTCAAAACATCCTCAATCGATAAAAAACTTTGGGCAGTGGTTGAAGGTGGGGTGAAGGTTAGTTACATGACTCAGATAAAAATGTCAGGCAACGTACCTCTCGTCGCGTTCATGCTCAGGTTTATCTTGAGTCGATTTATTGTTTGCTGTAGGTTCCATTGTGATTTGATCAGCACTGGGTAATATTATAAACTTGGTCGATACGTCTCACAACTAGCTCAATTGTTTCGTTTTAATAACGGTTTATTGCATGCTAAAGTTTCGGTCTTTCTGAGACTTAGTTCTTCTCTTTGTAGAATTCGAAAGTTCGGAACAGTAAAGCTGTTTTCCACAATGTTTTTCAGTGGCTTCCTTTTTCCTGGAATGTTGTCTCAATTCCTAGTAATTCACAAAGTGTCTAACTTCCGGTTTTATTTTCGTGAGCATGCGCGAAGTGCTTCGTGGTGTGGAGTACCCACTTAGAACACCGCGGAAAAACGTCTGCGCACGCGTCAACTCTGCTTGTAAGTGAGATTAAAAATAATTAAAAGCGGTTCCGAACGTTTCCGAAGGCTAAAAATGGCGGCAAAAAGGAGTGATTTTATTCGTGTCTTCAAATCCATATTTCGAGGGCATAAATAAACACTGCATTATAGAAACTAAGAGAAAAAACGTCCGGAGAGTCCTAGAAGTGGCATCCTACAAAAACACCTGTAAAAGGTGACTGTTAACAAATTTCTCGTCTCAAACATTTTCTTTATCAAATAAGCAACGACAGTTTCCGAAATTTTAATTGAGACACGTTTTATTAAAAAAAAATATGTCGCCAGATACGAGACGTTTGCGTGTTCTCAATGATTGAAAATTAAGATGTATTTTACAATTTAAATAGATTAGAAAGCTTAACTTTCCGCGGGTTTTCTTAACTTTTAGGTTTAAACTTTTGTTTTCCAAAAATATTCTAAAGCCATCCCGTAAAAAAAGGAAAATTTACCGTGAATTCCAGTTCGTTCGATACTCTAAATGCTAGAAGGCTTTTAATTTATGTTCTGTCTGGCCGTCTTGTATAATTTTGCCTTTTCTTAACTTATACTTTATCAAATAATGGGCATGTTTTGTTCCAAAAGTTGATATTTAGATTTACCATGATATTTTGATATTTCGGCGCGTGCGCAGACATTTTTCCGCCGTGTTCCCACTTAGTACCTATGAGAGATTCTATTCCCCGCGTAACGGGTACCATATATTTAAAATTTTGATGTGCACAGCACAAGGTCTTATCTAAAGACTAATTTTTTTTCATTTTTGACGACATTTAGTAGCGTAGCCAGCCTGTCGATTTCTCCCTCTATGCTAATATTTTGGTGTTCACTGACTGTGAAAACAATAAATTTCTAAAGACATGAATAATTATAATAGCTCGAAATTTACATAGCGGGACAAACTCGTCAGGCTGGCTACGCCACTGACGACATTATGAACACAGTCTATCAGATGCCATTGAAAAAAGTGAATGAAAGTGTGATTACGGTAACTAAGAAATTAAAATGTGGCACCTGGATGGTGCATGGGGATACTGAACATGCCTCGGCATACTGCTCTCCCACGGCAATGAAGCAATTACCCGGCGAAGCATCCTTCACGTGCACGATCACTGAATGATGCGATCAAAAATGTTGTGCATAAGTATTGGCCGCAATAACAAAAAATGGAAACTTTGTCAACTGGTTTGACATAGCATTTTTTGAAAAAATCTCCTGACTCAATATTAAGCCGATCATATTTTTAAAGGCGAAACCTTACGTGCCATGCAATAGCACCCTGTGTTCGCATTAATACCTTTTTGGGCCGACTCAGAACTCATTTTGCCGGGCAAAGAATTTGTCTAAGCTGTCCAGTTCCACCTAAACTGGACAGTTAATTATATAATTGCACTATTTGCTACACTTAAATATAATCGAAACCTCAGATGAGCCCAAATAGAATATATAGCCGTAATGAGGACGGCCAGGAAACAGGACCAGGCGGACATGCAGTATTCACTTTGCAGTTGGGTGAAATTCCTAAACTTTAGTCTTGAAAGGTGTTAGCATTTTTTACGAAACAGAAACAAAAAACAACAACATGAGGGAAAATGTGAAGGTCCTCCCTCACACTGTTTTGATATGGCTGGGATAGACCCCAGCGTTATGGTCACAGCGTTCACTGACTTACCTCCGGCATGATAGAAATGAAGCTGGATTGCTAGCTTATTTTGCTTCTATTTTAGCTATTGCTGATGATTTTCTCACCAAAACTTTGACACCTGTAAAACTCAGTGCTTATACGCGGGGAAAACAGGAAAGAGTGCCCAGTTAGAGTGCCTTGTGCCTGCCTGCCTGCCTGGGCATTTGTTGAAAACCGGCATAAATATGCGAACCGGGTGGAAGTAGTATAAAAATTTCAAAGCGGCCATATTTATTGATCTTTGGTCACTCATTCCACAAGAAGTTACACTTTTCACTTTCGCATATTAAGTCAAAGAAGAAACGTCGTTGATTTGCCCTTTGATTCATCATGGAATCAACGGCAGATGGTGGCGATAGTCAATCGTCCGCCGCTGTCGTTGATCCACGGGATTTTGTTAAGTTTATCGTCAATGTTGTTCCGGCGATTTTGGAGGGCGAAACGGACGAGTCGAACAGCCACGAGCTTCGAAAAGCCTGCAACAATGCCGAATATTTCGAATGCATTAAGAAATTTCTATCCGATCCACAAATCAGGGCACTGATTGTGAGCAAAAGCGTGCTGAAGGACGAAGAGGAAGACAGTTCGGGAACAGACAGTGCGACAGAATCCGAGAGGGACGGGCGAGTCACATACAGCATTCACTTGAACGTCCAATACACAGCGCCCAAATTAACGAGCGTTGGTTTGATAAAACGATCGGGCGTTGTTGAAGCGGACAAGAAGATCGCATCGCAGCTGCGGGTGTTGAATCTAAGCGACGATTCGCCGTTTGAGACCTTGCATTCGTTTGTCAGCAATGCCGTCGCACCCTATTTCAAATCGTTTGTCAAGACATCGGGTAAAGCAGACAGGTAAATATATCTCGATAAGTCTTTTATGTTTTAAAGTAATTTATTTGCCAAAGCGATGGAAATTCTGAGTCAAAAGGATGCATTTTTTGTTGTATTTAGTAGCAATATTTTCTGTGAAAAGTAGCTGGAAAGTAGATGATATAGACATAACACAGCGCACCCAGGCTGTTAGTGTTATAACTTTAGAAGAGTTTTACCAGAAGAAATAATGCCCCGTGCCTTGAAGCTTAAAACTGTAGACAATATGCAATAAAGGGGACGGCTGAAAAACATGTTTTCAAATCACAAATCATTTCTTAAAATTATAGGGCAAGGCATCCATGAACTAATTAATGAGGTCAGGGAGAAAATCTAGATGGGTGAACCTAATTGGGTATGGGGGAAACTGTAATCAGGTCAGGGAGAAAGGCAATTGGGCGAGGGAGATATGTTAATCTGGTCAGGGAGTTTAGCTAATCTCCAGGGGAGAAAGTCAGTACCGAAAGAAAGGGTGAAATACATTGGGAAAGACATGACAAAAACTTGAAGATAATACTTACTATAAGAATAAGCTATGAAATATTTACTATAAGAATTAGGTTATGATAATTGGACTTGTAAGAATAAAAGATAATAAAAATTGAAATTTAATAAAAATTTAAAGTGTAGAGAGTGTTGTGGTAAAACAAGACCACCCATTGAGTGTAAAAGGGACAACTTTGGTAAAATATAACAAGATTCCTGCAGGAAGATCTGAATGTTGCATTTTTGGAACATACCTGGTTTAATCTTAAATTTTGTAATATTTTATCGTCCAATCTCTTACAATAACAAACTATCTGCAAATAACTCAAATTTATTATTAACTCAATTTATTATACAAACAAATTTATTCTAATCAAGACGACCTATATGTGAAAAAAGCTGAACATATCAACAAGCTTGTCAATGTGAATAACAGAAGGTGAAGTTTGACAGCACTTCGCCCATTTTTAGTGGAAGTAAGATCAGCTTTAGCTTGTGACTTCATGAGAAAGCAATAGGTATTATCAACATTAGGTAAAAAGGTTTACCCATTCATCATGAATCATCTGGAACAAAGAGAATTTTAATATCAGTTTTAACACTTTCAATTTTATTGAATTGTCATCTTGATAGTCAATTCCACTAGTTCATCATGATTACTTTTTGCCGGAGTTGTTATTTTCGCAAGAGAAAAACGCTTGGTTCCTTCCTTGCTACATTCTTGTTAAAATTAGGACCTGATTATAAAACTATATTTTCCCTTTTTTGCCCTGTATATTGTTTGATATCCCAATTGAAGTATTGATGATTTTTTTGAATATCTTGAATCTCAACTGACTCTAATTTACCACTGAGTTAGTCAAAATATTTTTGTTTGCTTCTGTTGTAAATATAAAACAGCTTCTTAAAATGACAAAGTAAAGTATTCTGTTATAAAAAAAAACACTTCAATGGAATATAATATTTTCTTTGTAATAACACTCCTTGGAATGACAAATTGTCACAAGTCAAGATTGTACAGATGATGTCAAGATTGTTCAGGGATAGTGTGTAAAGCATGCCAAGTGTAAAAATTTATGTGCAATCAAGTCTGCATTTGTATGCAAGAAACACAGTTTCCTCTTGTACAGTAGGTTAGGCAAATGTGAATGTCTGCAGTACTAGTGCCCAAACCACCTGCTTCCACAGCATGTCATAGGCACAAATTTGGATAAGATATGTATAAAAGTATAAAGGAATGGAAAAATACTGCATAGGTTCTCATATCTAGAATATATCAGCTGGGTCATGTCTATTGAGTCAGGACAAAACATAGTCTAAACATCAGTGATTAAATTTGTGCATGGCATTTTTTATGAGACACAGTCATGTAATTTTAACAGCACCCTTGTACCAGTTGTATAAAAAGGTGTAGTAAAAGTTGATGATATTAAGTATAAAGCAATTATAGGCTTCCGGTAGATATTTATTTTTTTGTTTCAAGATAAATTGGACAGCAGTCAATCTTAATGTATTGATTGATTGACAAACTTTATTAAATCAGGAGCGGGTATCCAATCAAAAAGGGATTTTCCCTCATTCAAAGTGCTGGTTGAAGTGCTTGTTCATTCCCTTTCCTTCGTTTTCGACAGTACAGGTTGTTATAGGCACATCTTGCTGCTGCTGTATATGCCAATAAACGTTTTACCAGGCAGTCATTACTATGAGGTAATTTGCCCAGCATGAAATGTATCGCGAACACTGGGGCAAAGACCTTTACTTGGCTCGTATTTTTGAAATTTACTACCTTCATTTGTAACTATCGGGCCATGTATACACAGAAAATGTATGGCCTATCCCCATTTGAATCTAATAAGAATCACAATCGAACGAAAGCCTATGGTTAACAAAACCGAGGAATCCGCATTCAATGTGAAATATCTCGTTCCTTTATCAGTGCCATCAAAGATACAATCTAAAAGCTTAACTAAAAAAAAAAGTTGCTGAATTAATATACTTAATATTCTCTCTTCGACAAAGTCTCAACCACTTTTCGTTATAGGTTTTGTACAGTTTCGAAAAAATTATCTTCTATGACAATATCAGTATTTGTCTAGTTTTGCACTTTTTCGTATCCCACATTAAAGTGCATCCTATTTTTTCATTTCACCAGCGCATTGCTGTAAATCTCAATTTATGTAATAATTCTTCAGAGATGGTGATAAAATGGTACCTTCTGTTGAGAAAAAGATTTCAGAGTTGGAAATGGCATTATTACATTTACAACAGAATATTGACATACCAGAAATTACGTTGTTGATACATCCAATCGTCACGAACATGATAAAGAAATGCCAAGAGGAAGAAGACAGGAAAGCTAGAGTCCAGGACTTTGGAGATTTGTGTGAGGATTCATCCTTTCTCAACCAGCTGCAAAATGGTGTCAACAGATGGATCAGAGAAATACAAAAGGTACACACACTATAGCGTACAGGACTGGTAGATCTCCCTGACACTCCATGCCTTTCAAGTTCATGTACCAAATTAGTGCATTGCCTGCTAATAATTTATGCAACGGGTATTGCTCAATAATTTTTTAGTTATATACTGAAATACAGTATGCATAAGGCAACTTAATACCAGCTAATGTGTTGTCTGTTAAAAAATCATGAGAAGATTGTGATACAGTGTGTACATATTCTATATGTTGCATGTGTTGCTCGGCTATCGTCAAACTACCTATTTTACCTTTCTTTCAGGTTACAAAACTCAATAGAGATCCAGCATCAGGAAATGCCCTGCAAGAGATCAGTTTCTGGTTAAATTTAGAACGAGCATTGCTGCGCATACAGGAGAAACGAGAGAGCTTTGAGGTTGCATTGACGTTGGACATATTGAAGTGTGGTAAAAGGTTTCATGCGACTGTCAGTTTCGATTCTGACACAGGTGTGCCCATGTTTTTATTACATTTACTAAATTTCGTGTAGTATTATAGTGTCAAGTAATTTTTCCTACGCAAAGCAAAAATCATCAACCTCACCCATCCGAGCCAAATTACGAAATACAGAGTAATAATTTTTTATGCACCAAAAAATCTTGAAAATTACACCGAATTAAACCCAAGTTCCGTAGGGATAATGGTCTAGAAAATCGGCTCAACTTTGTTAATTCAAGAAGGTAATACGGCAGTCACGATTGTTTCGTGTTACATGTTTGCCAAAAAACCTTCTGTCAAGTTTCTAGACCATATCTACGACTACGATTAAAGCTTTCTTTAAGCATCTCAAATGTAGTAAGTATTGTTAATTTATTTGTTTGTTTCGGATCATCTAGGTCTAAAGCAAGCGCTGACTACTGTGAATGACTACAGTCCTTTAATGAAAGATTTCCCACTCGATGACCTGCTGTCTGCAACAGAGCTGGATAAAATCAAGTCCTCTTTAACACTCATTTTCAGTCATCTCAGGAAGATACGAAATACGAAGTATCCTATCCAGAGATGCCTACGATTGGTTGAAGCCATCTCACGTGACCTTAGTGCCCAGCTCTTGAAGGTAGATGAAGTATATATGTACATTTCTTTAGATGCATTTTTGTGTTTTAGTAAATTAGAATTCAATTAGGCTTAATTAAGATTTTGGTAAAATATTGTTTTTAACTTAGCTACATCTTTTGTTTCTCGTAGGTATTGGGTCCTCTGAGATTGATGCACATTCCTTATGAAGAGTTTGATAAGGTTTGTTTAACGAAAGCAAAAGAGACCTTTCTTATAATGACGTCAAATGCGGAGTTTTTTCCTGTTCGCATTGATTCTTGTTCATAGCTATGTAAGATTTCTGTCTTACAGTGTAATGACATTTATAATAGGCAGGGTCATACGTGTTGTGTGTATTCTAGGTTATGGTAGCCTGTTTCCAAGTCTTCACTACTTGGGAGGAAGAGTACGAAAAACTTCAGACATTGCTTCGAGATATGGCAAAAAAGAAAAGAGATGAACACGGCAAAGCTGGCCGAGTTAACCCGTCTCACAAGAAATCTCAAGCTCGCCTGGAAAATGTTAGAAAGTAAGTGAAGTTTATACGTTCCAGTTTTCAATATAACCAAATAATTTTCTTGGTAAAAATCCACGATCTATAATTAAAAACTATCACAAGACGAATACCAATATAAAGCACTGTACTTTACTAGATTAGAGTAATCTGTTTGCAGCTTGTGAGAATAAAGCAAAATGCAGAAATAACAAGTCTTCGATAAATATTTTCGTCTGTTATAAAATAGATACAAGAATTTCGTGAACTAAATGGATAAAGGCAGTTCAATTACACCACTATTATACACATACTATTTTAACACATTAAGCCGTTACAGTAGCTATCACTAACATGTTTGTTGCGCATAGATATATTTATTATCTTCTCCGCCAAACTACATATTATCGTGCATGTTACAAGGTTTCGCCGTCAGCATGAACAACTCCGACAAGTCATAGTACGCGTGCTTCAACCTCCTGCAAAAGAGCAAGCCAACGCTCGTGTGCCTAATGAAGAAATGGTCGATCTACAAGCGGCCGCAGCTTCGCTTGATCCGGCTGATGCGAATGCCATCGAGGAGGTGAATTTGGCATACGAGAACACGAAGGATGTTGATTGTTTGGACATCAGTAAAGAAGGAACAGAAGCTTGGGAAGTTACGATGAAAAGGTACCCCAATAACTAAACTCGTTGTCGGTATGCAGGCTTTATAGTTTGTCGTCTTCATTCATGATGCTACGGGCAAAAAATAGAATTTCTTCGTAACCATAGGCAGGCAGCAATTTAAAAAAAAGTAAACTGAGAAGCAATTTATGAATAGACAAGACGTCTTGATAATACAATACGTCTAAGATATTAATTATCTTCAAAAGAGACGTGTGCACCGGAAATTTTCATTTTTGATTCGTACATTCGTGGCAACAAGGCGTTTGCTATCTAGGAGGTTGCTCCTTTATTCGACGTAGTTTCTCTGTAGTAAGAGTGCAACTGAAGGCGAGGGCTATATTTGTTAACTTTATTCTTTAATGGTTTATTTCAATTTATATACAAACATAACAAACATGTGTTTTAAAAATCAGACGACATATTGTCTACGCTTCTTTTAACGTTTCTTTTGGTCACGTGTCCGATGATCTCTATATTTATGCTGAACTGTAATATTAATGTTAATTAGTACAACTGTTAATGTTAACACCCCCACTCAGACTCAACTTATCTATATGAAAAACTATGGTGAGTCTGACGTGTTCTTAATAGCCTAAAAGTACTTTTCGATGCTTTTCAACTTTCACTCTAGGTAATGATTTCGTAAGAATATCTGCTGGCATTTCTTCAGTTGGAACATAATGAATCTTTACTTCCTTGTTTTCCACTCTTTCTCTTATGAAATGTAATTTCGTATCGATATGTTTGGATCGTTTATGCATCACTGGATTGTGACACATCTTTATGCAGGATTGGTTGTCTTCGCCAATATCGGTTGGTTTCTTCATTGGTATACCAAGATCTTCTAAGAGTGCTCGTAAGTAGATAGCTTCTTGGACCGCTGCCGCCATGGCTTGATACTCTGCTTCTGCAGATGAAAGTGCGACGGTTGCCTGTTTCTTTACCTCCCAGCTAATGGCACCACCGTTTCCTTCAAATTTAAAGTAGTGTCCTGTGGTTGACTTGCGATCGTCGAGATCTCCACTCCAATCAGCATCTGAGTCACCAATTACATCAAGGTTTGAATTCTTTGAGAATGTTAATTGTAAATCAATAGTTCCTTTTAGGTATCGCAGGACGCGTTTGGCTGCTGTCCAATGTGATGTGTTGGGTTTATCTAAGAATCGCGACAATTGATTGACGACGTATAGGATGTCTGGGCGGGTTTGCTTGCCGATGAATAGAAGTGAACCAACTAGGCTTCTATATAGTTTAGGATCTACTAACTTTTGCTCTTCGTTGCCTTTAACTAGCTTTAGGTTTACTTCTCCAGGGGTAGCTGCTGCTTTGCAATCATTCATGTTGAATTGTTGAAGAACAGATTCGATGTACTTGCTTTGATCAACAGTAATCTTTTCATGTGATCGTAGAATTCTCATTCCTAGGAACCAATGTAATGCGCCACGGTCGTCCATCTTGAAATTTTCGTTCATCATCAACTTTATGTTATTCACTGTTTCCTCGCTCGCGCCAGCTACTATGATATCGTCTACCCAAACTAAGACGTACGTGAATGTTCCATCTTCTTCCTCTTTCACGAATAAACAGTAGTCGTTGCGGCTTCGCTTAAATCCTTTTTTCACGAGTAGGTTGGTCAACGATTCGTACCAATTCTTTGCAGCTTGTTTTAAACCATAGATTGATTTGTTCAGTTTGCATACCATCTTTTGTCCTGAATTAGCCTTCTTGGTAAAACCTTGTGGTTGCTCTAGGTAAACTTCTTCTTCTATCTCGGAGTGTAGGTAGGCTGACTTTACGTCCATCTGGCCGAGATACAAATCCTTTTGTGCTGCTGTTGCTAATAGAATTCGGAATGTTTCCGGTTTGCAGGTTGGAGCGTATGTGTCAAAGTAATCTAGACCTTCGACTTGAGCATAACCCTTGGCTACGTATCTTGCTTTGAATTTATCAACTTTTCCGTTGGCTCCGTATTTCACTCTATAGACCCATTTTCCAGGTAAAACTTGCTTGTTTTCTGGCTCGTTTACTAATGTCCATGTCTTATTGTCCATTAGTGAATCATACTCCGCTTTCATTGCTTTTCGCCAGTTTTCAGCTTGCGGCGAATTAACGGCTTGATTATATGACTTGGGCTCTTGTATGTTTTCATCTTTAGTAGTCGTATTGAACGTGTACGGTAATCCATATCTTTCGGGTGGACGTCGGTTTCTACTTTCTCTGGGGAGTGCAATTTCATTCTCTTCGTCTTGGTTTTCAATAACTTCTTGTTGATCTTGTACAACAGGTGCTGGTATATCAATTTCCCCCACTCTATCTTGGACCAGGTTCTTAGTGTCCTCGTTATTAGGTGTGTGGTCATCGTCGAAATCCATGTTGGGGCTCTCCACGATGGATTCCTCCGCATTCATCGTTTCTTTGGCTGAGAATGGTTGGATTTCATTTTCTTCGAATATGACATTACGGGCTTTGATGATCTTCTTCGAATCAAATTCTTGTAGGATGTAAGCTGTGCTTTTATCATCATAACCGATAAATTTAGCTTTTGTTGATCTCGAATCCAATTTTCTTAAGTTGATCTTTCGTTTCATGACGTACGCTGTACATCCAAAAACTCGTAGATGATTTCGTCTTGGGGCTTTTCTGGTAAAGAGTTCGAATGGACTTTTACCTTCTTTGCTGTTGGCACAAACGGTGAGGTTTCTGATATGAACTGCTGTAGATAAGGCTCTTACCCAATAGCGTTTTGGTAACCGTGCTTGGATCAATAGACATCGTCCCATTTCAACTAGAGTTCGGTTGAAACGTTCCGCAACTCCGTTCTGTTGAGGTGTTTCTGGCACAGTGTATTCTTGCTTTACTTTGGAATCTCTGCAGTAATTCTTAAATTGCTTTGATGTATATTCGGCTCCATTGTCGCTTCGTAATCTTCGAGGCGTTCCTGATTCTGCGACATACTCTTTGAATTTTTCCAGTGCTTGGGATTTTTTGCTCATAAACTTAACGACTGAATGTTTTGAGTATTCATCGATGAAGGTGATCGCATATCTACATCCACTGAGACTAGGTACTTCAAATGGACCAACAATATCAGTGTAGACGAGTTCATGCGGTTGTTGTACTTTGTTTTGAGACTCTTTGGGGACAGGTTTTCTGGATTGCTTTCCAAGTGCACATGTCTCACATACTTCATTTGCATTGTCCTTGCAACCAACAGTGCGTTTGACATCGTCTTTATTTAAGTGTCCGAGACGTCGATGCCATAATCCGATATCTCCTTTAACTTCTTTCTCTCGTGTATTGCATGTAGCGTTACATGCATTTGATCCTTGAAATATGATCTTCAAATAAAATAGTCCTCCATCTTCAGTTAGAGCGATCTCTGGACCATCTTTTAACATTAACTTTGCTTTGTTTTCATTAAATATGAACTTGTGTCCAAATTTGGTAGATCGGTTGACAGAAAGCAGGTTTACTTCATAACTTGGTACATAAAGGACGTTTCGAAGCACCATTTCTACCTCTACTCCATTTCTTGAGTGAAGCTTAACTGGTACATCACCAATTCCTTCTACCGGTGTAAGATTTCCTTTGGGATCCTTGACATTCTTAGCATTGCATTGTTGTAGGTTTGTGAACAACTCCTTCTTGGTAATGATGTGATCTGTGCAACCAGTGTCTATAATGAGATGATCTGGTTTTGCTTTACCTTTGCTTGTTTCCATGCCACTGTTCAAACATTGAGAATATGATGAAAATGCTCCTTTTGCTTTAGCCTCATCTTGTCTACTTGAACCTCTGCATGCCTTTGGTAGATGACCTTTTTTCTTGCATTTCGAGCAAAAGGCTGAATTTCTTTTAGTGCATTGCTTTGCATAATGACCTGATAGTCCGCAGACAAAACAATTTCCTTTCGATTTGGTTGGACCAATGTTTTTACCTTTGGTATCTCCTGAGTGTAGTGCAACGGCGCTATCTTCATCTAGGTTTCTTTGTTGTCGACTTTCTTCATAGTTTTGTAATCGTGTTCGCAGCTCGGTGAAATTACTTGCTGGGTTGAAGCTTTCTTGTACCACAAAGTGCTCATACTTTTCTGGAAGTCCGTTTATAACTAGGGCATTAAACAGTGTTTCTGATATTTTCTCACCAGCTTCGGTTAGTCGAGACATAAGTTCTTGTGCTCGGATGAAATATTCTGCTAATTTTTCATTTTCGCCCAATTGTATTCGGGATATTTGACGAACTAAGCTTACAACAGTTGGTTTGTCGACATTAGAATACCTTTGTTGTAGCAGACGCCACGCTTTTCCTCCGTCTCCAGTACCCTCCGGTGACAGGCAGTCGTGTCGTATATACAAGAGACTGTTATTATCGAGAGCTAGGGCAATGTGACACCATACCGTGTTATTTCTTTCGTAAATTTTCTCGATTTGTTCCTTTCTTTCTTGTAGTTTTGTCTCCCATTCGGTCTTTTGTTCATTCGAAGCATCCTCCGCTAACGGTGCTATTTCTGCTGGCAATTCCTCTTTCCCGAGAAGTGCTTTGTACAGACCTTTTGTTTGCATGTACGCGACAAATTTCGTACTCCACGCTGGATAATTCTCAGCTTTTCCATCGAAAACTAACCATTTTATCGTTTGACTGTCCATAGCTACGTTCTTGGCCGTCTTGAGCTTCCTGGGCCCATAACCTGTTAACTTTATTCTTTAATGGTTTATTTCAATTTATATACAAACATAACAAACATGTGTTTTAAAAATCAGACGACATATTGTCTACGCTTCTTTTAACGTTTCTTTTGGTCACGTGTCCGATGATCTCTATATTTATGCTGAACTGTAATATTAATGTTAATTAGTACAACTGTTAATGTTAACAATATTAAAATCTATTTTCAGGTACGAAGAAAGAATTGATCGTGTCGAAACGCGTATCACGTCGAGGCTTCGGGATCAGTTGGGTATTGCGAAGAATGCAGGGGAAATGTTCCGGATTTTCTCAAGGTTTAACGCGCTGTTCGTGCGTCCCCACATCCAAGGAGCAATCCGCGAATACCAGACGCAGCTTATTCAAAGGGTGAAAGATGACATTGAAACGCTACATAGCAAATTCAAGGTACTAGACATAGTTATATAAAATGTTACATAATATTGTGCCATCACAAATTGATAACTTGCAAAGGTACATAGCTATAGAGCGTTTTTTCTGACAGCAAAGCAAAGTAAAACAATTTTGGCCATGATCTTCGCATCTGCCAAAAGCGAGCAAAAAGACGAGTCGGAAACTGCCACAGAGATGTGATATCAATTTTTATTGTTGAAATGCTGTTCATTTGCCGTTAAGTTTAAAAGTGCTCATTTAAATTACTGAACCATTTTAGGTCCAATACCCACACAGTAAATCCTCAAAGATGAGCAAAGTTCGCGACTTTCCAGCCGTTTCAGGCTCGATTATTTGGGCTAGACAGGTAGGAGAGCGTGTTCCTTTTTTTGGATCATACATTTACACTAATTTTGTTTTTAACACTAAGAAGTAATAAAAAAACGTTTTTTTTAAACATGTTTACAAAAAGGTAGACAACTGTACATGTACAGTATACGTGTACCCAGATAATGTACAAAGGTGTTCTCATTATGAGCATATTCCAATTTCAGATCGAACGTCAGTTGAATGCTTACCTACGTCGTGTGGAAGATGTATTGGGCAAAGGTTGGGAAAGTCACGTAGAAGGACAGCGGCTGAAGGAGGATGGTGACAATTTTAAACAAAAATTAGATACCCAAGAACTTTTTGAGGATTGGTCCAGAAAGGTATATTTAGCGAGATACACTTCATTCGTATTTTTAGTGTTAGACGCAGCACAGTGAGTTGTTGTACAATATGTACTATAGAGTCATTTGGGTGTTCCACAAAGCCGGCAGAAATAATCTCAGAAATGCAACCGCGGGTTCTTCCAAATAAGTCCACTTTTTCTTAACGAGTGTCACTTTTTGCTGCAGTGTTTTGTTATGTCGCTGTAGTTAGAGTAAAATGTTCATGTTTTTTTCTCAGGTGACAGCTCGGAATCTTGGCGTTGGTGGTCGTATATTTGCCATAGAAAGCACACGAACAAGAACTGGAAACATGCTGAAGTTGAAAGTGAATTTCTTACCAGAAATCATCACTCTAGCAAAGGAGGTATGGCTTTAAAATAATTTAGGTAAAATTTGGGTAGTCCAGGCTTTGAAGGACATCACATATATGTACTGCACGCGTAGTAAGATTTGAAACCAAACTAGGAATGTTTGCAACTCTGGTCGTGCAGTGATTGGGCCGTAGCTAAAAAGCTCAATTGGGGGGGGGGGGCTATATTCATATATTCATCCTATGCCCGACTGATTTATTTTGTATACCATATTGTTCCTACGGTATATAAACATGATTACATGAATGTACACCCCCTCCCACCAATTAAGCGGTCTAGCTACGGCCCTGGGCCGATTTCAGAGGGGCGTTAATGCTTTGCACGCCGTCATTGAGCAATTTCATCATTATTACATCAAACTAAAGGATATATCGATCCGACATATCGCTTTATGTTTATATACTTAGTAGTTTTACTAAACTTCTTGAGTGTAAAGAATTTCTTTGTATTCAGGTTCGTAATTTAAAATGGCTTGGATTTCGTGTCCCTCTTGCTATCGTCAACAAAGCTCATCAAGCCAATCAACTTTATCCATTTGCTATCTCGTTGATTGAAAGTGTCCGCACCTATGAAACAGCCTGTGAAAAGGTAATCTGGTAGTAAAATCTCCTTACGTAGCTTATAGACAATTCTCTTTACCGGGTTACATTCTTTCGTAACGCATTTCGTTTTGTTTCATCGTTTCGTTTTGCATCGTCGACTTTTCTTAGTCTTTTGACTTCTGAGATTTCAATATACAGTTTGACTATGAAATTCTACTACATATACTTCGTTTCTTCCCGTCATCGTGCGCGTTGATATGACCCCTCTTCTAAATTGAACTTCGTTTTTAAAAATTAAGCTATTTTTTTATAGGTCGAGAACAAGAAAACAATCAAGCCATTGGTTGCTGGTTTGCAAAAAGACATTCAAAACTATATAGGCGAGGTACATATAGAAAATTCAGAAATGAGAAGCTGCTTTTTCGAAATTTGTCGTAGGCTCGGCCACTTCAAACATGATGACTGTGTTCATTGTGTTGATTTCACGTTTATAGGGTATTGGCCTGACATGGGAGTCATACAAGCTTGATCCGTACGTTCAGAAGTTTGCAGATGCTGTTATTAGCTTTCAGGAGAAGGTATTTTTTACGTTGATTAATGTTATGGTTGGTAATAATCCTATTTGGCATTCAAGAGTCATCTGACAGCGTACTGCCAACTACATGCAAGCGTGTTATAGGTTAAAGCATATGAAAGTCTGTTGAATCGACTAATGTTACTGTCTGGTCATTGATCCTGTAATAGTTCATTAATCTCCCTTATATTTAAAGGACATTTTAAGATAAGGTTCAGGGTGTCCAAAACTTATTTGCATATGGCTGTCTTCATAGGAACCTAGGAACCTAACTTCACCTAACCAAACCCTTTTTAAATTCTATTTTTAAAATACACATACTATTAGCATCATATATAGCAAGAAACTACATACTTACAGTTTGGTTTATGCATTTTTGAATTATTTAGGTCGATGACCTGCTAGTAAGCGTCGCGAAAATCGAATACGATGTCGAATCGTTATCATCGTGCAGTTACGATGCTGGGACTTTCAACGAAATTCTCTCAAGTGTTCAAAAAGCTGTCGATGAAATGAATCTGTATTCTTACACAAATTTGGCATCATGGGTGTCCAGTCTCGACAAATCGGTAAGTACTGAAAGTTTCGTTCAACCAAAATATGTTTAGTCTAGTATAGTCGTATTGATGGCCACTTCTATCATCTTGGTCAATTTTTTCGGGGGGGTTTTGGTGCCATGTGCGATATTTGCATGTCATTCCTTAAAGCATCCGTATTGATTTGTTTCGGTTTTTTAATGAAGGTTGAAGAAAAACTCTCCGTTCGACTTCAAGCTGGATTGAGAGCATGGACAGATTATCTGCACGAATATGGTGGAAATAACAAGGAGCCAGAATTTGATTCTGACACGAATCCCTTGGTGTCCCATAAACCTGGTGGAGACCCTGAGATAAAGGTGAGCAGCACTAAGAACACCTGTGGTTTAGGATTGGATCTGAACTCAAACTGTGACATCTCGTATGTTCAGTTCTCCTTGCTGGGAATATAGTCACACGTTTTGAACATTTCGTGAAATAAAAACTCAAGAATCAAGCCCATTTTCTATAGTGATGTTCTTCAGTATTATAAATCACGAAATTGCTGACATTTTTTTCATAGATCCAGCGACACGAGGTGCGGATTACCAATCAGATTTTGTACCTTCATCCTGCCGTTGAAGCCGTGCGGGCTCATCTTCTCGGAGAACTTCATGTATGGCTTGGTTTGATCCTTACGTTGCCAAGAATCCAAAGTTCCAGATACCAGGTGCTGTGCATAATGTACTTTATACGCGAGGCTTTTCACAGAGATCTTGCCGAATGAATTACGTACAGCGTACTGTACCAGCGCATGCTGGCTTACGTCGAACCAAACATTTTGACCTTGTTTTATAATTTATAAGATAAAAATACACTAGTATTTTTCGAGTCGGCATAGCAGACTGATCAGCCTGCTATTGCAGGCTAGTATTTCTTCTGTGATGGTATCAATCGGGCTCCAAAGTTCTTCTCTCGAAATTTCTCGTTATCAATCTCTTTTTCTGTTCAGGTTGGTCTTGATGTGGACGAGTCAGATTCCCACACGAGCTATCGCAATCTTCTCACTAAACTCCCAGACGGTCCCGAGGTGATTGAACAGGCATACCAAGCTGTTGAAAAGAAGGTCGAAGAAGTTGAGAAATACGTCGAGGTTTGGCTTCGTTATCAGTCATTGTGGGATATGGAGACCAGTCTCATCTACAGCAAGCTTGAGAACAACCTTGGAAAATGGACAATCTTGTTGAGAAATATCAGGTAATTAGCTACTGTAGTAGCATGATATGAGAATGTGCAAATGTTCACATTAAAGGAAAGCCAATAAGTTCTTCAGTTTATGCATGTAATCGTGTTTTGCGTGCTATGTGTCTGTAGAAGCTGGGGTAACTTCAACTGCGCATGTCAGAATTTCTCCAACGCATATCGTGACATACCTATATGTTTTAGGAAATCACGGGTTACATTCGACACGCAGGAAACGAGACAACAATTTGGGCCAATAATCATCGACTTCCAACAGGTATTGTACTGCATTGTAGTTCTTGCAACTGAGATATACACAACTGGTCCAAGTAGTCATTGTCAACACTTGGCAAAATGTTTCCTATAAAATTTTTGACGTTTTACTTTTAGAAATTCAAAAATGTTGTGTGATGAATTTATGTAGCTGATCATTCGCAATGAACGTTTTTTGTAGGTGCAATCCAAGGTAAACCTGAAATATGACAGCTGGCATAAAGAACTTCTTAGTAAGTTTGGATCGATGCTTGGCACTGATATGCAGGAGTTCTATGGAACCATAACAAAGGTAAACTTTCAGCGCAAGATAACTCTCCATAGTCCACCTGGCCATACAGCTATACTGTATACCGTACAGTGTCAGAGGGTTGCATTCAAAGCTTAGCGTGTTCTATTTTTGCGCATGTTTTTTGCAATCGATCCGATGTCGGTCAACATATTGTTCGTGTACATTCTTAACAAAATGGGAGGACATTTACTAAATGGTTATGCCTCTCTTTTTGGAAAATAGGAATCGTCTATACAAATGAACACATATTCACGTTCGTTTAAATTTGTAGTCTCGAACTGACCTGGAACAACACTCAGTCGAAGGATCGTCGACTTCTGATTCTGTTAGTTTTATCACCTTCGTTCAATCCTTGAAACGCAAGTTAAAGAACTGGGAGAAGGAAATGGAGGTAAGCGAAATTCTCTTGGAATGTTCTAACAGGGCGTGTGCGTTGGAACAAGGAAGATTTTTTACTCTTTTTTAATGAAATCCTTTATAATTAGTTCTAGTTATAATAATTTTTAATCATTATATTAGATGTTATATTTTCTTGACATGGACGTGTATTTTCATGTATCAGCTTTAAACAATTAAATTAAAACTCGAACAATTTATAGTACCTGTTGTACATATAGCTATGTAACAGTATGAAGCTCGAAATCAATTACTATTTTCACTTATTTTTTGAAATTTTGTTCAGGCACTTCGTATTTTTCAAATATTTTTTTACACAATATTCAACTGCACTGTTGATTTCTGTAGATGATCAATGCTTTCCTGATCAAACCTTTTGCCGTTTTATAGGTCTACAAAAACGGCCAATTAATCCTGGAAAGACAGAGATTCCAATTTCCTCCTCAATGGTTATACTACGACAATGTCGAGGGCGAATGGGGAGCATTTAATGATATCTTGAAACGAAAGGATATATCTATCCAGAAAGAGGTAAGCACATATGTGTGGTTTATATATAGTCCAATATGTATGATGCACGAGAGTAAAAAGTGGTTTGTCTTGTTCTATGCATTGGGAATTTTTTTTTGTATTTCATGATTTCAGGAAGAACCTTATTTATACTGTTAAACTTAATTAACAACATTGTTAAACTTAAACTTAATGTATATTTACCGTACAGTATATGTATATTTACAGTACAGTCTAGAGCATGTATGATATGTTGTGGAGTCGAATCCTGCGGTCTTTTTGTAACGTTTTTTAACGAATATTTTCAATCTTGCAATTGTATCAGGTTTCGATGTTACAAGTGAAGATCATAGCAGAAGATCAGGCAGTGGAAGAAAGAACATCAGAGTTCCTCAATGAATGGGACAAGAGCAAACCTGTCCAAGGCAGTACGCGGCCAGATGCTGCTCTCAAATCGCTTGCAATTTATGAAGGGAAACTTAGTCGACTCAAGGAAGACCGAAGTAATGTGGCTAAAGCCAAAGAGGCCTTGGAACTAATGGAACAAGGTATTTTGGATATTAATAAAGAGTTTCTCGTCTACCTGAATGGGTCATTTAGAATTTCAAGTTGCCAGTGTTCATGTTTGCGTTCAGAAACATTTTCCGGTCTTTGTATTAGAATGTCTACTACTGTACCATACATCTAGATGACCTACAGTGTATGATGTGCTTGTGTTCCAACTACGTTTAAAGAATATTACTGTACTTGTATGTTTGTCACCGTAACTGAGAAACCGTATGTATCGAAAAATAACTTTGTTTTGTGCTTTTGTGTTTCCTATGTAGGGATGACGATGATCAGCGATGATCGTGTTCAGATTGCTTTGGAAGAACTGCAAGATTTGAAAGGAGTTTGGAATGAACTATTGAAGATTTGGGAGAAGATTGATGAGATGAAGGAACAGCCTTGGTTATCTGTACAACCTCGCAAGGTTTGTCATGATTTCTCAAAAGTGTTGTAGATGGAGTTGCCACTGAGCGTGAAATATGCCTGCAATCATTCATCAATGGCTTAGACGTTGGAACGATGTTATATGCTACTATGGCGTTTTAAATAAGGATTTTTGCTCCTGCACCAAACGAATCTTTCTTGGGCTGTTTATTTGACAATGCTAATAATTGCTGTACCGTATCTCTTTAGTTGCGAGGTTCTCTCGATGGACTATTGAATCAACTGAAAAACTTCCCAGCTCGTCTCAAGCAGTATTCATCCTATGAACACGTGCAAAAACTACTCAAGGGCTATATGAAGGTACTGTAAGACCTGCATATGTACTGTGTAGTATTTGGTTGTGCACTATATGCGAATTACCGAATCCTCGATAATTTGGGCATACATACAGATATCAGCCCATTTTCTTAGAAATTACGATACGACTTGATTTGAACATCACTGCTTCTTTACTGCTTCATTACTGCTAACCCATGTATGTACAAAATATTATTTCCCAGCCCTGACCGCACACAGTGTCATGTACAGTGTCATATACAGTGTCATATTTTAGTAGTTTGATAACTCTGAAGGTAGTATTACTGGTATTTATGTATAGTTACTAGTAATTAATAGTATTATTGCTGTAGTATTTTTTTAACTTTGGCAATCATTGCAAATAATATGCATGAGGTCTAAATGCAGTGTACCTCATGACCTGGTGAAGTATTTTGTGATTTAGTTCTCAATTGTTATCCATTCAGAGTTGGATTTGAAACGTAAATATATTTACTGTGAATATATGCATCATTATAACGAATTTGTTGGGTCTAAAACTGTGTATATGTTTTGCCTTTTAGGTCAATGTTCACATAGTCGAGCTGAAATCTGAGGCATTGAAAGAACGTCACTGGAAACAGTTAATGAAACAACTGCGTGTAAAATGGGTCCTCAATGATCTCACTCTTGGGGCAGTGTGGGATGTTGACCTACTGAAAAACGAGCCTATCGTGAGAGATGTGATTTTAATTGCCCAAGGTGAAATGGCTTTGGAGGAATTCCTTAAACAGGTTTGCCGAAGTTCAGAATATTATTGAAATATTTTGCAGTTAACTTTATTATGCATCCTTTTCATGATAATTTTTTTATAATAAAACATAGCCAAGGATTCTTGTAAGAATAGATATTAGCAGTTTCTGAAGTATAATAAAAGTTGAAGTACAGTAGACCAGCTACAGTAGCTACCTTTTGCAAGTAGAGTTAATTGTGGTAAGAACCGAATATGCGTGTTTTTCATGTCCGCATTTGTTCATTAGGTTCGCGATGTATGGCATACATTCGAGCTGGAGCTAATCAATTATCAGAACAAATGTCGAGTTATACGAGGGTGGGATGATCTATTTACTAAAGTGAAGGAACATTTGAACAGCGTTACTGCCATGAAATTATCGCCATATTACAAGGTAATCCATTTTGAAGCAATTTGTTGTAAATATATTTCTAGTAGCTATAGTTACGTAAAAGTTGTATTGCAGTTCGCAGCGTTGTTGGTTTTAAAGCTTCTGCATTTTTTATTAGGGCCTATAAAACAAAATACAAACTTACCAGATAAGCATCTTAGAATGAGAAAACTGTGAAATTTGTTTGTGGAATTCTTCAAATTTCAACAACATACTGTAGCCATACATTCCTAAGAGTTTGTTCTTGTCCTAAACAATATGAAACAAAGTTCAATATGAATTTCTGTCTAGCTTTATCTGGAGTGAAAATGGGTGACATTTATTGCTTCAAAATCCAGTGTTTGACAAACTTGGTCTTTTTTGCATCAGGTTTTCGAAGAAGACGCGCTTCAATGGGAGGAGAAATTGAACCGTATTCACGACACTTTTGACGTGTGGATTGATGTTCAACGTCGCTGGGTATATCTGGATGGTATATTCAGCGGAAGTGCTGATATCAAGACGCTGTTGCCTGTGGAAACACAAAGATTCCAAAGGTTTATATCGTTTGCAAGCCTTTTCATGATTGACTTTTTCCCAAATGATAGAACTTCATTGTCTGCATCGCGTTTTCTTTGTCGAATATGTACGAATTCGGAGACGTTCGAGAAATTGTTCGTCCCTCACTACTGACAATTCATGATTGATGATGAAAAATATATCCGCTAAAATACTTTTTTTCGCTTTTTAGTATCAGCACGGAGTTTCTGACTTTGATGAAGAAAGTATCAAAATCGCCGCTTGTCGTCGACGTTTTGAACATTCAAGGCGTTCAACGTCAGCTGGAGCGTCTCGCTGATCTGTTAGGAAAGATCCAGAAGGCTTTGGGAGAATATTTGGAACGGGAAAGAGCCTCATTTCCACGGTAACGTTTTTTAATGTGTCTTTTACTGGGGAATACTGATGAGTCGAAGGATTCGATTTATCAACTGCTTAAGGCTTTGATAAATCTGCTATATACCTGCTTCTTTTAAATATACTTGCTCATTTTTTTGCAGATTTTATTTCGTCGGTGACGAGGATTTGCTTGAGATTATTGGAAACAGCAAGAGCATTCCAAAACTTCAAAAACATTTCAAGAAAATGTTCGCCGGAGTCACTAGCATCATCCTGAACGAAGAAGAGCAAATCATTTCTGGAATTTCATCAAAGGAAGGCGAAGAGGTAATCCTCCTTTGACTCGATCATCTTAGTACGGCAGATTTTTTAAAGTGGGGGCGATCAGTAAACCCTCGTTGAAGACTATTCCTTATTTTGAATACGTTTCCTTATTTTGAATACGTTTCCTTATTTTGAATACGTTTCCTTATTTTGAATACAATTATTAATACAGGTAGTATTTAAGACCCCGGTGTCACTGACGAAGTATCCTAAGGTGAATGAATGGCTGACATGTGTTGAAAAAGAAATGAGAGTGACCTTGGCCAGTCTTTTGGCTGAAGCAATGCAGGACGTGAGTCAGTTCCAGTCGGTGGATATTGATTCTCAGAAATATCTGGAATGGGTAGACAAATACCAGGTATTTAATAATTATCGTTTCTGTTTTTCGTCTTACAGTACTGCTTCTACTTTTCTCCCTAATAATTACAAGATAGTGATTTTGCAGCTTTAAATTGAGTGTGCACTCTTAGCCAATATACATGTAGCACATATCGCATGGACAGAATCATCACTGTTTGCATCACCGGCTTGTTTCGATCATAGCCTGTTTTAGGCGTCCACCATTCCAGAAACTTCGGCAAACTTTGGTTTAGTTATGTGTTGCACTGTTGCTAAAATTATCTCTATAACTCCCAGGCTCAGCTGGTGGTACTTGCTTGTCAAGTATCGTGGTCCCAATACACCGAGGCAGCTCTCCAGAAAGGCAATGCCTCAAATATGCAACAAGTACTCACGATTGTTGAAGCGACATTGAACGTGCTTGCTGATTCTGTTCTTCACGAACAACCGGCTGTCAGGAGGCGAAAGCTGGAGCATTTGGTAAGCCGTTGAAAATCGCCCTTATGAATTTTCTTTTAGCGATTCCACTGAGCGAACTCGTTTATTTTTAGATAACAGAGCTTGTCCACCAACGTGACGTCACACGTAATCTTATCAACAACAAAACAACGGGAGAAAAGTCATTCGATTGGCTGAAGGAAATGAGATTTTACTTCGACCCAAATCAGAAGGATGTTCTGAAACAATTATCGATCCAAATGGCGAACGCGAAATTCAACTATGGTTTTGAATACTTGGGCGTGCAAGACAAGCTGGTTCAAACACCTTTGACTGATAGATGTTATCTAACCATGACTCAAGCTTTGGAGGGACGTCTTGGGGGATCACCGTTCGGTAAGGTGTACATACGTACCTCTAGAGCACACAACCTAAATTCATCTGTTACTGATATCCGAGGGCGAAGTTATGCTCACATAATACCATTATACAATGTAGTTGGCGTTTGTCTCTATACGCTCGTTTTGACGCATTTGATTGTCAACCATTATTCAAAAATATACGCCTTCTTCCTAACCCTGCCTCGTAAGGTTTACTCTCGACCTTGAGATGATGGCTCGTACACTTGCAAGAAGAGACTTAGCGGGCTTTCAACTAATTCAGCCAAATTTTTGGGACAGTTGCTTACCCGGGGTCAGGTTAATCTTTACGGCTAGGGTTAGGTAAGAGTTAGGGTCTCAATTCATTTTTTGTCCTCTCCTAGGTCCCGCTGGTACTGGCAAGACCGAGTCCGTCAAAGCTCTGGGACATCAACTGGGGCGGTTTGTGCTTGTATTCAATTGCGACGAGACCTTTGATTTCCAGGTAAAACATGAAAATGACCTAAGTCCCGTTGCACTTCGCTCAAATTTTTAATACGCACGGCTAAAATGCGGTATCCATGCATAGAAAACGGCATAGAAATATAAGCGGGCAAACAAAACAGTCGATTTAATGTACCAAACAGACCGAACAGACGAATATAAACAGTCGAATGTAAGGGAAAAAACGCAATTTGACCATTTTGTGTCGTATTCACAATGAATTGTATTTTTCATGGAATATTAGGCAATGGGGCGTATTTTTGTTGGTCTTTGTCAAGTTGGTGCCTGGGGTTGTTTTGATGAATTCAATCGTTTGGAAGAAAGGATGCTTTCAGCTGTCTCCCAGCAAATTCAAACGATCCAAGAAGCTCTGAAAGAACACAAGGACAGTGATGGTATGTTTAAAATACGACATGCTTACACGAGATTTCTAGTATAGTGCACTGGATTAGAGCCAGTGCTCATGTGAATGCAGAATACTTTGTGGCTCAGAAATATTCTTGCTAACTGGTAAAAATATTTCTACCTGTTTTTGGGTGGATACACCGTATTACTTTGTACACTTATACACGTTGCTACAAGTTGTAATTATATTGTATATACTCGAATGTTAAAGTCTGTTAAATTTGCCAGAGTGGGTGAACAAAATCTCTTGTTACAAGGCATTTATTGTTATTTCAATGTTACACATCAAAGTCTCGCAATTTGGGCTCTGAGTAGAATCCTGAGAGTGCTAATGTAGAATAAACTTGGGTTTTTTGGTGCAGCAATTGTTTCTTCTATTTAACCCCTAGGAAGACGGTATAGGGTCTTACTTGAATTCCTGATACATGTAGTTTTAAACTTTCGTTTCTCTTTTCTTCAGATTCCCATATATCGATTGAGCTTGTGAGCAAGCAGGTGAAAGTGAGCCGTGACATGGCGATCTTCGTGACAATGAACCCTGGTTATGCCGGACGATCCAACCTTCCTGATAACTTAAAGAAATTATTCCGCAGTCTTGCTATGACCAGTCCGGACCGACAGCTTATCGCTCAAGTCATGTTGTATTCACAAGGATTTAGGACGGCAGAGAAGCTGGCCAGCAAGATTGTACCATTCTTCAAGTTTGTTCAGATTATTGATGTAGTATATCTTCTTGTATGATATTACATACTGTACAGTACAGTACATGCACCGTTTGGACCGTGTGGAACTGAGCCCTTAGCCATCGTTTTGCTGGTAAAATGCTCCACAAACTGAGCAATTCGATCGGGCCTGAAATAATGTTTCACGAAAGGTTTTAGTTCTTTCAATACTAAATATGTTTTAAAGGCTCTGCATAGTTGTAAGATACCTACTTCCTGGTTTGGGTAAATTTCCCACTGGACTAGAGAATTTTCACGCAGAAACGGAAAATTATCCCCACCGAGTATAAATGGTTACAGTAAAGGCTAGTTTCCACTCTCCTTTGGATCGGAACGGACAGGAAAATTTCCTTTGTCGGTGAGTTCTCACGTGGGGTTTACACAAAGGAAACTTTTCTGTCCGGTCCGATCCAAAGGAGAATTTTCTTGAGTGGAAACCAGCCTTAAGTCCACATAGAACACATACACAGTCCCGGGTGCATTGTTTTCACGACCTTTTGTGGTCATTAGTCGAATTCATATTAGAAACGGGAAACTCGTCTGATGTGAAAGAGCGGTCATCCGAACTTTCCAGTCTATAATCAATTCATCTCTATTTGTATACAATTTTTCCGTTTAAGATTTGGCTCCCCGTTCTTGGTATGAATTCGGCTGTTGATATTTTTTTCCTTTCCTTACAGACTCTGCTTGGAGCAGCTTTCCAATCAGTCTCACTACGACTTTGGCCTTCGAGCGTTAAAAAGTGTACTTATCAGTGCTGGCAATGTCAAACGAGAGAGAATCTCCAAGATTAAGGAAGACCTTAAAGCGAAGGGTGAAGCTGTGGACGAAGCTGCGATATCTGAAGGATTGGATGAACAACAGGTACTGTAAGTCGATGGTATACAAATTCCGTGTTAATGCAAAATATGTCGCATTGCATGGGCTATATAGTCCTGACAGTTCATAGCTCGAAAAGAATGAAGACTTTAGATACACCGTATTTTTTTATTAAAAAGGAATTACCAATTTTTGTTTCTTGCCTTTATATAGATTTTAATACAAAGCGTTTTCGAGACTGTTGTCCCTAAGTTAGTTGCAGAGGATATTCCGTTGCTGAACAGTCTGTTGTCTGATGTTTTCCCTGGTGTTAAATATGTCGGAGCTGAAATGAGCGCGTTGAAAGAACAAATAAAAAATGTTTGCTCTGAAATGTATCTTACATATGGAACGGGTGAAGACGAAGGAAGTGCCTGGGTCGATAAGGTAAGCTATATGACAGTATCAAAGACGGAAAAACCTTGCACATGTAAAAACACCCGGCCGACACTTATCAGTTCAACTGAACTCGATGTTTCTCGGTTGTACATACGAAAATATGACTATCGCTGTTGAATATACATATTATGTATAGTAGGTGGGCTTTTTACAGTGCTGTCAGCAAAATATTACCACTTTGTGCTCCTCATGGCTATGTAATTGTCTTTTCAGATATTACAGTTGTATCAGATTTCGTTGATCCACCATGGTTTGATGATGGTTGGGCCCAGTGGAAGTGGGAAGAGTATGGCGTGGAGGGTTCTTCTCAAGGCGCTAGAAAGATTGGAAGGTGTTGAAGGCGTTGCGCATGTTATCGATCCTAAGGTGTGTGTGCTTTTATGTCAAGTCACTTCATGATGCATCAAGACAATAACAACCTATATGGCCATGCCATTCCGGTGAAAAGCCGACCTACCTAACGATAACTATGAAGAAGTTGTTCAATACAACGTTTGCTTGAAGTGGAATGCCTTTCAGGGGGATTATAAACATAACATGAAGCAAATTGAACATAAGATATCCACCCCAACCATATCATGTCGCGTCTTATATGTATATAAACAAGGGCAAACATGTTTGTACATCTTTATATAAATAGTTGTATACTAATAAATGGGTGCATATCGACCCAAGTTGCCTTTCCTGTCACTGCACCTGAGTAAAGTCTATAGTTTTCTCAGTGGTGGAACGATCAGTTCTTAGAGCAATTTGCACCTCAGTCATTATTAGAAATCAGCCAGCTATGATAAATAACTTTTCACAAAATTTGCCTAGGCTATGTCGAAAGATGAGCTTTATGGTACACTAGACCCAAATACACGTGAGTGGACAGATGGCTTGTTCACCCATTTACTGCGAAAGTAAGTATAATGATGATGTAAGTGATAGTTCATATAGAGCGTACCTCTTTATTTCTATTGTTCGAATTGCATTCGACGCGTTAAACATGCGACGTATAATCTAGGCCTTAGTTAAATAGCATTAAAAGTTTAATATTTTACATTCACTTAGAATCATTGACAATGTTCGTGGAGAACTTAATAAACGGCAGTGGATTATATTTGATGGAGATGTTGATCCAGAATGGGTTGAAAATCTTAACAGTGTACTTGATGACAATAAACTTTTGACTCTTCCAAACGGAGAAAGACTGGGTATCCCGCGAAACGTAAGACAACTTTATTATTGTAGCTATATGCTCGATTATTAAATGCTGCTGGTTTAACCATCTCAAGATGCACAGGTGCGCTCTTTTCCGAACTGGGTTCCACACCAAGTGGACCCATTTTCATTATAATACATGTAGGTCTGAGTATTTGAGTCAAAAAGATCAGGAGTTAATTACAATTCTACTCTTGAGATTTGACATTGACGTTTCTTTCACTAACATTTTACTAATTTACATTTCTTAACAGTATAGAATTAACATTGCAAGGTGCAAGACGAACTGCACAGTAAAACACTTTGTTTAGGGCGAATTGCTTTGCGTTATAAAGGTGTTTACGATTTAAGTTTGAATTTCTAATTCCTTGTTACTGTGAAATTTAGGTGCGCATAATGTTCGAAGTTCAAGACCTTCGCTACGCTACCTTAGCAACAGTCAGCCGATGTGGTATGGTGTGGTTCAGTGAGGATATATTATCAACTGAGATGATCTTTAGTAACTATTTGACGGAACTTAAAGCTAAGCCTATCGAAGAAATCGAAGAGGATGTTGGTCTTAGAAAACAAACCAAGAAGGGCGAAGAAAACGTTTTGTCTCCTACGATGCAGGTAACAGCAATGCAGCATCATTTTTGTAAAACAAGGAAATAAAGAAAAGACGTCGATGTTGTTAGTTGTATAAATAATTGGCTAGAGTTGTTACCGTTGTGTTGTCAGTTTGTGATGTATTTATATTAGAATTTGTATTTTGCAAAACTAAATGGTAAAATATACATCCACCCTTTCTCCCAGTCTACCCGCCAACATCATTTACCTTTTCTATCTATTTTACGATTTGTCCAACCATAATTTTTTCCTAATCTTTCAGTAGACTAAAACCGACTCATGTGGCCTACTTCGCACATATTCAATAATCTCATAAGATGAACGGCAATGAAATCATAGAGGTCTATGCAGACCATTTTAGGAGGGACATACTACTTTAAATTTCATTGCCATTCATCTTCATTTTTGCACATAGAAATATGTATTCTTTACAATTAAGTGTGAGATTTAGTCACCAGTTTAACTTTTTTCTATTTTTTCTCGAATACTCAGGTTCAAAACGATGCAGCAAATATTGTCGCTGAGCATTTCACGTCTGGCGGCCTAGTCATGAAATGTTTGGAGTATGCGATGGAACAAGAACACATTATGGATTTTACTCGGTTAAGAGCTTTGGGTCCCTTCTCTGTTCTCAATGTTCAAGCAAGCTGTACGAAATGTGATCACTTACAATCAACAGCATTCCGATTTTCCAATGGAGGTAAGGCATGCACGCTCTGTGTGTCATTTACGATTGAAGGGGTGCGAATGCGTATCCTAATCTGGATAAATAATTCTGTCAGCAAAGTTTCGAAACGTTCAGAATATTCATTGTTTAAGAGCTTAGACGTTGGTATGATTAATGTGAATTTCGTGTCATCGATACCTTGCTTTTATGCCTTCGGGCACTTAGTTGTTTATTGGGTGGACCCATCTTTCCCACGGATGGTAAATATCGGGGACAAAGTAAATTTGAAATAATTTCAAAGCTTTTTTTCTCATATCTGTCTTTCTTTTTAGCGTGATCAACTGGAAAAATACCTACCTCGCTATTTGATTTACAGTTTGTTGTGGTCGTTTTCTGGGGACTCTAAAATGAAGTATCGAGAGGAACTTGGTAAAATGATACAAAAAATCACATCCATTCCGTTACCGAATATGTCTGTCATGCGACTCATTGATTACGAGGTGATTACTTACGTTTCTCTGGTCCCCATTTTGTTTCTCCGAATGTAGTTTGCAAACCAATCTCAAAATAAATCTCAGGGCCTTCTGCTATGAGTAGTGAAATTTCGAAGCCAAAATTGCTGTAAAACCGTCTAAATCTTAAATATCTCATAGAAAATCATGCACAGTGGCTTTTGCCTACCGCTCGTGCATGGAAAATAGTTTGTTTTTTGTTATTGTATACTTCACGTTTGCTATAAACCGATTCCAGGTTACCATCCAAGGAGAGTGGGTGCCATGGCAATCCAAAGTTCCAAACATTGAGGTCGAGACGCACAAAGTCGCTGCTCCAGATGTTGTAATTCCGACAGTTGATACAGTACGACATGAAGTATTGCTCTACACGTGGCTTGCTGAACATAAACCGCTAGTGTTGTGTGGGCCACCGGGAAGCGGAAAGACAATGACGTTGTTCTGCTCATTGCGCTCTCTGCCTGATATGGAGGTTGGTTGAAGAGGCATGAAGTGCAGATTATTTCTTCATGTGTGAACAAAATCATATGGAATTAAATTATAGAAGGTTTACAGCATTGCAGTTCCTCTGTGCTAAATGTGCTGTGCAACTAAAGATTGTACTTTGTGATTAGCCACTCTTTTATATAGATTGCTATAACTTAATAATAATGTGTTATATAAACTAAAAAGCCAACACACTACCCACATATAAGACTTACCTTACCGTCTTCAATTATCAACCAAATTCTGGTTATGGCCACTGTATTTTCAATATCTGCTTTTGTACGTTATTGCATGTTTTTCTCAACAGAGCTTTGTTTCTTGTTTATTACGCAGGTTGTTGGATTGAATTTCTCCAGTGCGACTACCCCGGAGTTGTTACTCAAAACATTTGATCATTACTGTGAATACAGGAGGACGCCAAATGGAGTGGTTATGGCTCCTGTACAACTAGGAAAATGGCTCGTGTTATTCTGCGACGAAATTAATTTACCTGACATGGATAATTACGGTAAGTAAAAATCTTTAAACAACATTGAATTAATTTAAATGTAGATAGTAGGAAGATAGTAGGAAGTAATTGCACTAAATGAAGGCCCGGATTAACGGATCGAAAGCATCATTTTCAAGAATCATTGTGGTATGGCGTGGTGTACGTAGTGATATAATACAGGCGTGCCTGAAAATTGGAATTGGTAAAACTCACGAACTCCTTACACAGAAGGCAGCTTTGTTTGGCATCGTCTAACTTCTTGTTCAAAAGAATTGACCTCGGCCACTTAGAATAACTCATTCGCCTTTGCCGAGGATTAGCCGCAGAGATGGTGGAAATGCAACATGGTATATTAACGGTTTATATTTAATTTTTAGGTACTCAGAGAGTGATCTCGTTCTTACGTCAAATGGTGGAACACAACGGCTTCTATCGTTCAGTTGACCAGGCCTGGGTGAAGCTAGAGAGGATTCAGTTTGTAGGAGCGTGCAATCCTCCAACCGACCCCGGAAGAAAACCGCTCACTCACAGGTAACCACTTTTTGTTCTACTTGGCTAATAATTCAGCACTCGTGTGCTCAAGCTTAGGAAATCCTCGGGTACCTGCGCTATGTATGATACATTAATTTTTAATGGAGAGGTTCTGCTTTATAAAGTAGTTATAATTTAGAAATTTGACCGGGTTCTTTCTACACAGATTTGCTCCATTTATTCCAGGTTTTTACGTCATGTCCCCGTGGTCTACGTGGACTACCCTGGTGCAATTTCGCTCACTCAGATTTACGGCACTTTTAACCGCGCCATGTTGAGGTTGATCCCGTCTCTGAGAAGTTCTGCTCAACAGCTGACAGACGCGATGGTGGAATTTTATACAATGTCGCAGGTATTGTGGAACAAATATATGTATTGAATTGCGATTTTACGTGTCAGCACTTAAGTCCATTTACCACCTCGCGAATCTAACCGGATCACGGTTTTGACTTTGCTTCGCACGAATGAAGTGTTGAAGTGTAAAATAGTCTTTATTGCCTATCTGTAAATTGGTTTTAAGCGAGAATTGTAAAGGTTTGGCCCTGTCTTAATGAGCGAATTCAAGAACAAATCTATTTGATGCGTCGTGATCGTCTTTGTTACAGGAGAGATTCACCCAGGATATGCAGCCCCATTACATCTACAGTCCACGTGAAATGACTCGTTGGGTTCGAGGCATCGTGGAAGCTTTGCGACCGCTGGATAATTTATCTGTTGAGGGATTAGTCCGGTTGTGGGCTCATGAAGCACTGCGTCTTTTCCAAGATAGGTATGTGTTTACCCCTTTTTGTTTATATATACCATTACCTTTCCTGGTGTTTGCCCCTTCTTGTTTATATACCATGTACCCTTGGCGCTATACCTCTGATATGAACTGTATTAGTCATTCTGTATCGAATTTAAAAAATAGCAAACCAAAATTTGAAGTTGGTGATATTAACTATAAAACGTGTTTTTGCAAGGTTGGTGACGGACGAAGAACGTAAATGGACCGAAGAGAATATCGATATTGTGGCAAAGAAACATTTTCCATCAATTGACCACGAGACTGCGCTAAAAAGACCGATATTGTACAGCAACTGGCTTACTAAAGACTATACTCCGGTTGAAAGAGAGGAATTGCGAGATTTTGTGAAAGCCCGTTTGAAGGTGCGTAATATCGCGATGCTGCATCAAATATAATATATTCGAGAACTTCGTTTGAGATGTATGGAATAATAAGGAGACGTGAAATAATCGATTTCGGATAGTTGGACACGACTATATATCATTGTCCTTTCGAAAGTATACGAAACATCCATTTTTATCATTCTTTTTGAGCCTGCGACACATTACTACTTTTAAACGAATACAAACATATACAAAGATATTATATTTAGTTTTTGTGCTCTTCGCACATCCCGTTGGTATTTGACGTACGAATTCATCGCTTTGTATTATGTAGGTGTTTTACGAAGAAGAACTCGACGTTCCTCTAGTTTTGTTCAACGAGGTTCTCGACCATGTTTTAAGAATTGACCGAATTTTCAAACAACCTCAGGTTAGTTTTTTACATTTTTTAACTGTATTTGAATGCCTTCGAAAACAGTCTGGCTTGCTTGGGGACGTGTATTATTTTATGCGACGTTATGCTTCTTTTTTCTTAGCGAATGTTTATTTATAAAGAAATTTAACATTTTAGGGCCATTTGCTTTTGATTGGCGTCAGTGGAGCAGGCAAAACTACGCTCTCTCGTTTTGTCGCCTGGATGAATGGATTAAGCGTTTTCCAGATAAAGGTATAAGAAAATCGGATTCTAAAAAACCTATAGTTGTTTTGCAGGAAACTAAAAATTGATGCACTTTTCTCAGAATTGTTAAAATTTGTTGTGAATCTCATTATTATGAGCATTATTGGCTCAACCGCGGATCTTCGTTCTACTAGATTCATCGCAAGTACACATACGTTGAGTTTGACGAAGATTTGAGAAATGTTCTGCGAAGATCCGGATGCAAGAATGAGAAAATCGTGTTTATTTTGGATGAGTCAAACATGCTGGAGTCCAGTTTCTTAGAAAGAATGAATACCTTGCTGGCAAATGGAGAGGTAACTTTAGATTTTGATATCTTGGCTTCGAATTAAGAAAGCTTGTCCGTTGTGAAGTCTTTTCAAACTGGGATTTTTTAGGGGGTAATTGTCGCTTGTTTAGTGATAAATCAATTGTACGCTTTGGGTGGCACCTTACACTTGAACTCAAGTAGCTTTAAAAAGATTTGTTGTCACAACACAAGGTGACTAAATACTGGGTTGTGTTATACATGCATGCAAGTGTTTCTACTCTAATACTTGCACAACACAAGGTGACTAAATACTGGGTTGTGTTATACATGCATGCAAGTCGTTCTACTCTAATACTTGTCACAACACAAGGTGACTAAATACTGGGTTGTGTTATACATGCATGCAAGTCGTTCTACTCTAATACTTGCACAACACAAGGTGACTAAATACTGGGTGTGTTATACATGCATGCAAGTCGTTCTACTCTAATACTTGTCACAACACAAGGTGACTAAATACTGGGTTGTGTTATACATGCATGCAAGTCGTTCTACTCTAATACTTGCACAACACAAGGTGACTAAATACTGGGTTGTGTTATACATGCATGCAAGTCGTTCTACTCTAATACTTGTCACAACACAAGGTGACTAAATACTGGGTTGTGTTATACATGCATGCAAGTCGTTCTACTCTAATACTTGCACAACACAAGGTGACTAAATACTGGGTTGTGTTATACATGCATGCAAGTCGTTCTACTCTAATACTTGTCACAACACAAGGTGACTAAATACTGGGTTGTGTATACATGCATGACAAGTGTTTCTACTCTAATACTTCGATCCTCGTTCAGGTTCCTGGATTGTTCGAGGGAGACGAGTATACTACTTTGATGACTCAGTGTAAGGAAGGCTCACAGCGTGATGGTCTGATGCTGGATTCCAGTGAAGAGTTGTACAAGTGGTTTACAGAACAGGTACGTGATTTTTCTTCATTTAATTTTAATTTGCAAATTCTTATATAAGATTGACTTGGGACATCCATTGACTTGTGTTTTCCTTTAATGATAACCAGCGTTGTTTGTATATTTCAAGTACTCCGTTGGTTAAGTATCGAAGAATATTTGTTATCGACTCGTGGGTCTTAGATTTATCCGCCATTAGAGGCGACTTTTGAATGTGCACAGTTTTGCAATAATATATATAATTATTCTCTCTCATCACTCGTTTTTAATTACGAGATTCACAGGTACATTGACCTAATATTGGCTATAATAATGGGTTTCGCTGAAATTAAATTGATATGATTAAATATCAACAAACGCCTATACATGCTTGTATTAAATAGAAAATTGCATGTATACTAACATCACCAGTTAGTCCTGCGCAGATGATGGGAGAACATTCGCTATTATAGTTTAGCATTTTTATTTGCTTTTCAAAGTATCTATACGAAACTAACGTTAACCTCTTTTTAAAATAAGTTCTCAAGACTCATTCTTCGTCGTTTAATTTACCTTCGATTTCGAAGGAACCTAAAGCGCATGTGCTACGGTCAGCTGAAAACTTTCACTCTCCCTACCTTAGTGGATACATGCATTCTCACCTAATCTCAGCGACATGTATGTATGTCATAGAGCCATGGCACTTGTTTATTACAAGTTGTCCCACATTTTGGTTTGCCAATATCTTCGTTCTTCTTTAAACATCGTGCATGTAATTTAAAGCTTGGAAGCCTCTGAGGAGTGCGTTTTGAAGTTGTAGACATGCACCTGCATGCTCTACCGCAAATATGGCATAATTTTCTTATACAAACCATCAAAGAATTTTATATTAATCGTAATTAAGCACGTAATTGCTTGTATAAAGAAGCAATATCGCGTGTTGCATATATGGTCCAGCCACTTATATCATCGCAGATCGCACGAGATAAATTGGAATTTTTAGAAAAGGAGGAAAACAAAGACGCTGTGTTTCGTCGTTGAAGAGGGTGACGCTGACCGCTGTTGTTTAAAGAGATTGAAAAATGAGCGATTCGTATGGATATTATTGCAAAGTTGCTCTTACGTTTGTTGTGCTTTTCGGTATAATTGGTAATATTCTGGTAATTCTTTCCTTTTTGAGACAAAGAAAACTTCTGAAGAGCAACTTTTATTGCCTTGTTTTCCACGTGACAATCAGCGACCTTTGCTTCCTGCTGTCTTCCGTCTACGACGTTTACATCGCTTTCGCCACCGGAACCATGGCAAGTTTCGAAAATCCTTCGACCTGTTCCGCTTTCTTCTTAACTCGCGAAATATCCCTTCTGTTAGGAGCATACTTCATGTTGGTTATGTCCGCCTGTCGTTACCGCGCTGTTCTTAAGCCATTGAAACCTGTCATTAGTTCCCGACGTTTGAGGAGTATTGTATGTTTTGTGTACCTATCGGCATTGCTTGTGTCTGGCGCGAAGATCCACTTATGCCTGGTTTCCTTGTCTGAAATACCGAAAACAGCCGTTGTGATTGTTCAATACGCCAAGACGTTTATTTGGTATATTATTCCGGTAACCACGATGACTGTTATTTACTGGAAAATATGTCGGGAGTTGATCAGAGGAAACAATGTTGTGAAATGCTCTACTTCAAGCGCAAATGGGAATCAAACGAAAGAGAGAAGGTTCAAGAGGTTGATGCATCATAGAAATTCGCGAGCATTTCTCGTTTCCTTCGTCACTGTCGTTTGCTTCACCGTAGGTGGACTTCCTAGGCATGTCGGATGTTTGCTGTGGTATTCAGATTCAGGCAGTCGTGGTTCTCGTCTAAACCAATTTCTAAACATTGGGTGGTTGATCCAAACAACTGGGACATGCGCGATCAATCCTTTGATCTATGGAATACTGGACAAAAAGTTGTTGTCAATTTGGAAATTTATTTACAGGAAAAAATAACTGTATATAGAATTTCTATAACTATTGATATGTAATATGTAAACTAAGATGTCCGTAAGAATTATAGTTTAAGGACATATCTTGACGGTGGCAAGTTATTTTAAGAGCGTATATATTTTCCTTTTCATTTTTCCTTAGAACTATATGCACTTCTACTATATGGATTATAATTATTATAATTTATTATTATTTATTGCAATTACTCGCCTTCCGGATGAAGCGTCATTTGCTTGAATGGTTACTGGTTTAATTTCAAATAGTTTAGAGTCGAAGAGATAACCTTTAAAAGTTATAGCTAATGTAAGGACTGGCGCTCAATGCTTTTTCTTATAGACGAAATTAATACGGTATTTCGACCGAATTGGTGGCTTGATTTTGAGTGTATAACAAAAGTCCTCCTCATTTCGATTGAGAGGGGAGGGGACTTATAAATATGCAGTTAATTGACGACAGGGCTTTTTTAAGAGAACCAACCCCCGTTTTGATGAAGTATATACTTAAGTCTTAAATCTACGTACTATAGATTAAAAGATTGTACTTTTTTTGTCTTAAAAACGGCCAAATTTCAAAATCGTTTTTGGCGCATGCATGTACATATAACGCCAATGGTTAAAGATATATTATAAAATTTAAAGTTGCGGTAGTTGATCATTTGATATTTTTCGTAGGTCATCCGCAACCTTCATGTTGTTTTCACAATGAATCCATCCTCTGAAGGACTGAAAGACAGAGCTGCTACCTCTCCAGCTTTATTCAACAGGTCAGGGTTACATGCATGTTTAAAATTTAGAATAAACCACGGCTAAAATGAGATAAATAATTAAAGTTACGTCGATTTAATGAGTTCGTCCATGGCATTTTCATGCATGAATGACGTGTGAGGTAACTTCTGTATAAAGATTTTCAAACCGATGTTAGCAGCTGAATTACGCTGAAAATTTACAGTCGCAGGTTTTAGATTCAGTCAAAATAAACGTTATCCCGCAGTTCGGTTACATTTAGCGCCTGCAATATTTTGTTCACTTTCCATATTCTTTTAACAACTAACCGAACATGCTTGTAATATATCATAATAGATGTGTTTTGAATTGGTTTGGCGATTGGTCCACTGGTGCTCTCTATCAGGTCGGAAAAGAATTTACCAACAAAATCGACTTGGACAATTCATTGGTAAGTGCTGTATACCATGTCATGGTAATAATTATCATGATGGTTCGTCGAATTAATATGTGCCATTTTTAGGCCGAAAAAGTTGCTTTTTTGAATGTGGACTCGCACTATTTTGCAGTTTTCAAGATACTTCCAAATGCAATATTTTCTTGTAATTGCACGATATCGATAAAAGACTTTTTCATGCTGAGTGAAATTAGCACATGTAAAAATTCCTTATTCATTTATTTAGTACCGTGCTCCAGACTATCTCCCCGTTGTTTACGAAGGATTATCAATACCACCAACCCACAGAGAAGCCGTCATTAACGCCTTCGTATTTGTCCATCAAACTTTACATCAAGCAAACGCACGTGTTGTGAAACGAGGTGGTCGTTGTATGGCTATCACTCCAAGACATTACCTCGACTTTATCAATCATTATGTAAGTTATCTTTCGATTTAGTTAAAACTGTTGGAAACTACGTGGATTACTTGCAGTCGCTGAAGGCAGTTATGAGGAACAACAAGAAACATTTGTTTTACCTTTTAAAGAGGGGGACTAACGTAAATCTATAATGCCCCTTTTAACGTTAACCTATGAAGGCAGTGGACGAGATCCTTGAAGGCGTATGGTGCATACTCTTTAGGGCGGAGTAAGTGTTTTCATGCACGAGAAACTGTGGCGTGCAAATAACCCTCGTGTTTCCACTGTCCATGCAGGTGAAATTGTATAACGAGAAGAGATCCGATTTGGAAGAACAACAACTGCACTTGAATGTCGGTTTACAGAAGATTAAAGAAACTGTTGATCAGGTTAGTGCTATGTGATGAATAAGTCTATGTGGCTATTCATGTTGACAAATGAATGACATTGCCTGGGCTATTTCCTTGTCTTAAAGGTTGAAGAACTGCAAAAAAGTTTGTCAATGAAGAGTCAGGAGCTGGAAGCGAAGAACGCATTGGCTAATCAAAAACTGAAGCAAATGGTATGCGACCAGATTCATACATAATATATCGTTTTGTATCTGGATTATACCCTGGAGATCATCAATCCAGGCTACATGCACTGATCCGTTTCTGATTTTTCTCTTATTCTCGTTTAGTTGAAAGACCAGCAGGAGGCCGAAAAGAAGCGAATAACCTCAACTGAGATTCAAGCTGCCATTGCGGTATGTTCTTGCCGATGCTTAGAATTTGAAAAATTTGTTACAAAGTATTAAAGTGTTTTGAACACGAAATTTACAATGTGACTTTCTATAACAGGAACAAACGGCTAAGATAAAGGAGAAGAAAGCCCTTGTTATGGAAGACTTGGCACAAGTTGAGCCTGCTGTTCAAGATGCTAAACAAGGTGATTTCATTTCGTCTTTCGTGCAGTTTTTGCACTCCTTGGGTTTTATCCTTCGGGAAAAATTGACTGCAAGGATTTAAATTTGAGTCTGGCAACATTAATAAATTTGGCAAGGTACATTATATATTAGCTAGTTAGTTGGATACACTCAACGTAAGTTAGCTGTGTGAATATTCTATACGTGTATTTACATTGCATTTGCATTATTCAATCTACAATTTTTACTTGGCTCCATTTCAGCGGTGAAATCTATCAAAAAGCAGCACTTGGTCGAAGTACGATCGATGGCTAACCCGCCACAAGCTGTTAAAGTGGCTCTGGAATCGATTTGTTTGCTGCTGGGCGAACAGGCGAATGACTGGAGAGCAATCCGTGGAATCATCATCAGAGATAACTTCATTCCGACCATCGTTAACTTCCAGACAGAAAATATCAGGTTAGCTGCATGTTATTATTGTACGGTAACAATAATCAAAGGCTTAAAAGTTTAAACGAGAGATGGTTGAATAAAAACTCGATTGAGACTTAATAAGAAATTAAAAATTATTCAAACTGAAATATTTATCTAATTTGAAACAAAGTTTAATAAGATAATTTCCCGGAAGAGCTGTTGTAAAAAACGGTTGTAATTTTTAGTGAAAAGTTTCCTGGAAACTTTGCAGTATTGTGATACGTGGCGAAAATTCAAACGACTCAGTCATACATAGTGTAATCATTCCGGGGGAGTGAACTTGATATGTGTTTATAGCAATTTTTTGCGTGGTGGGAATTAAGATTAAGGGTTTTAAATCATTTTTACTTGTCTTATTTAACAATTCTTCGGCCCTTTTACCAATTTCATAGAACTAAGAATCGAGGAATCTATGTCGTTCCTGTGAGTTTGACGATATTCCTCCTCTCTGGTAATGGTTCTGTTTTAGAGGAATTTAACCCCGGAACATACGATTTTTTCTCTATCATCGCAAATGTGCATGTGCTATATCGGGCCTTGATCAATATTCACAATTGTACGCCAGAATATTACATATGAACTATAATGTGAACTGAAGCGCGGCTTTTGCACATATCTGATATGTACAAGGATTACTTTCATTCCTTGTTCTACAACTGCAATGTGCTAAAGTAAAAACCTTCAGCTAGAATAAAATAAACCACCGTATATGTTGTTGGAATACTTCTAGTGGAAGGTGATATTCTACCATTATTATGACGTAATAATAGACCGAGTAAAGACTCGCGTAAACGCGGGAGCGCTAAGAGAACGGAAACATTTCTGGGCTGCCTGTGGCAAGTAAATAGCGGGGTTATGCATCCATAATCATGATCGTGGTGCATACTGAATAAAGCATTTCATTGATTTATGATTAAACGTTTTAATATCTCTCCTAATGAGTACAAAGGAACTGACATAGTTTTGATAGCTTCATTTCATACGAGTCTCTCAAAATATTAGAAAATATCCCAATACAAACTTTCTTCATGCAATTATATGGCACGCAAGCACCAATCATAAAATAACCCAGGTTACATCATATTAATATATCCAGTTTTATGTTGATTGTTACTGTCCTTATTTCCTTAGTGAGGATGTTCGCGCCCAGATGTTGAGCAAATATATGTCTCAACCGGACTATAACTTTGACAAGGTGAATCGTGCTAGTCAAGCATGTGGTCCTTTGGTTAAGTGGGCCATTGCTCAGGTACGACATCGATAATTTTTTTTTTCTTTTTTCGGCTATAAAATTGTATAGGAAACATGAATTTACAACAATTGAAACAGTAAATATTTATACACTTACACTCTACTTGTTTTTTCTATCTTCCAGCTTGGTAAATTTCAAGGTTGCTCTTAAAACCTGTCCGTTAACATTCTGTCTTTTCCTAAATAGGTTAAATATGCCGATATGTTGTTGAGGATCGAACCCTTGCGCAATGAACTGAAGAGTCTTGAGAGCAAAGCAAGTGTTAGCGAAGCAAAGGTGCGTTAAAGCATGTGAAGTTGTATCATCACTGTAATTCTTAAATATAATGTATAGGAATGTAAAAACAATTGTAAAAAATTCCAAGTTTGATTTAAGGGCCCAACTTTTGAATTAAGCATTTAGTACTAGTGCAGTCATATCAGTGTCAATAGAACATTTGCCGCAAGACACCAAACGCGTTTTAGAACCTAGCATTATTAGGCCGCTTGTAAGTCCGTTTCAAATGGAGGCTCTGATACGTTTACGATGATAAAGCTTGTTGTTTATACTCCTAAATTACGTGTGTCTTAAATTTGAGCTTGTGCTTTGAAAAAAATGCTTGGACAATACGGTGTTATACATTATAGATACAAAATTAATTATTTTTATTCAGGCTGTAGAGATTGCAAGTGTAATCACTGGCCTTGAAAAGAGCATCTCTCAGTACAAGGAAGAATACGCTGCGTTGATCAGCCAAGCTCAAGCAATCAAGAGCGAGATGACTGCTGTCGAAGCTAAAGTGAACAGAAGTGTGGCGTTGTTACGTAGCTTGTCTGATGAGCGAAGTCGTTGGCAAGCGACTAGTAATGCTTTCCAAGCTCAAATGGGGACCATCGTTGGTGATGTTATGTTGTCTTCTGCCTTTTTAGCTTATGCAGGTACTGTGTGTGTGAATGGAAAATAGCTGTACAATAATATATGTGTCCTATGCTACAGTGCTGAGTAAACATTGTTTGCCTAACCATAAGAAGTTTTGCGAAGTTACCATACTCGACGCATCATTGAATGTTATATAGTATTCACAATAAGTATACTTTAAACTGGAATATTCCTGTGGCAGGCTCCAAAAGCATCGAAGCGACGCTTACTGAAGAAAATTATGCTTGTGTGAAAACAAGATATACAAACGCATGAATCGATCTCTCTTTTGATAAAAAAAAGTATATTAAATATTGGCTTCGAGTGGATCTCGAATGGTTTTTAGTTCTAAATCGATTTCCATATACCGATTTTTATCTCGCACACCACTGTATATAACTGCGTGTACCAACGTGAAATTTTAACAAATCCATGGTAAACATTTCAGGTTATTTTGATCAACAACTCCGTCAAAATTTGTTCACAACCTGGAGTTCTCATCTTCAACAAGCTGGTTTGGAATTCCGCCAAGATCTTGCCAGAACAGAGGTAGGTGGACCGAAAAAAATCTGTAGTAGCTACATGTAGTTTTCGACCATATTAACAAGCTAGCCGTTTATCGAAATAATAGCTTAGGGGCGTGTGGATGTCAGATTTTTGCTTCTGCGGAATTTTAAAATCTGGCGCTTCTACGCGTGCTTAGTAACGTATTTACTTAGCTACGGCATTTATAAAACAATAAAATGCAACAGTCAAATACAATGCTTCATATAGGCAGCTTTAAATCATATTTTAAATTAACGATCGAGGTTTCAATCACCCATTTTTGCCATAGTACCTATCCACCGCTGACGAGAGACTGGCTTGGCAAGCAAATGCTCTGCCTACAGATGATCTTTGTACCGAGAATGCAATCATGTTGAAAAGATTCAACCGATATCCTTTGATAATTGATCCATCCGGTCAAGCCACAGAGTTTATTATGAACGAATACAAGGGACGCAGGATCACAAAGACAAGGTTTGTATAAACGTAACGGTGATTGCTGAATAACCTCAAGTTTTATCCCAACATATCTTCCAAATCAATGTTCCTCCTTACGAAACTCCTTATTTGATAAGATAGCGATTAGAACGGAGGTTTGGAGGAACATCGACTGGAATGATGACGGTACAAAGCTTTTGATTGGCTACAGTGGCTTAGCACTTCATTATAGTAACTTGCAAGTAGCTAATTTATATTGCAAGCCAAAGTGTGAAATGAAAGTCCAAAGAATTTCTTGAATGTTTTATAAGAGTACTTAGCTACAATTTATCAATGCAAAACAACAGAAAACGTGCTTGTTCATGCCGTGAAAATTTGGCTCACAATATTCCATTTTTTTCTTCTTTGGCAAAAAATCACTTCTTAGAAAGCTTGTAAGCTTTTATCTACCCCGTTAGAAACTATAATAACGAGTTAAACTATACATTTACATAAAATTTCTAGTGTCCAGACGTTACAGCTATAATTCTAATTAAGATCTCATATAGCCTTTCTATTGCAGCTTCCTTGACGACGCTTTCCGTAAAAACCTGGAGAGTGCCTTGCGATTTGGAAACCCTCTCTTGGTCCAGGTAAACTAGTCGCTGATTGGTAGTTATTTGAGGTTGCATGACTGAAAAACTCATGAGCTAGATCCACTTTTTTCACTTTTTTACCAGTTGGTTAGAATATTCTCATTGAGAGTATTATTTTCGTTCAATTAATTAAAATATTCATTCAGATGCACGTTTAAATGTGGTTTGTTTTCACCATACCGCCATGCAGTTTTTGTTCCTATCGTTATTGACAGTTCTGTCCGTTTCTTCTAGGATGTGGAGAATTATGATCCCATCGTGAATCCAGTATTAAACCGTGAAGTACGACGTACAGGTGGCCGAGTGTTGATAACTTTGGGAGATCAGGACATCGATTTGTCTCCGTCGTTCACAATCTTTATGTCAACCAGAGATCCTACTGTAAGTCTTCAGGAGAAATATTATACTAATAATAAATGTTAACGGGTGCAGTGATAAAGCAGTTCAGTGTGAACAAAGTGTTGGTTCTTAGAAAATGTTTGTGATTGAAAGGTCAATGTCGCAGACACTTTAAAAAAAATCGAAAGAATGAACAAAAAAGGAATTGCTTTAGAAGTTTTTGAAGTACCATGACTGTTTTTTCAGGTCGAATTCCCGCCAGATTTGTGCTCTCGAGTGACGTTCGTGAATTTCACGGTGACAAGAAGCAGTTTACAAAGTCAATGCCTTAATTATGTTCTTAAAGCTGAGAGACAAGATGTGGACACCAAACGATCTGACCTGCTAAAATTGCAAGGTAAATGATTGTAATCCTTACTAAAGCTTTACGAATATATCTTTCTCACCGAACTACACCTTTACCCTAAACAAGGTCGTTTGGAAAGCCTGTGAAAAAAATGCCCAAAACGTTCCTAGCTATAACTGCAAAAGCTCCAAACATTGCGGAACACGAAAGATGAATCTGCTTGTCAAAGCTACGCTATTTTTAAAATTTCTTCACACGCACGTCCTATATAGGGGAGTTCCATCTGCGTCTGAGACATTTGGAGAAATCTTTACTTCAAGCTCTCAATGATGTGAAAGGAAGAATTCTGGATGATGACAGGTGCGAGTACACTCTTTTCTTTACCCATACTTGTGAAAATGTTTTTTTGGAAATGTTCTTGGAAAAACGTAACTGACGTTAAATGACCATTGTTATTATTACTTTTGCCAAAACGCGATAGTTTGAGATGAAATAGTAATTTTTTTGAAATTTTCAGAAATTTTTTGTAAGCGAAATTACTCGGGAAACATCTTTCATTGAATAGTGTCGTGAATATATATACTGTAGCATTATCGGAACTTTGGAAAAGCTGAAACAAGAAGCAGCGGATATTACAAAAAAGGTCGAAGAAACAGACGTAGTCATGGCTGAAGTCGAGGCTGTTACTGACCAGTATAGACCACTGTCTCAATCTTGTAGCAGTATATACTTCACTATGGAATCGCTCAACCTTGTAAGTGAACCTCATTCAGGAGATCTCGTGCATAACTGTGCATTCTTTTCTATACTATGAGTATACGTTATTGTTATAGCTTATTTTAAAACCTATATTTCGCAAATAAGGTAAATATATACAGCTCAGGTTGTCCCTTATTTTTCACTTTGTCTCTCTTTTAGATCTACTTCCTGTATCAGTATTCCTTGCAATTCTTCTTGGATATGTACTTAAGCGTTCTGCATGAAAATCCAAACTTGAATAATCAAAAAGACTATATAAGCAGACTGAACGTCATTACTACTGACGTTTTCCAGGTAAGTTGAGTAATATTTTTTAAATTTTAGTAATTTATGCATTCTCGAAATGCGACTGATCCAACCATTGACTTTATTCGAATTTAGAAAAAGAAAACAAAGTTTGCAAAACAACATTATAGAGTGGTCCATTTTTAGAGTGGGTAACCATTCAACAACTTACTAATCTTTATTTCGTTTCTAGATCGTTTACAATCGCGTTTCCCGCGGTATGCTTCATGATGACAAAATCACGTTTGCCCTGCTATTGTGTCGTATTCATCTTCGTGGTTTACCTGGGTAAGTCATCGTTTGTCGCTGCTGTACCCGTTGTGTTGCGGTCACTTTGTTGTTGTTGATGTTGTTCTGTTGTCACTCTACCCTACCACTCTACTGTTGCTTTGTCTCTTAATTCTTGTTGTTACTGCTGTTGTTCATATTTTTTTTGTTATCCCTGTTTTTTTTTTCCTGGGATCGCTATTGCTCTTTCTGTGTTTATTGTTATTTTCGTTATTCCCATTGTTACCCCTCCACTTGTTGCTGATGTCTTTTTTTAATTTAGCATTATCAGTTTTATTGTTCCAATTCTTCTCCTTGTTAATTGTTGTTTTCGCTTGCTCTATTTTGTGTTCTGTTTTGGTGCTTTTTGCTGTTGCCTTTGTTGTTGTTGTCGCTATTTTTTACCCACAAGTTGGTCTTCCTGTTGTTACCTTACTGTTGTTGGTTTTGTTTTTGTTGTTGGTTTTGTTGTTGTTGTCGCAATTGTTGGCCAATGGGGTCTTTCATTGTCGCTTTTGTTGTTTTTATTGTTTGTAGTTCCTCTTGTTACTGCTGTTATTACTGTTGTTATGGTTAACTTGCTTTAGCGCTGTACAGGAATCAAATAGATGATTTTTTTCATGCAAACAATTTTAGATTATATGAAATTTATTCTGACATTTCTAGAGAACGGGAGTTTGAAGAAGAATTCTCGCACTTTTTGGAAGGTCGGGATGCACTTGTGGGAAAGAAATCTGCCAGCGTAGACGGTCTATCACCAGAACAGGTAAATTGAATGAGAAAGATATTCATAATAATAAATGTGCTCTTCACTGGACGTCGTCCCTTTAAAGACAAACAATCTTATAACCATTCTGACTGTTCTTATGGCTTCCATCACAAAAAGGGTCTATGGAATAGTCTTTTGCTGTGTTCAAAGCGATAAAGCCGAGAAAAGACTTTTGCAATCCATGCAACTTTTTTGATCGGGTTCCATTCATTTCCCAATCCAATGCAACATTTGAACTTATATATAGCGATCTTCTTGCTATTTTTTGAACACTGTATCAGTGCATGTATGTTCTGTACTGTATCTGTTCTGTTTTAGAGTCAAGCAATGAGTCATTTGGCCCAGCTGGTTCCCTTCAATAATCTACCAGGATATATCCAGTCGCACAGAGTAAGCTATCCCTTTGTCCGGAATGATGCTAAGAATGCATATTTGCTTGATGTATAATTATAGTCCTTGTGTCTTCGCCTTATTTGTTATTTGTATGGGAAAATGTAAAGCACAGATGAATCAACTTTGATCTTGTTGCACATTCGGTTATCTAAAACCATTATAGCAACCAGACAATACTGTGCTGTATAGACTAGATGATATTTTCCATAAAAATTGGCGACATCTATATTTCTGGTATCCATTCCAAATGTGTGTAGTCCTTCGATTTATTCTTAATTTTTTTGTCTGATGTCACCCCTCCTTAGGATTTCTTTGAATGGTCTGAGGATCTCAACCCTGAGAACAATGTCCCGGTTTGCTGGGAATCAAACGTTGAACTTTGTAAGTATTTGTATTCATGTTTTGTGTAACATGTATGTATGCAGGAGTGGACTTTAGAGTGCCGTATATTTTTATGTTAAACGACACATAATACTGCAGCACCGGCACTTTTCTCTAAGTGCATGTAATACCAGGCGATAGACTAATGTTAACCAATGCTAAACCAAGATTGGCTACCCTGAGGTTGCAGTGAATGATTGGCGCTACTGCATATGTCATGAGACTTCTTCTGGGGGTTGTGAACGCAAATCTCGTCTCGGAAACAAAATAATAGTACTTTATTTTCAGTCACACTATTACTGATTTGTTTATTCATTTGCAAATTGCAGCTTCTGTGGGCAACAGTTTGTACCAGCTTCTTGTTGTGCAGGCTTTCAGACCAGACCGTGTTCTTGCTATGGTTCATAAAGTCGTTGAGACGGTATTCGGGCAGTCGTTCATGCGAGCTTCAGAACAGGAACTTGATCTTGCATTTATTGTTGACAAAGAGGTACAGTTGTATCATTCAGCATTCCAATACGCGATTGTGTTATCATAGACAGTGCCAATTTGAATTCAACTAAATTCAATAGTACATATTCAATAGCATGTTCTAACTGATATATTACTCGTCATTTATACGATGAACTCTTGTCCTCGCGTATCTTTCGTCCCTCAAAACAATATCTTGAATGCACTTTGACAACTTCTTGGAAAAGGATCGTTATTTACCCTTAAATGTGTATAAATTATATAGTGTCCGGTCTGTTAGTTTAACTACACTTCCTAAAGATTGTTTTATTAGTTTGTATGCATTTTCACCGAACTAGTTTATTTTGAGCCTCAAACAAAAAAAAATGTTTAGGGCCAAATTCTTTTTTTACCACGTTGACATGCAGTGGTTATGTATGAATCGATTTCACCATTTGGACTCGACTGAAACATGGGTGTAATTAAACTATTAACGAGTGCTTAAGAAAGAAAGGGAGGTGGAGAGAACGAGAGGAGGAAAGGGGCGAGGAAAGAGGCAAGGGGAGAGAATGTAAGAAAAACATGGGAAAGGGGTATGTCAACCACGATGTGCTCAAATGTTATTTGCTTGATGTTTAGATTAAATCAAGCACTCCGATATTGATGTGTTCTGTATCTGGACATGATGCAAGTGGCCGTGTCGACGATCTTGTCGCCCAACAGAACAAACAGTGTACAGCCATTGCAATTGGTAATAAAAAATACCTTTTTGAAAGTAGTAATGGAATATCAGTTGTTTCAGGGCGACTGCGTTCCATCGCATTTGCAACTATAATCTCTTGATATTTGAATGTAAAAAGCTTTACCCCGATATATGAAAATGGGCTTTTTTAGAAAACATTTATTTTGCTTTACTTGTGCATACACTATATTGTAAAAAACTGGTACTATTCTTCAATTTCAGGATCTGCCGAGGGATTTAATCTTGCCGAAAAAGCTGTCAACTCCGCAGTGAAGTCCGGAAGGTAACCTATCAACCTTATTAGTTATATATATTTTAGTCAACTGTGATCATGAAGACCTCTTTAGTCATATTGTCTCGTACTCAATAGGTGGGTCTTGTTAAAGAATGTTCACTTGGCCCCACAATGGCTGGTCACACTGGAAAAGAAACTTCACACTCTCAATCCGCACTCGAACTTCAGGCTCTTCTTAACAATGGAAATCAACCCGAAGGTTTGTAAACCTTCTGTAATTGGAAATGCTATACAATCCCTGTATGCAATTTGGTTTTTCAGCTTTCTTCTAATCACACAACTATATTCGTCTAACTTCTTTCGCATGCAGGTTCCTGTAAATCTGTTACGAGCTTCTCGTGTCTTCGTTTTCGAACCTCCACCTGGAATCAAAGCAAACTTGTTCAGAACGTTCAGTACAATACCTGCAGCACGTATGTGCAGGGTAAGTTTAACGTTTATAGTCAGTTTTTTAGTATATAAGTCATGATAATATAATTATTAACTAGAACGTCCTATATGAATGGGTTTCAGTTTCAATTTATAAGTTAAAAGCAATGAAATCTATAAAAACATAAATTTATACGTTTCGATCTTAACAAAAATAGGCACATTCAAAAGTCTTCAAGAGTCCCCATGCATAGGTCTCCAAATTATACTCTACAATTTATTCTTCGTATTTTCGTACAGGCACCAACAGAACGAACGCGTCTCTATTTCCTCTTGGCGTGGCTACATGCCATCATTCAAGAACGACTTCGTTATGCCCCGCTCGGCTGGTCGAAACATTACGAATTTAGTGAATCTGATCTTAAAGTGGCCTGCGATACAATCGATACTTGGCTTGATAATGCATCACAGGTAATGTATCAGTTTCTACACATCAACAATTGAGACACCGGGTAAAGAGTTAAAATTCTTTTCTCTGTTAAAATTTGTGCATCATTTTGAACCTCGTTTAAATCCTATAGGATCATTAAGAACAAGTTTCCGAACAAATACCATCACGCAGAACATTTAAAACTAGAAAAGAGCATGAAAGACTGTACTAATAATGTACACCTGTGACATGTGATGTTAATTTTTATACACGATGTTTTGGTGTGCCTTTGATTATCCTCTGTCCCCCTCTTCCTGTCATATTTGTTTTATCTTCACGTTCACGCACTCAATATAACCTTCGTTTAGGGTCGTACCAATATTTCACCGGACAAAGTGCCATGGGATGCCTTAAGAACTTTGCTTACTCAAGCCATATACGGTGGACGTATCGATAATGAGTTTGATCAGGTAAGAATTTTTATTCTCGAAAAAACGGTGTTGATTCCCTTCTATCCTCTCACTATGCACTGTTTTGTGTAGCGATTGCTCTCCTCTTTCGTGAGTCGGTTGTTCACAGTAAACAGTTTTGAATCAGATTTCCCATTGGTCCTGGACGTTGATGGTTTGAAAGGAAAGAGCGTCACTATGCCAGACGGAATCAGGTATAATGTCTGTTTTTAAATCGGTTGTATTCACGTCCACCGTGAAAACAAAAAACAATACTGAGAAATGGACCATCATTGATAGACCTTTAATTCGACTCTAAGGAAGGCGACTGAGTTAACGTGTGATTGTAATAATTTCCAAGTTCAGTAAATCCTAAATGCATGAATTTAAGGTCGTAGATTCAATTTATATTGCTGATTAGGATAATAATCTTAACCCTAATCCTAGCCTGATCTAAAGGAATTATATTGGTATATTTAGGATTTAGTGTTTTCTTTCAGACGAGAACAGTTTGTACAGTGGACGGAGAAACTTCCTGATTCTCAATCACCATCGTGGCTTGGTTTGCCGAACAACGCGGAGAAATTGTTGCTGACTGTGCAAGGTAAATACAGCCGAATTCGCATAACTAAGTAATAATGCCAGGCTATTTGCTGTTTCGTGTGTCAATAGTGTTACAGTCGCGGCCATGGAAGCGTTCCGAAAAATATCGAGTAATTAATTTGCTCAAATTTATCAGTTAGCTTACGGAGTTCATCAAATATTTGTAAAATTCCTAAGTTCCGGTTTCGAATTGACCAATCTCTAATCCTATTGGCTATTAAATAAATAGAAGAATGTGATTGGTCAATTCGAAACGGCAGTTAGGAGTTTTTCAAATATTTGATTAATTCCGTAACATATTCCAACTGATAAATTTGAGCTAATGAATTACTCGATATTTTTCGGAACGCTTCTCTTCTATTGCCACGACTGTAAACGTTAGCAAGGTCATTGGAAGTAAGTCATGCTCGTATTTTTGTTTCTCGTGGTTTGTGCCAGAAAGGTCATTTCAAATGGCCCGGTGTGTAGTGATTGGTAAAAAGATAACAGGTGCGTTTTTCTTCTGCCACTAATAGGGCAAGCGCTCACAGCTAAACTTCTGAAAATGCAAAACTTGGATGACGAAGAAGAGCTCGCCTACTCTCCAGGTCTAGCCAGGTAAATGTACGAGGTGAAGTTGGTGTAAGTTAGGAATTTTCAGATAAGGACACATCGATATATAGGCATGAACTAATCCACTCGCCTATGAAAGCAAAAAATCGCGTTGAAATTTGCATGTAAAAAGTGATGTGTGTACTAGTTACTTCACATTTTTCTTTTCTTTTTTTTTTGATAGGAGTAATTCTTTGATCTCAAGTGATGTGCGCCCAGCTTGGATGAGAACATTGCACACCACTGCCTCTAATTGGCTTGCTATGGTGCCAGAAGTAAGGCCACTTGATATTATATGCAAGTCTTTTTCACAGTCAATTGGTACAGAAATAATACCATAGAGTGACTAAAATGCCCAAGATTGCAGATATTGCATTATTGTAATTGCCACATCACTTATTGGTTTCCACGTCAGTTTGTTTTCAATTGATTGTAACACCGTAATATTTGCACTGTAGGAACTTGTTGCCTTGAAACGAACCAATGAAAACATCAAAGATCCGCTGTTCCGTTTCTTCGAAAGAGAGGTGAGCCTGAATTTTTTTGGTCCGACTTTAAAAAGTGTTTGGATATATATAGACAGAATAACTGTTAAAAAAGGTCTACGAGTTAACCAACAGTTACATGCATAAGAGTTGGTGTTCTACTACCATGAAAACAGCGGTTAAACTAGCTAAAGTTAAAGCATTTTCTGAGCTGGAAGCCAATGCAACCTATAATGGGAATTAAGAATTTTTTTCAAGAGTTTTGCAGTAACACATGCATGGCAAAATACACTGTCGTTGACACGTATGACATGTGTTCGTTGATTATTTTCATCAGGTGAATGTTGGTATTGGCCTGCTGACCACTGTGCGCAATGACCTGAAAAATGTGATCGCCGTTTGTGAACAAGTGAAGAAACCAACCAATTATTTGAGGAGTGTAATGAACGATTTGATGAAAGGTATGTCTGTATGGTCATAATCAATAGACGATTCGGAATTGTTGGCTATGCGCCTTCGAAAGTGTATAACTGTAGAAAAATAGATGCAGAATTGCTAGAAATCCTTACTTATAGTCCTTGATGATATGCCCTAACCATTATTACATACATTTTCTGTTTAGCAATTCTGCCCAAAAACTGGCGTCGTTACACAGTTCCTGAAGGTCTGACTGTGATTCAGTGGATAGCTGACTTCAATGATCGCATTCAACAGCTCCAACAGGTCTCTCGCGTATCCCATAGCGGCTCTACCAAAGGTTTGAAGGTAATTTCTCTGCTGTGTTAAATATCAGCTATTGTTATGTTGTGTCCTTACTGCTTGGTCACGTGTGGAATACAGATATAGCTGCAGTGCTATTCTGTTATTGTTTAGAATATGCGTATTCGACTCGGATGGTTGTTTGTTCCTGAGGCTTATATCACGGCGACCAGACAGTATGTTGCCCAAGCAAACAACTGGTCTTTGGAAGAACTCTCCTTGAAGGTACTATATAGAAAGTTTGAAATTTAGGACGGTACACGACAGTGAAGATATATACTACTTCGAAAACATTACTCCGGAAAAACTTTACTCCCTTTCGGTAAAACGGAAAAAACGGCGAGACCTGTCCTGATGAACCTCAGGTCAAAATTTTACAGTTCAGATTGTCGATATTTACATCTGCCTCCCACGGAAAATGCAGTTGCACTGCTTTATTCTCTATGTTCTTAACGAACTACTCTATTTTAATGCAAAATATGACCGCTCAATGGAAAGCGCCCTTTAAAAACTATTTTTTGGTAATTCACTCTATTACTTTGGACGTATTCATATCGTGATAAAAGTTGTTGCCTAATTTATATACCTTACCAAAAAGATTTATTAGAATATATTAAAATGTTATGAAGGTGGCATGTTTGAAAATAATCATCGCATGTACGTGGTTGTTATACAAAACTTTCTGATGGCCCACTGCAGTCTTATCAAAATCGTGTAATACGATGTTATTATATATGTTGAGTTTTCCGTTTCGAACCATTTTTTAGATGACTGTCTCCCGAGGAAAGAACGATGAAGTCCAGCTTGACGATTGCAGCTTTGGCATCACAGGTAATCACCACATGCTTGGGGTGCGAGATCCATATATTAAATTTAGCGTACAAACCTTGCTGTGTTCTCGTATGTAGGTTTAAGGCTACAAGGAGCAAAGTGTGTGAATAATTGTCTGGAGTTAGCCGTAGTCATTTCAACCGACCTGCCCCTAACAAGCCTTAGTTGGATAAGGTATGTTGTTCCCATAGCCTTTTTCTGAGGTAGTTTTATTTTGCCTTCCGCCTTCCAAAGTTCTGTTTAATACAGAACGTATGAAATTGTATTTTTGAAAATTAACTTATTTGAAAGTTTAATTTAAATATTAAATTGAACTTTTGAAAATTAATATGTCATAGCGGAAATTAATGTCACTTGCTAAATATGTCATAGCGGGATGTTATTGGCCGCTGGCCAAAACAACTGCCTCTGCGACCACCTAATTAACTGTTGTCAATCACACCTGAAGACAACAATCAAAAACGTAGGCGGAACAGTGCAGTTATTTACTATAGCAATTTTTGATGCAAAAAAGTTTAAATGCATCAAATGTAGCAGACATTTTAAGCTCCTTATAGTTCCTGCAACTTGCTGAAGTTGGGAAAAACGTCCGGAAATGCGAATATGTTGTAAATTATAATGATAAATAAAAATAAAAATAAACAGACATGAATAACAAGGAGGAATTACGTTTTAAACTAATCGGTATATTTGTTTACACTTTTCAGGCAAAGCCAATCAGAATGGTATATATTGTACTTTTTATCAAAATTTATGCCTTCTGATTGGGTCACTGAAAATGTAAACAAACTTGCTGATTGGTGAATCAGTATTACGGGAAATACTTGATGAATCAGTATTACGGGAAATAGCTCGACTGCATTGTTTAAACTATACAAAGAGTCGAGAGTTTTATTCTTGAAGTGAGAGAACGTGCATCATTCTCCCTTCATTTAATCATGCAACAATACTTCGACTATAAATATCGCATGAGCACCTAGCTACGCTGATGATGACTCCCCGCATCGCTTTGAGTTTTGCTGATTAGAAAAGACATCGTGCATGTCTTATTGTTTGGAGCTTTGATTCGCTGCCTTTTCTGTAGAAAAAAGCATAGTTTTTCAGGTATGTATAAGAATTAAGGAAGATAAGTGCGTTGCGTGTGTAATAAGTTGAGTGCCTATATTTTCTTGCGTACATCCGCATACGAATGAAGAAGTTTTGATATTTCTGGTTCTTTTTTTCACAGAACCACTGCTGAAGATAAGCGTACACAACAACAAGTGGTAAGTAAACTCTAGTTATTCGCCTTAGAGATTAGAGAAAAATATAGATTTTTCACAATTCGATGAACAGCCTGATATTTCACCGACATTTTCTTAACAAAGATAACCATGCTCGGAAATTAACTTTGTTGTCTGATTGCATGAAGATGATTGTTGTCTGATTGCATGATGATTTAACTTAACCTCCTTACATGTATCTAAAACTGCATTGTATAAAGTTTCCTGCAATCGCCAACTTTATTAGCCGTAAACTATTCATGCATGTATGCTTTGCCTTTACTGTAATCTTAGAAACGAAAAGCTGGGAATGGGAATTCTATCCTATTTGACAAAGGAAAAATGTCTTTTTGGTCCAATTTAAAGCCATTCTGCTTTTCGGTTTTGCTCATAACAATGCATGTTTTGAATTTTTCTCATCAAAAACACGTGTTCATATTTATTTAAAGGCGTAGCGGACCTTAGGTTTATATATTTTATTAGATATTCAGACAACACAACGTATTTCAAAACGTATATAGAAGTTCAAAATGTATACAAACTGTTTGTTTACACACGGACTGGACTCCCACTTTAAGATGATAATCCTTGAATTTTTTAAATACGATTACTGCACGTGAATGCTTCTAAAAGAGCATTGTTATATAATTATAGCCCGAGTATTTCAACTATAATCGGTTGCTACTTAATTCTTCAGGTTACCTTGCCAGTGTACCTCAATCAAAATCGTCGAGAGCTTCTCTTCACGGTTGACATGGAATACTCTGAAAAAGGTGGTAATTACCGTTTCTATGAACGAGGCGTTGCATTCCTGGCTTCTTCGATGACTGGTTGATCTATATTTTAACTTTACTTCATTTAGACTTTAGACTTTAAAAATTATGTTAGCATAACGTATATAGTATAGGAACATTGATTTTATTTGACAAGTTGATAAATCTGGTTTATTAAACGGTCTTTTGGTGCAAGTTGTTATTACGTATAGTATCCAATGTTTAAGCGTGGAATTCAATATGAACTGAATCGATAACTCGGTCGCCATGCATCTTTAACCTTTTGAGTCGTATCTCCGGACTCTAAAGGTCGTTTTAAAGCAAAGTTAATTTCATGGGAAATACCGAGGTACCCGTTTTATACCTCCTGTGCATGTTTTGAACTGCGAAGTCCTTTTACGCGATCCTTTCTTGGACCCGGCCTCTGCATGCATGGGTGTAATTAAAAAATCCTCGTATGACGCCTCGTGCTGGCTTGGGGAAATGAGGCGAGATAAAATTAAAGTAAAAAGAGTAATCGTTCAGCAGCAAATTAAGATTCTCCAGTCGACACACAGTTGGTGGCTAGCCAAGGTCGAAAGACGTACCCTGTAGTTTTCAAAAATTCTCTGAAAAATTCAGATAATAGATACATTCGATTCATTCGAATCACATATCAGAGTACAGACTTTGGACAGCATAGACGCATTTATTAAAAAAGACATTGTCTCAACTTGAAGTTCGACTAAGAAGTTCGAATATTCAACTAAAGAGTGCTTATACATTTTGCGGAGTTTCTGATGTTTTGTGTTATAAAATTTCGTCCCAGAGACATTTTGCACATTATCATAGTGAATTTTTACCCGATTCAGGGATCGTAAATAAATCGTGCAAGCATCGTGTTGCAAGTCAGTAGAACTTTTTTTCTGTACCCAATGTATAATTATCATATTTATGTTTGATGACCTATACGGATGATCTATGATTAGGTTCATTAGCTGTCAAGCGTTTCCGTTTTACAGTTTATATGCATATTTAGTAAAGAATTGTATTTTGTTTTGGTTATATATTTAAATGATACATCAAGCAACTAACTCAAGGAATAGACCTTTTTCATAATGTCGTCAAACGCGGAAAGTCTGGTGTCACACGAAATTTAATTGGCTCCACAAAACTATCAAGCCAATCAAACTTCGTGTAACATCAGCCTTTCCGCCGTTTGACGTCATCATGAAAAAGGTCTATTGATTGCGGGTAGGTGTGACAAGAGTCTGTCAAGCTGTCAATAAAGCACTTCAAATCTAACCCGCAATATATTGTATGGCTTATACATTGCTTACATCTATATATTTTGAAAATAAACTGACTATAAGGCCTAACAGTTCTGTAATGCCAGATTGAACTTAAGATTTTATGAGCTTTCGTTTCTTTTTAGTCTCCCTTTCGCATCTATAAGGCTACAATTATCGTACTTTCGGAGGGATGGAAGTTTGATCGTGAAAACACATATTACCGTCTTGAATATTGTCATAACATCCTGGGTTATTTCATAGGGATTAATCAATCAGTTCTAGATGAAAACAACAGGGCAATTTTTGTTTCCATTGTGGGACCACAATCGGACGAAAGAGCCATCTCGGTGACCGAATGCGTTTCGAGCTTTCCTGTTTTTGCCATTCTAATTTGTCATGATGTCCGAGGGGCGGAACGAATTCTGCGACGCTGATTGCTGGTTGCAAAATGCGCTGCAAAGTTTGTTCCCGCTGATGAACTTGACAAAAACGAGCTACACCTTAGTTGAAGCAGAATATATTTTAATCCCCCTTTCGTGTTTCATGTCGACGTTTTTTTATACTTTTTTGAAACTAAACATACATGCAACATATGTATATATGATCGTGACATTTCGGAAGGAAGAAGTGTATTGTGAAGCGTGATAGAGAGATGACAGCTTCTCGTGCAATATTGCTGGCCTCTTCCAAGAGTGGCAAATGAAGATATAATAAACTACAGTAAACAGTTCTAAATCGTCTCTCGGCGTCGATCTATCGTACATATACAGAAGAGGCTAACTTCGTCTGGTCGTACGCATTCAGCCGTTTACTGTGTCATCACTCGCACGGATTCACCCAGGTTGGTAAAAAATTGGGTGTATATGAAACCTAGCTATTTGCATCGATTTATAACCTTTTATGTAACGTTTCACATATAGTATAGTGGGTTTACGCCGCGACATGTTTTATCCTTTATGCGATATCTTACGAATTAACGTGCGCATTTCTCTGCTTATTTATACCTATAATTTTCAGCACCCAAACCAGGGAAAGACGTATATATTATGTTCAATTATGTTATATTTAACACGAACAAAGACCGACAAGGACGAGCTAGTCTGATTTAGTTTTTGTTTTATATGCATTCTCTAAATTTCCAAAAACGAACGTAATTGCGACCATGACAATATAAACACCTTCATACTTCTGTTTTATACATACAGCATACAGAGTTTCAGAGTTCATACGTGCATGCTCTCGTCAGTAGAGAGACGGTGGACGGTTTTCCGCCATATTGTGCAAATTTGATATGAAAATCCATGTATTTTCTCGGTCTGATGGGCACCGGAACTTCACCAATCAACTCGTCCAATCAACATGTTTTGGAGTTAAATGTCCAAGGCCACAATGGACATATTTCGCAAGTTTTCCATGCAATTGATCCAATGAGTTGAAAACTAGCGTATGACTTACCCAGCTTCTAAAAAAAAGCTATTTTGGATTGTCTATGGACTGACTGAAAAGGCAATCGATTTCAAAATAAATTGATCTTTTAAAATAAATGGATTCCAAAAGAAATTGAGCATTCAGAACATGAATATATGAATATGACCTCTCTCAGTTATCCGCTCCTTACGCCACAGAATCAGATATTACCACTGATCTGAAGTAAGGCTGGATAACGCATCTATATATTAGCCAAACTACTTCCGGGTTCACTCCCTTCTATAGATGCGTTATCCAGATCAGTGCATGGATATAACGAGAAACGCTTTTGGAAATTTGGAAATCTGCCGCTCTACATGAAGGGTGGTCCCATCATAGTCGTTAGTAACTCATTTTAGATGCATAACTCAGTAGTTTCATGCAGGTTTGCATGGTGATGACCTTCAATTCATATCAGTAAGTTAAGAGCCCAGGTCCAATGTGACAAATGGAATGTAAACATTCAATTGGCTTTTCACCAAGTTTGCCTGGCAGGAATTTAATTAATACCTCGTGACCTAATTGTGCAGGTCATCTTCATGATATACGTATGTACGTATATTTAATAGTCAAGTTTATGGTCTGCGAACCGAATATGTTCGTTAAACTTATATAAATAATTGATTGGGCATTCGAATGTCTGTTAATGAACATTTCAATAGTCCGACATACAAAATATTTAATTGAAAGTTAGGATCCATCCAATGAAAAATAGACCTGATCATGTAATTTGCCGCGTCCGTCCAATGCTGTTCCCCGCATCGCGGTCTCTCGTGCTTTTTCCGAACGTTCTCCGGCCACGATCGGCTGCTCACATCGTCAAGGGACACCCGATGTTTGTTTTCTTAATTCTTTTCATCGTAAGAGCACTTCTTTTTCATCTGAGTTCATGAACGTTCCCCAAGTTAAGTGTGGTTACACGTCTGATGAAGAACGAATTTAATTAGGAACACCGAAGAATCGAAACACCAACTTGTTTAATAGTATTGTATCCATAAATAGTAAAAATACGGTATATCGTTTAAACTTCGCACGTTATTATGCGTTGCCCTATATATAAATAAAACTGTACGGAAACCAAGATTCATTAGCCTCCTCCGCAGGCATCTCTTATGTATTTATATTAGGCATTTATATTTGGTTTGGGTTAGCTGTGTCGGGGAGTGAGAAAAAAAATTTGCACAGCTAACCCATGCCTAATATATCTAAAATAAATACATAAGAGATGCCTGCGGAGGAGGCTAAAGATTCATATTGGATTACATATTTCGTTATAGCCAAGATTTGTACACTGAACTGGATCAGTTATAATCGTGACTTCAGTAATGTCTACGTCTATTAATGAGAGTCACTCTACCAGCCCAGCAGTCTTTTCGGTGGAATGGCCGCTGACGCGTGAAAATGCAGTCAACAGAAGGCAGACAATAGCAATCAGAGCAACGGGCCCTCAAATTAAACATAAAAAAACTGGATATCGAAATAATGTGGAACAAAATCAAACTCCATCTTTTGCTGAAACCAACACGCAACTTTATCACCACAATTCGTGTTCATCGGTTACAGCGGGAAACGATGAAATTGTCCAGCACGCGTCAAAACGCACTGTACCAAATATCTTTACCTATTTGGATCACGAGGAGGCAATCTGGCTTGCTAAGGAAGTAAATGAAGCGAACAAAAGTATTTTTGTTGAAGTAGCTGCTAAAAGATTTAAACGAGATGATGAAATTTTAGATCAAACGAAGTCTTCGCTGAGTACTTCAATGTATGTTCTGTATGTATGAAATATTATACACTTAATGTGTGCTCCCGAGGGAAATAGTGAGTTTTGTTTTCCCAAGAGTCTGAATGTTCCCCGAGACGAAGTCGAGGGAAACATTTAGACTCGAGGAAAAACAAAACTCACTTTTTCCCGAGGTGTAGCGAACATTAAGTGTTTTGTTATATAGGAACCAAAACATACATGTTATACGACAATTTCATTTCAAAAAACTTTGTTATGATAATATGCGGGCAACAATTTTTCACTTGTTTCCCTGGCGGGAAACATTGCGTTTATTTAAAGTCATGTGACTACGAATGAACCAATCACATTTAAAATACACAGCACCTATATAACAATGATGTATATTCTAAGAAAATGTTTTACAAACTAATAACTAGCTTTGTTTACATTGTTTGTATAGAAGTCTTCTTGGGGACTTGCGAAGCAGTATAAGATACCCGGACGAAGAGCTAGCGAAAGACCTAGACATGTGGGATGAGGTTTCAGCTAATTTTGGTGTACGAAACATGGTCAACTGTCTTGGGCTGCTTAGTAATTTCTTTTCCCAGTTGCAGAAGGAAATGAAGAAATAGAGAAAAGAAAAATCAATGTTTGATGGATTCGCGCGCAGAAAGATGACACCGAATTCATGCCAATGTTCACTTTACTTGGTTAATACAGACAGGCCAGCAGTCTAAGGCCTCTGGGTAATGAATCTGAATCAGTGGCGTAGCCAGCCTGACGATTTTGTCCCGCTATGTAAATTTCGAGTTATAATTATTGCCTTTAGAAATCTATTGTTTTCACAGTCAGTGAACACTAAGATATTAGCATAGCGAGACAAATCGACAGGCTGGTTACGCTACTGATCTGAATTATCTATAAGTAGCAAAATAGGCATGTAGCTTGTTAAAGAAAGTTATAATATTTGATTATATATAAGTAGCTACGTGTTTTGTTGCATGCATGTTGCATGCAGCACCTGCTGTTATATATTTATATATATATATATATATATATATATATATATATATATATATATATATATATATATGTATATATATATATATATATATATATATATATATATATATATATATATATGTATATATATATATATATATATACATATCCACTATTATATTTCTTAAATACGTTACTATTTATATATATATATATATATATATATATATATATATATATATATATATATATATATATATATATATATATAATTAGTAACGTATTTAAGAAATATAATAGTCGATTTCATAACTACAGTAGCAATAACAAAAGTTATAAATAATTAGTTTATAGATTTATTAATTATAAGTAATTAGTTTATAGTTTATAGTTTAGTGATAATTAAGTCATTGATTATAGGTGATCTATCCATATAATTCATTACTAACTAATGATATAGTAAATAATAAGTGATAATATAATATTTAATAATTAATTAATTAATTAATTGATAATTAATTGATAAATAATTAACTATTAAATTGAATTAAATTATATAAAATACATTCTATCGTAAGATAACGAGCAATTTTGATTAGAAATGATTCGCTGCGATTAAATTTGACAATCGATGAGTAATGGTAATTGCACTGGGTGGAGTGCAATTTGGTTTGATATCAAACCCGTGGTTACAAAATCGCACGACCGCAAAATGAGAGTTTGATTTTACACCAAATTGCCCCGCACGAAATGCAATTACCACTTTATTATATTTATTTTGAATCATACTAAGGTAGCCACGAGAAATTTCGTTTCATCTTTATATTTTAAACATTTGAATAATTACAAAATTTACAAAACTGTTGGTTCGCGCCATTTTTAATTGTCAATATATATTGTGAATATTTTCGAAAGGTGGAGGCATCTATGACGTTAGGGCTGTTTTCCACTGTCGCGTTTTTTCGTACGTACGTTTGAAATAATTTAAATGATTGTTATGAAATCAAGGATTGAATAGCTGTTGATCCTGTTAATGATTTTTTTGGCTTAAAATTAATTACACAACAACTTGAAAGGTTTTAAGCTTTTACGTGCGAAAAACGTGACAGTGGAAAGCAGCCTTTATCTTCTAGATACTGTGAGTAATCGATTTTATAATTTGATTCGGCCATTTATGTTTTTTTCATTCAAAAACTCAAATTTTGTGTCCAATTCCTGTTAAATCTGATTGGCTGATTGAGTGGTTTACATTAACCTGAAATTTTTGTCTCCCGCATATCTTATTACGCATGGCATTACCATAATCACAGTCAGCTAATTACAACTTCACAGCCACATGAATGCAGCTATAATCAGAACTTCGAGCTGGCTAACGGCAGCCAGTAACTGATTAAATATACGGCACCGGATTGCACAGTGAAGTTGCCTTACTGTTCTCTCTCTCTATATATGCTGTGATATCGTCATTAAAATCTTGGTGATAATTTCCTGTAAATTAAACAATGGTCTAAATCAAGTTGATGAATCAATTGTTAAATATATTATTAGCTTAAACGGTGGATAAGTTCAAAATGGAAAACAAATGTATCTATTTATTGAACAACTGAGCTGAAATATTTCGATGTAAATAGTTTAATTGTGAATGGAAGTACATATTAAATGAATAAGATGCAGGTTCATTCATTCACAAGATCTATTTTTAAACTTTGGCTTATCCACTGTTTAAGCTAAACGCCGGCCGTACGAGCAACCGGCCACTGAATGTGATTTGATCTGTTATCTATATGTAATATGCATGACTGCCATCGTATGCCTCGCACTTTGTGTCATTTGTAATCAGGACAGATTTCGTGCTGTCGTCTCCTAATTTAGTCATAATGTTAACTGAACTATTATCTTTCACGACGCAGCCAGGAAAGCACTGTTTGTAGACGAGGTATTTATATTCCGGTTTGGCGTCTGTTCTTGGATGGCTTTTATATCTTACTTGTGTCTTGTTACAAAAGTTTGGTTGATTACGTAGATTCCTTGGATTGTTCATATAGTTATTCATAAAATACTCTTTTGACACTGCAAGCAAAATGGTCAAAAGGATTAGACTGTAAGCGTATACTGAACTCAAATGTGATTGGTGTTTTTTATACATTTTCCTCTTGAATAAGGGGCAAGTCTGCAGCGCAATGATAAATAATTTGTGTAGTTATATAACACAGAAATTAATGCATGATGATAATTAACAATTATACCACGATCTAGAGTTGTATAACTCGGCTGATACCCGACGAGATGTTTACCGAGTATTACCATATTAATATAAAGCTAGGGATGGAGGGATAGGCCACTTTCGCTTCACCACCAACCCCCATACCCCTTTTCACTGCCCGGTACTGGTATGGAGAAATCTGTTTAATAGTCAAAACAGTTTAATTAACAGTTTTGCAAAACAGCGCGGAGAAATGTCTGCGCACGCTCCAAATCATCAAACTATGGGGAAGAATTTTAATTTTAAACTCTTTCGCACAACGACTAGCAGTATATATTGGCAGAAGAGAAAGCTATACTATATATATATTACTATATATATAATAACGTAATGATTTAGCACGCAAATTCACCACGAAGGCTGCTGAATGGAAGATTTTATTATCATACTCACCAAGGTTGTTAGATGACGTGTTATAAAGTTTCCTTTCTGTTCGATTTCCACATTTACACGACGTATGATTTAATACTATATATTTATAGAACTTGTTCGTTTTACCAGGATCCCGTTCATTATTTCTAAGATCGGGAACAACTATTTCGATGTTCGTTGTCGTTGCTTGAACGGGATGTTCACCCTTGCACAATATGTTTTTCTTTTTTAGCTCTTTAAGGTAAATTTTAACGCAACGGTGAACTTTGATAAAATATGGATATCTGGATACCGGTGTCGCAAAGTTGTCATTATAAATTGAAATCACTTCCGTTTTTGGCCCTAAAATGAAAGAAAAATCACTGTGCTGGCGTTCACGACCTTCTTGCGCTCGTTGTGACTCGTCGCGTCAATTTAGTATACTCGAGTATGATCTTAATTCAGTCTTTCTTTTCCTGAATATTTCGGACTAGTTCAATAGGCGAGCTGAGGCCAGCATCGGAACTCAATATGAGAATTGTTTTTTGAATGCGTTGATCAAATCTTCGTAATTACCTGTTATTAGATCTGTTTTTAAAGCGGCAAATTCCATATTTTTTATTAAGAAGAAGAATAGTACAAAAAGGCTCAGTCCAGAGCATTTCAGACTTGGTACTTCACCTAAAAATATCATTCAAATAACGTTATGACGTCACAATAATGTCGAAGACATCAAAGTTGTCATTGCATCAACGTCCCACAAGAGCGGGAAACTGAAACAAATTCGAGCAAACGAAGTTGTAATGTTTATTTTTCGACTTTACTTATCTTTGGCTTAATAATTTTTCTTTAGTTGTGTTCATCCTCACTCAATAATTATTTTATACGGCGTTCAACTAAAATCGTAGCTGAATTGTCAATTAGCCTTTCTCACGATGACGAATATGCCGCCATTTTTGGGGTACTTTTTTCAAAACCAAGGGCGTAAGACCTCGTAACGGCGAATATCTTCATTTTTACGATGAATTTACTCTTCAAATGGTTTGTTGATTCTGAAAAAAAATGCCTTTCATATTGTTATAATTTTTTAAACCCATTTGAGAAAATTGAAAGTAGCTACCCCGAAAACGTCATGGTGAGAAAGGCTAATTCTAGTTTTGCTTAGCAACGGAGTAGCAACAGAACTGGCAATGAAAATTCATTATAATCTGTTTATAAATCTCATTTGGGTCATTTTGCGACGTTTATGAAAATTCTCTGCGATTTTAAATTTTGGTGAACAATAAAATAAATTGTTTTATTTACGTACTTTTAGCTTAGTCAAGGACGAAAAGGATACCACTTATATAATCTAAATCATTTTAGTTTCAAAATTTTTTGTGCAAAAAACATCGGTAAAATTTAACACTTTTTTCTGGCTTCAATAAAAACTTCCGCTATAACAAGTAGAAAACATCAAAGGAAATGCTCAGTAGCGGCTTTTTAAACAACATGAACACGATTAATAATAATACTCGATTTTCATTGCTGGTTCTGTTGCTACCCTGTTGCTAAGGAAACTTTTATGCTTTATGAGTGGATATATTATATAGCCTACTAGAAATACATGCATGCAGCATCTACTCGCCAATTTAAACGAAGAAAAATATTTCCTTAGCTAGCCAGACTTTACCCTCTAAGCTTATATTACGAAATAAGCTTATATTATAAAATGAATAAGACCATAAGCATAGCTGATTTTTAAAATTTTTCGGAAACAAACACACTTGTAAAGGTGAAGTAAAATGCACTTAGTCAGAGTTTATGTGAGAGTTTTTATGTGATTACAGTCGACTCTATTTAAGCTTTAAAGTGATATTAATTTTTATCAAAACTCCGAATTAAACTTTCAAGAATTCTTTTTAAAGTTTAAACGATGATGAAAATCCTTAAACAGTTGGTAAGTCTTCGTAAAACGACATACCAAGCTCATATACTTATGAAAATAAAATGCATTCTTACAGCAACAAGAAATAAACAAATTTTATAGACACCTACCACTTCAAGGATTATAATATAAACTACGAGTCGTTCCTATTTCACCAACTGTTTCAGTATTTGTTCTGGTAATCTTTTAATCTTTTCCCAGTGTTTATATAATTTTTATCCGTATACATACCAAATATCATGCGTAGTGTAAACGGGGTTAAGGCAAG